CTTGACCCCCAAATCCTTGACCATATATATCATAATGAAATAACTAATCGCGCGTTTACATTATAACAAGAAGCTATTATCCTACATTAATGAGAAAATTACATGTCAACTTTAGCTGTTGTTAAAATGAGGGAGAGAAAATATGAATAATAATTTTTTGTTAAAGAAAAAACGAAAAATTGCTTTCAAATATAAACATTCATTTTTTTCTATTCTTATTTTTTTTAATTTTGATTTTATTTCCTCTCAATCAAACATGTAAAATTGAGTGTCTAGAGCATTTGCCATCTTAGTTGTAATGTTATTGATGTCTTTATCACTGTGTCAAGGCCCAAAGAAAGGCCGAAATGATATTAAGAACCAGAATAAATAATCTTAATTAACTAGCGGAGTGACCAGCATTACCAACATATAACTAGTGTATTGGTGGTCCATCTTGTGTTTGAAAACCCGAAAACCTTAAAAATCGCAGCGATCCTTGTTTGCGGGCAAAAACAAACCAATTGTCAAGTTTATATGAATTAATCATGAAGCTATTACCATTAAACGAAAGCACGTGAAAACAAGATTAAAGAGATATGGAGGAAGAGGTGAAATCCAAGACACAAAACGGTGAAGGAGAAGACAGAAATGAATGTGACCCACGCCATAGCCACCCGAAACCAAGCAATTAAACATTCTTCAACCTTCAACACGCACTCCCAAATCTCAATTACCTAAAACTTCCATATTTCCTGCTCAAGCAAAGGCCATAATTTTTAGGGAAGTTGACTCTTGGAAGGTTGCATCGGTCAACACGTAGACTTTGAAAGTGACTGTAACACGCGCAAGGAGACAACCCGAGACTTGCCCGCTGTGGGCCCATACAAAGTCAACACTTATGCCCTGTGATTTTTTCCTTCGCGTAAATCGGTACGTGTTACCCCTTCCTCTCATATATTAGCTGTTTTTAAGTATCACTTAGAGTAAAGAAAGGATGTTAAAACTAAGGATAATACTGTATGGCATGAAAAAAAAAATTAATCATGAAAGAACTTTATGGAAGTCGCTTTTCATTATTTCAATTGGTTCGCTAATTTTTTTCATTAACCAATAAGATACAAGCATGTAATATTCATCAAAATTTGCATGTAAACATCTTGAACTTAGAAGAATTGCTATAAAATTAACTGGTGTATTAATTTTTTAACATTTATAAATCCCTATTTAAAGTCAAAATCTACGGTTTCCCTCCATGTTATGATTAAAACCTGAGTTAGAATACATTAAAATCATTATTTTCTTAAAAACAATTCTTATAAATGTGATTGTAAGTAACATATACTCATTATAATGATGCCTTTTTTTTTTCTGGCTATAGAAATGATTTTTATATAATTACCTTAAGTCTCATTATGGAGTTAGGAATAAGTAATATAATAGCCATGTTTAGAAGAGTTTATAATTAGTTTATGAAAAATAATTTATAATCTTCGTATTATTTTAATAAACAAATTAATTTTTTCTAATATATTTTATTATTAAATTTATTACAGAAGTCATTATTTAAAAAATATTAAATAATTATTTAAATAAATATTTATTCAAATGTAGCAAATATCCTATTTAAACTCTATTTATTTCCATGCCTGTATCTTCCAGTATACTCTTTCTCAAACTCTCTTACTTTTGCTCTCTTTTTCTTATGCTTCCCTTTCTGGTGGCAAATTTTCCTTTCCTTTTGTCAATTTGAGAGAGGAGATTTGAATGTTTTCTCCCATCAAATTTGTTGCCTTCCAAATCAAAAATACCTAAGCACTCACATTTCTTGATTTTTACTTGGAGTTAGTAAAAGAGTTACTGATTTCTATACTTGTATGTTTGGATAAGTTTTTTTAATACAAATAATTGTTTTATAATTTTTAAAAATCACAAAATTATAATATATAAATAATTATTTCTTAAAAATAAATTGAACCAAACTTATACCGTATGACTGACTATAAGTGAGTTATATTTTGTGTGAACTAAACTTATATTCGATTTGATTTTAATTTTTGTTAATAGACACAAAAAATCTACACTCTCATGGTAAATTAATCACAGCTAAAGTAGTTAACTAATTAATTTCCCAAAATTATATAAGCAAAACTTTCACTCACTTTAAACTTTTAGCATAAAATGAGTAGTTGTCTCTCTCCCCTCATGTGCAATTGTAAATCCCAATGATTTTACTAAAATCAATGGCGTAAGTATATATACTTCATCAAGCTAGAGGAACTGATCCTGATATTTCTCTGTCTGCTTGTTGAGTCAAAACCTTTTTGTACTCATCAAATTTTGTATTCCGGAAGAAACAACCGTTTATTAAAGGACGACGATGATATAAACAAAGTACAATGTAAGAGAGATTTTGTCCCCTAGTTAACTTCCAAGGTTACATGGGATAATACGTACGTACGTATTGTGTTTTATCTATATCTACCCCTATCTCAAATTTGTTCTTTTATCTAAATAAAATTCTCAAAAATCTAATTTTACTCAAATGTTTTAGAATTTAAATGTATTTGAGATGATGATGATGATAATAATAATAATAATAAAAAATTGATATTTAGATTGTCAAAATTAAAAAAATGAAATTTGATGGGTTTTATAACACCTTGAACTAAGGTTTCAAAGTTTTAGAGTGGAATATGCTCTGTTTTTTTTTTTTTTGGTAAATTTGAAGTAAGAAGTTATTAAATTAATTTAATCATTTCAAGTGGTGAAAGTTTTTAAAATTTCAAATCTAAGAATGAATTAAAATCATTTTTTTTTTTACTTTCCTATCTATTTGATCATGTACAATTTGGATTTTAATTTTTGAAAGTGTGAAAAAAAAACTTTTATTATTTAAACATTCAATTTTTTCGTTTTTTAGACAAATATACCTCTAAAAATCTCTCATCTACCTGCTATGGCAAATTTTTTTGGGATATTTTTATTAAAAAAATGAAAAAATTAACATTTGAATAATGGAAAAAAAATTTCACACATTTTTAAAAGAAGAGGTATAGTATTGTAAATTTTCAAAAATTAAGATCTAAATTGTGCATGATTAAATTTTACATAGAGTTAAAGTAGGCTTTTTCCTTCTAAATATACATGTAAAACATACTTATAAAGGTTGTTCTCCAAGTATTCTAAAAAAAATTGTTTTTATTTTAAATAAATCTCTAAATACATAAAGTCTAAAAGACTGTATACAGCGTTAGCCATTGCTGAGTGGGAAAATATTCAGACTTATTCCCATCTCTTCTAATTCATCTTTACTTGCGAGAATCCAACTTCATTGATTCCTTGTACCAGACTTTGTTTCTAGAATTTCTCCATACAAATTAGTGATCTAGTCTAGCGGCTCTTCTACTCTGCACTCCACTTTATCGATCTGTTAATGGCAAAACATTTAAATGATTAAAGTGAATGACTATGATATAACACACATTTAGTGTGTGTAGCTAGAAACATCGACGTACAAATATAATGGAAAGTAGCGCATTAATCAGTGGAAAGTGGGATGGATGTACAGAATCACTGAATCAGTGATGGGTCCTTGAAGAAAACATGAACAATTTACTAGAAAATTGAAGTGGAGCAGGATCAGGAGTCAAAGATTTTTATTTTCATCATATATCGCTATCGTCACTTGAAAACAAAAGGAGAAAAAAGAATCCCATTCATTTCATTTGTGCAGGTGTCGCGAGAATTGGATAGTTAGGCAGTTATTTGGAGTGACGCTATCGGAATATATAGAGTAAAACACTAAAACCTTTATAGCATATGCCACCCCGACCTAAAAGTCTAAAGAAAAAGTTCAGCATTTACCACTTACTGGACAACACCTTGCTTCTGTTTATTGTGCTTTTTAAATAGTATCAATTTTTGTTGCACATTGCATTTTTAATTGAAGTACAGGTAGAGGAAATAAAACATGTAAGTGTGATGATGTCATGTAGTAAGAAAAAAGAGAGATGGAATGGGAAGTGATTGTAAAATCACATTCTACATTAAACATATGAATATGATTATTGTTTTATGGAAACATTCTCATGTCTTTCCATTTTTATATTCTTGAAAAATAGCACACGTATCTCGTACTGTCAGAAAATTAGTATATTGATTTATAAAGTTTGTAAAATTGAAAATTTTTATGAGTAGTTCAACATTTAAAAGTTAACTCATAAAAAATTGTTATAATTTTATACAATTTTTTTAAACTACATGTTCTTAATTTATGTGAGAGATACTTTGATGCTTGCTTTTCAAGGTTGCTCCCTTGTTCATTTTCAGGTTACTTCATTCATTAAGTGATCCTTTTAATAATTTAAAATTTTCAACATAATTTTACCATATTTTTATGAAAAAAATAATTTATTAATTTCGTGACATGTATATGAACAGTATTTAACATGGCTCCAACGAACAACTTGTAGCCGAAATATATAGTTGCCGCGCAGCCGACGTTGTTGCCGGTTTTCTGAACAACAGCCGCGGTAAATGTACCCTATGGCCTATCGTACTTCCCTACTCTTTACCCGGATACTACCTTTCCAAACACCAACTTTATGGTTCCCATCTTTGAAGGAAAATGGTTGGTTCGGATCTACACTTGAGAAGATATAATAATAATAATAATAATAAATAAATGTTATATTGTCTAAATATTTTTAGAGATCAAATTTGATCTTTGAAAGTTTCCCACTCACACCCTTTTCCCGGTTGCCAATGCAAAGTTCTCCGGATAGCCATTTTAAACACCTAATTAACATTGCTTCAAAATTAATTAAAGTCACAATTTCAAATTTACAGTTTTACCCCTTTTGTACTATTTGATTGCACTCTGGAGACGTTTCCCATTTTGGCTATATATAATGCATTTCCACCTTCATTTGTTTTCCAAACCACTCTTCTCGTCCTTAGTCCAAAGTCCTAACTATTGTTGTGTTACACTCCAAATTTTAGTAGCCATTTCTCTAGCCATGCCTGAGGCTCCAAAGCACTCATGCAAGGTTAACCTTGATGATGCTGGTAGTAATACTAGTATTATCCAAGATAACAATGATAGAGCACTCAAATACATTGAAGAGGTCACTAGCAGCGCTGATGAAATTCAAGTAAAGGTCTTAGCCCAGATCCTTTCTCGTAGTGCCAACGTTGAGTACCTCCAACGCCATGGCCTAGATAGCCGAACTGACAAAAACACTTTCAAGAAGGTCATGCCCGTCGTCACTTACGAAGATTTAAAGCCAGATATTGATCGCATAGCCAACGGTGATACCTCCCCAATTTTATGTTCCAAACCCATATCAGAGTTTCTGACCAGGTAAATACCTCTATACATGATCTTAACATGCATTTCGAGTACAAGTATGTTAATTCAATATTTATTTAATATTTTTTTATGATATTAAAATTTATTATATAAATTTTTTTAAAATTAATTTTTAAAAATTATAGAAGTATAAATTATTTTCCTAAATTAAACTCTTCATTATTCTTTCAAACGATCACTTTAACATCTACCTACTTGAGTTTCATTTACTTCTTCTATTGCTATTTATTATAAATAATTACTCTAAAAGAAGTCATGTGATAGGAAAAAATGTTAAGTATATTAAGATTGTTTATCTTGATAAAAGTTTTTGTTTAACAAATTGTTAAAATAGATATTAACTGTGATTTTTTTAATACTAAATGCACCGATATATTATAGATATAAAATTCTTCATATTAATTAATATCATTAATTAGTAATATAATACATTATAATTTTAATATAGATCTACAATATCTGTATTAATAATTTATCAAGTAAGATAAACTAAGGAATTAACTGTTGATATATGACAATTTATTTTAGTGTATGTTCGTTAATATCTATTAGATACTGTGAAATTAACCGTAATTAAACTGTATATGGGATTGCTATTGTATATTGATTGAATGAAGCTCTGGAACATCTGGTGGGGAGAGAAAATTGATGCCAACAATCGAAGAGGAACTAGAGAGGAGATCATTGCTTTATAGCCTGTTGATGCCAGTGATGGATCAATTTGTGGGTGGTTTGGACAAGGGCAAAGGAATGTACTTTTTGTTCATAAAATCAGAAGCCAAAACCCCTGGTGGACTCTTTGCTCGTCCAGTTTTGACCAGCTATTACAAAAGCTCACATTTCAAGAACCGCAATCACGATCTCTACACAAACTACACCAGCCCCAATGAGACCATTCTCTGCCCTGACTCTTACCAGAGCATGTATTCTCAGTTGCTTTGTGGGCTTTGTCAAAATGAGGAAGTTCTTCGTGTTGGGGCTGTTTTCGCTTCTGGCTTCATTCGTGCCCTTAAGTTCCTTGAAAATCATTTTGTTTCTTTGTGTAATGACATAAGAACGGGTACCTTAGACTCTAAAATCACTGACACGTCAGTCAGAATGGCTGTTATGAAAGTACTCAAACCAAATCCCAAGCTTGCGGCTTTCATAGAAGCCGAATGCATCAAAGGGTCTTGGAAGGGGATCATTACTAGGTTATGGCCAAATACCAAGTATGTTGATGTTATTGTCACAGGAACCATGTCTCAGTACATTCCCATATTGGATTTTTATAGCAATGGTCTCCCTCTTGTTTGCACCATGTATGCTTCTTCTGAGTGTTATTTCGGCCTTAATTTGAACCCCTTGTCTGACCCAAGTGAGGTGTGTTACACCCTCATTCCCACCATGGCCTACTTTGAGTTCTTGCCCCTCAACAAGATAAGCGGTCATACTGATTCAATTTCTCACTTGGAGCAAGAACATTTGGTGGATCTTACCGATGTAAAGTTGGGTCAAGAGTATGAGCTCGTAGTCACCACTTATTCAGGTATTCAAAGACGTATTTAATTAATTTGAAAAAAAAAAAAAAAAGCCCTTTCGTACAAATATTTCATTCCAAAATCAAAATATCTTTTTTTATTTTTTCCAAATATTTGTGTAAGAAAATATTATATGATATGAATCAATCTTCACTTACAGGCCTTTATAGGTACCGGGTTGGTGACATACTCCGGGTAGCTGGATTCAAAAACAAGGCTCCTCAATTTTACTTTGTGTGCCGAAAGAACGTGGTACTGAGCATTGATTCTGACAAAACCGATGAAGTTGAGTTACAAAATGCAGTGAAAAGTGCAGCTCAGCATCTTGTGCAATTTGGTGCATCGCTAAATGAATACACAAGCAGCGCAGACACATCCACAATCCCAGGCCACTACGTGCTGTACTGGGAGATTAACACGAGTGAAGAAACTCCAATTCCTGCTTCCATTTTCGAGAACTGTTGCCATGCAGTTGAAGAATCTCTTAACACTGTGTATCGCCAAGGCAGGGTATCAGAGTCTATAGGACCCTTGGAAATCAAGATGGTGGAGAATGGAACCTTTGACAAGCTCATGGATTTTGCTCTGAGCCAGGGTGCATCTATAAATCAGTACAAGACACCTCGATGTGTGAAATATGCACCCATTCTAGAGCTTCTAAACTCTAAAGTTGTTTCTACTCACTTCAGTCCAAGATGCCCGAAGTGGGTTCCTGGTCACAAGAAATGGTGCAACCTTCACTGAAATTTAGACCATGTTGTTCATCGAGCTACTAGTAGTCTAGTATAGCTTGAAAATTGAAAGAACTAGTTTCAATTGTGGGATTAACTGCTACAAAACCCACTACCCCAGATTCTCCCGTGTAGTCTTTCAAGTTTTAATAATACACTTAAGATATTTTTCCAAGTCTAAATTATCTTTATATCTGACTATTTCTTCGATCCTTCTACTCCTCTCGTGGAGGCGAAATTCAAAGGGTGTTGTTTATTCAAGTTATTGAGCAACATACAAGCTGAAGCAAAAATATATTAAATGTAGAGGAGCATAAATGTCATCCATGATTTGGCCCTCCTAATCAAGTTTTAGGAGAATCGCCCCATGGTGCAGTTTCTTAAGATATCATTGCATGGGGGAATAGTATCTTAATCACTTGAAATTTGCTAAACTACATAACCATTTTTAAAATTTAGAATCAGAAGTAAAACTTGAAATTTTTCGCTTTTGGGCCGGGCCTTAATAATATAGTATATGTAAATGAAAGAAAAAAGTGGATGGGTTCTGTCATTGTCGTTATTTTCTGGACACTTCCTAAAACTGAAAAAAATATATATTTTAAACAAATTTAGGATAACTTAAAGGTAAAAAAATAAGTAAAACATAATAATTATCATATATGATTGATCTTACTCGGTGTTAATTTGTAATTATTCAAATCAATTTTTTTTAAATTGTAAATATAAATTAATTAAATAACACAAACTATGTTATTTTCTGTGGTTGTCTAGACCAAAAAGTATTCTACATAATTGTCATAAATTTATATCAATAATATATTATATCATATTAACGGATAATATATATATATATATATATATAATCAATATTTCAATTTAGTTCCAACATTTTCATGAGATTTTATATTAGTTTCAGGTTTTTCTATATCAAGCAATTTTAAGTCCCTCTTACAATGTAATCCAACAAAAAATTGATGCATAATAACTTATTACATATCCATATCATTATTAGAAATCAAAAGTGATAAATTTTAAAAAATTAGACAATAAACAAAAAAAAATTGGAAACTAAAATTAATTTTTTTAAAAAAATAAAATGAAAATATATTTAAGCATATAAAATATTAATATGATATATCATATTACTAATATAAATACATTTTTAGTCTTTATATTTTACAAGGTTTTAATTTTAGTCCTTAAAATAATTTTAATTTTTTTAAAAAATTCATGACTTTTGGTCTTTCACACACTAATATGATCAAATAAAAAATCGACACATCATAATCTTTTAATTAATCACATCATTATTAAAAAGTACAAATGTTAAATTTTAAAAAAATTAAAATTATTTTTTATAAAAATATATTTAAACCTTGATTGAATCAAGATCAATTTAAGCTTGAGTTCTTGCTTCAAAGTTGTTAAAAATATTGATGATTTAATAATAATATAATTATTCAAACTAATTAAAAATGTCAGCGATATCCATGAGGGCACTGACAGCTTTGAGCAATTTTAAATTAGAATGTTGTGAACTCTTATCTCATTTTTTAATTTTTATTCTCTCAATTAAAAAATTATACATAGATGGATAGAGACGGTGAGAAATGTTATTTTTTTAATATGAAAAACACAAGCCACCCATATCACTGATCATTTGACCCAATAAGCACGCACAATAGACATTTAAACACAAGATTTGAAATGCGGTAGGATTCACAATGAAGTTACTTGTTCATGTGAGAACACAGAAGCACGTGAAGTTTAGCAGAACCAATAACAGAGGAAGCCAGAGATGACGAGAATTTGAGCAATAGCTTCCAAAGAAGGTAAAAACAATGCAAATCAATTTACCCAGAAAACAAAATTGATACAAACTTGGTTGAACTTACCATAATGTATGGACTTCACAACATTGTGAACCATAGAACATGAAATATACCTACAACTTCAAGCAGCAAGCTCATCCATCTTAAAAGCTCTAGAAATCCCATGAACCACGAATTTCTCTGAAACCAACATGTCAGGTTCGACAATCTCCACACCATTAATCACCATCCCTGCCATGAAACCTAGAACTCCATCAATTTCGAGATTTTCTTCAGACACCAGCGTATTCAACAGAGTCCTAATTGGCAGAGAAGTGAGTTCTTTGTAAGTAAACCGCTGAGGCAAAATATGAATTCTCACAGTTCTATCAAGCACCGTTGAAGGGTATCGAAGCAATGTCAAATCAGGAGGAGCAAAGATTGTCGCAGAATCCAAACTCCCGGTGTATTTCCGAACCCCATCAAGAACCGAATGCAATGCAATAGAAAACGAAGCATACCCTCTTGAACCGAGCAACTGAACGACCCGGTTCCACTCAACCACGTTCCTGGATTCATTAAACATGGAAGAATCGTTGAAACGACAAGTGGGTGAGTGAATGAAATGATCCCAACCTCCTTGAAGATCTTGAAGGTCCAAGGGTAAAAACGGTGCAAGAACCCCATGAACGGCAAGTTGATCTCCAAGAAATATATCAGGGTTTGATATCAACACGTGATTGATCTCAACGAGTTTTGGTTCCGGGTCAACCTTGGTGAGTGCAACTTTCTTTTGACGAAAGAGGGTTGTGATGCATGTTCCAGGAGGTTTGTTTAAGAGGTCATGGAAGGAGGTTTTGGAGGTGGAGGTGTGGTAAAGGAGAAGGTTTTTGAGGAACCAGAGAGGGAGAGAGGAGTTTTTGATGGCTGAGTCTTTGATGGCGAAGATGGTTGAGTTTTGTGGTGGATGGAAGAATAAGGGAGAGCGGTGGAGTAGATCTGCCATGACTGTGAAACCAGCTTTTCGAAGAGCTTCTGAGGCGTTCTTTGAGTGGTCATTGGTTATGGGTGGTAATTGTTTGGGTGAGTTCTTGGAAGTTGAATGCACCGCTGAGGAAATTGCTATCACTCCTAGTGTTACTGACGCTGCAAAGTATATTGGGAACCAATACCAACGGCGAGAAGCCATGGAAGAAAGAACGTTGAAGTAGGAGTAGGAGTGTTTCTTTTGGAGGGAAAAGTGATTTACGACCTTTTAAGAATTGAGATTTGAGATGGAAGATTTTACCCGTTTCGAAGGGGTTTATGCTTGGGACTTTCCTTGGGCCTTTAAACCAAAATCTTCTATGGGCCTTTAAATCTCTTGGACGAGTCCTCTGGATTTCACTTGGATCTGTACTCCTGGCTTTTTAATGGATGGAGGCATGTCCTTACCCCACAAAACCACCTCAGTTCACAACAACAGGAGAAACACCTCTCAATCACTGGTCCAGCATTTTCATTTGACTATATCAGTTCTATCATATTTAAATTATTAAATTGAATATTATTTCATATTCACTTTCTTTCGTTTCCTTTTTTATAATCTTTTCTTTTATCTATTTCTTTCCTAAACCCAATTTACACTTATTTGATGGGTGTGAAAATATGTTTTTCTAAAATTTTAAGAGGACGACGTTATAAAGTAAAACAAAAACATAAATGTACTCAATGGGTTCTATCAATATTTATAGCAAGATGTAGGCCACATTTGTATATTAAACTTATGATGCTAAGGTAAAAGCATAGTTCAAGTTATAGATGTGAGACCTCCACTCAAGATGTGTAAAGATGAGACCTTACTCACAATTTTACATATATAATTAACATTGCTTAATTTTTAAGTAAGATTCTAGCTTTTATTTATATTTACAGAGGCTAATATGGTGGCTAATTTTTTTGCAAATCATGCTCACTCGCACGCTCTTGGTATTTATTTGTTAATTTCTCCTTTAGGAAAAAAGTCTTCAATTTCTTTGATAGTTTATTAAAATCGAAAACGTATCTCTTTACGTGAAGACTGAAATGATGTATAATTTTTTTTTGGTCAAGTTTAGGATCATTTAATAGTGATATAACTTTTACAAACGGTAAATATCAATTCGTTAAACATCTTTCATATAAAAACAAAAATGTATTAACATAGAAACTAAAACGAAATATCACATTAGGCGTAGGAATCGAATCTTTAATTAAACCAATGATAAACAAGTCTGAAATCTACCGATTAAAGAACTAAATACTCTTCTCCGTAGGAATTGCAATTCAAAACACTGGTTCTTTTCTATACAGGGAACTTTGATCCTTTTGTGATGACATGGTGATGGTTTGAAACAGTCCAAATTTGAACTAGTGAGCAACAACTCAGAAGCAGTTGGCAGCACTTTTGTCACTTAGCTTTCAAGCAAGTCATAAGGTTTTTTATTTACTAAAGCCTGTGGCAAAAAGGAAAAGAAGAAGTTTTACCTGCCGTCAATTCTAACTAGTGCCTTCTTATTCCAAGTAGTAGTCACAACTCACAAGCAGTTGGCAACACTGTTGATGCCATTTGTAAAAATTGAGAGTAATAGAAATGCATTTTTTAACATTAAAAATAATTAAACTAAAAATAAAAAATTATATTTTTTAGAAATTTTAATTTAAAACTAAAATTACTTTTAAAAAATATATTACTAACTTCTCTCCCTAATCAATTGCATAGTACACTGACTAGGAGCTAGTATAGTATACTTTTCTTTACTCCCAAGAAAAAACCAAAAAATTAAAAAGGTCTTCTAAAGTTTGCCAATTGCCATGCAAATTAGGGGCACCGACTCTTGATAGAAAGTTGAAATGGACATCAGTCAATTTAACCACTCCACTATCTTGGACAACTAAATCAATACAAGAAAATTGTTTTTCTTTTAAAGATCAACGGGTAGATTTTCAAGATTAGTGTATACGTACAAGCCAAATTATATAGGACTTGAAAATTTACTAGTTATATCGTTTATATAATTTTATAATAGTTTTTACCTTTTGTATTTTTCTTTATTGTGCAGTTTATTTGAAAAAATTTATAGAAATTCAGATTTTTCTTTTACATTTGTTAGTTTACCTAGATATTATTATCTTCTAAATAAAGTTAATCATACACTTCACTTTTAAAACATATAGAGTGACAAAAACAAAAAATAAATAACAAAAGGCAATATATATATATATATATATAACATGGTATGATAAAAAAAATTTAAATAATAAAATAAAAAGGGTAAAAACTGGCATGCAAATATATTAACATAATTGTTATCTTCTTGCTTTATAGTATCCCTCCCTCTTGTACTTTATCCATTATATTAGCAACATTAAGAAAAAATCATTAATTCAATCACACATGTCATCAGATGCCCAATCTCAAATTCAATGTTAAACCATGTTGCTTTAAACAATGTTAGTGCCTGATGGATTACCTGTTAAGAAAACTGCAAGGACTCTTAAAAACATATTTCAGCAAAAGGTAACCTGGTTTGCTTAACCACTTTCTACGCTTCCATGTGGAAGAAAGTTTCATACTTTAACAAAAACGTAATCTCGCGAGACACAATTGCAATCAGAATTTCATATGCACTTTATATTGTAAACAGTATCACACGCATATCTTTCGATACAATTTTAATTTGATTTAACGCACCATATACTCCCTAGTCCCTATATTAATCCTATAAAAAAAAAAAAGAACTAGAACTGGTCAGTGACCACTATCTCTTTTCCTAGTAACCCGAATGTAGCAAAAAACAGCAGCAAAAGTGACAGTAACAAGACCACCTAGGATGACACCACCACCTGCCACTGACTTGTCTGAGGAATGATGCTTTCCTAGTCTTCTAATATCAGGACCCTCAGCTGCTGCTTCATGTGATGATGGCCCTCTAGACCCACCAAATGCTTGATCTGAACTTTTCTCATCACTTAGCTCAACCCCTCTCTTAATTTTAAGCTCCAAAGGATTTAATCCTGGTAATGGACCCTCAGACCAAAGTGCCATGGCTTGAAGTGCTAAGATCTGAGTTACTACGAGGAAAATCAAACCAACCTTGTTGTTCATTCTGAACCAAGTGTGTTAAGTCTAATGCAACTATGAGTTATTGTAGAACAAAGAGAGATTCTGGGTTTTAGGCAGAGAGAAGAGTAAAGGGGTACTAAATGCTAAGCAAAGAATCTGATGGGATGCACACGGGTTTGGAGGGGTTTTAAAAAGAGTGGGAAATTATGAAGGGTCAAGATCTTCTGTGGCTGAAGTTGTGGTAGGAAACTCTGGTGGAGGTTCATCTGACAAATGGCATGGGTCCCATTCATAATAAATATATGCTATGAAAGACAGAAAGCCAAGTTTGGTCTTGGGATTAAAAAGATGTTGCTGGCACTTGCTGCATGGCTCTTAATTTAAATTTAACTTAACTTAACTGGTCTCTTGTTTCATAACTTAGCAACCACCGCTGAATCCCTTCTCAACCGGACCATTAAAAACCATTTCATTTTGTACCTTCTTTTTCCTTCATTTCTATTTTCAGTTTAACTTCAACCCAATTTCCGACCATAGTATACGACAGTTGTTATCATGTTGTTAATAGTTTGCTATTAATGTAACTGCATTAATGCGTAGTTTGTAGAATTTTAGTAACAACAAAAATTAAAGTCATTTTTATCGAATTTTGTTATAAGTTTAAACAAATTATACTCGTTAATTTAAAAATATATAAATTAATTTTAACTTATAAAAATAAATGTATTTAATTCACTTGAATCTATATCTATATTATTCTTAAACAACATATATGCTGAACACAATTTATGTTTTCTTATTCAAAGTGTCCCATATTTTATTTTCCAATCGTATATATGCTACCTCAGGAACGAATGTATAGGAGCAGCATTAATGCGCTCCCGTGCAGTTTCTTTAAAAAAAAAAAAAAGAAGCGATCAACATGTGTTGGAATGGGTGCTTCTATAAACAATTATTTCAGAAGTGGAAAAAGAAAAAAGATAAAACCATAAAATTACTCAAATTTTCTGTCGTTTATACTTTGAGAAGAAAAACAAAAACGGACTGTTCCACTGATAAATTTTCTCTAAGGAGCAGCAAGTGCGTATTCCCTTCTCAATTGCATTTTAAAATTGTATATAGAGATTTTAATATTTAAAACAATACTATATGATCTTATAATTATTAATACAATTATATATAGAAAGGTCTAAAAAATAAGGATATTTGTAAATAATAGTCATGTTGTGTTGTACTGTTGTTAGACACAGTTATTTATGCTAGATACTACATTAATGTTTTGAATAATTTAAACTACATTTTACAAATTTGTTTGCACTTTTTTTATCTTATTAAACATGAATTCTCTTTTTCACCTAAACTTTTATCATACATGCTAATTTTATATTTAAAACTACCAAACCATTAAAAATATTTAAATTTTATGATAATTTCTTAAAAAAACTATATCTAAAGTATTATTTAAAATCTTTATACTAGCAATCATATTAAAACTAGACTTTTAATTATACATGTTATATTAAAATCATATTATTATGTCTATCGTATTTTCATATTCATAATTGATTGCCGTATCTGTGTAAAAATACATATCATATCTATTCTTGAGATTAAAATTTTTATTTCGGGTCCTCCCTCGTACACTTTCCGAGTCCACCACCTGTGCTAGTTGTTCATAATCGACAAAATTTGCCTGTTTAAATAGAAAAGACCAGTGGATTTTATATTCCAAATAAAAATGGCATACAATTCCTTTTCCTAATATTGGTGGTGGGGTTTAGAATGCATGGAACAACACAGTTGGCACGTATGAGCTGGAAATTAGAAGGTGGCAGGTCAATAAATTGATTTCCTATCACTTTCATCATAGAGATCATCGATCATAGCTTTTGGGTATAACTAACCATCCCAAGGACTCTTGCTTCTCATTATACCGCAAAGTACTATGACACGTTTCCCTCTTTCCCCATGCCAACTCACACTGTATAATTTTACTTCCAACCAGTATTATTTCCTCGTTTCAGTGTGTAAAGCAAATTTAATTATCAAAAGCTTACAGCTACTGTGTACGCAAGATGCCAAATAATTTGATTCACATCGTATCTTAAATGATGGAAAGAATAGTTATCATTAAAAGCTTAGAAATCCATCGTTTGCTAGAAATCAAAATGACATGATTCATGTGGTATCATTAAAATATTGATTCATGCGTTGAAATGATACTACTTGGGATAGCGGATACGAGTAAATAACAACACAACTGCTTGAGCGTATTACAAAGTAATAAAAATAACTCATAATAATTACTTCATATTTAAAATTTAATTTTTGTCGTCGTCTTTTCAATAAAAACTTTAAATCTAAACATTATAAATAAATAAAAGTATACGTTGTTCAAATTATATATTTAAAAAACTTCTGCATTAGGATATGTATTAAAAATCTTCACATATTTTTATTCTCTCTCTGCACAGTAAGCTCATGCTTAACCTCCGTTTATTTTACATATACAATAATGTCCCAAACTCGTCGTACTTTTCTGATTTCTTATGCACATTGTGCCCTTTTTTCCAATTCTCGCCTCTAAAAGGAGATTTTTTTTCTTCTTTCCCTTCACAGTTCTCTTCTTGCTGCCTATTTCTCAAACATCTCCAAGCCCCTGTTCTTTCATACGCTTAAGTTAAGATTGTTTTTAGCATGTAAAATGAGACAACTACTTAATATTAGTTTAACACTATAGACCAGTAAAATGAGTTTTTCAGTGCGACAAAAGTGAATAATTTTACTTACCAATGAAAAATATATTTATATCATGTAATTCGTTATTACATATAATAACACATGCATTTGCCAGAATCCTTTTTTTTTAATCAATTGGTCAAAATTCATCACTCTTTCCTGAGTGAAGACATTTCCATTAATAGCCTCAAACAATAGGGACATCTACAGATTAGTTTGTTTGACTTTTCAAACCAATAATGGATTGAACCAAACTTCAAACCGTCTCTAGTATAATATATACGAACTCCACTTGGGTTGGATGTCGAGTGAATTTAATCACTTGATAGACTAATATTATCCAAGTAGAATTATCATTTCAACTCGTGTGTCACGACCGAAGTAGGCAGAGTTCAAAACATTTGCGAATATTTCGAACTTTTTCTTTTTCACCACTCTTCCGAAAATTAATTTACCGAAATAATTTCAAAAATATAAATAATTTTAGATAAAAAATAATATGATTAGAAAAAAAAATGTTGTGCAAAATGAAATTTCCTTATTTTACAGCCACTATGAGACCGTGACTGTGTGGATTGAGAATTGGATTCTCTAAGCTTGGCCTAATGGGTTGGGCTATACAAAGTGATCATTTAAATGTCCATCACAGACCTTAAAAAACCAAAGCAGACCCACTCAATTTGACTGCAAGCGTTGACCAAAAAAAAAAAGAGACAGGATGCAATATATCTACCACCATTGTCAAACTTTCATGCTAATTTAATTGAAGCAATTGAAATAAAAATCATTTCATTACAATGCACGGATAAAAACTAAGAAATTGACGAAATAAACTGGGATATATAATCACATTTCTGTTTGGCCCATGAAATAGTCGATAATGTCGGAATGGAACGGATAATTTAGAATATAATCTCATTCTTGTTGACAAAGAAGAAACATCTCATTCTTCTAATCGATTAAATTTTACACTTCCACATCCAAGTTTGACACGAGAATACAGAACCTATCACCTATAAATTAGTAAATTTTAAAATTGTTACTCAACACTTTATCCATGAAGCTTTTCGTTCATATAATTGAAAGAAAAGATTCCTATAACTGGTACCATGGGATTGCCAGGGGAAAGTTAAGGCAAACACGGTGAAAAGCAATGAAACACCAAAAACAATGCGAAAGAATGTTCTTTCTTATCTTCAATACGCTTGATTGTAGAGAAAAAATTTTATGCTGTTTCTTTGAACAGCATGAATCCAACTACATGCACATTTCCTGCTTTCTTCCTTGCTAGACTCGTGGTGAATCATTATATACTATTCCTAGAGCTACCATTCTGTGTAATCATATCATAACCCAATAATTCATGGAGAGTAAGTGTACTAGAAACAGAAATTTTACATTAGAAATGAAAATATTTACAATTAAATAAACCACGTTCACACATTCAGTGGTATAATATTAGTTTAGCAGGACAAATCACACCACATTATGCAGTCTAAAATAGACACAACAACAAATGGCAAAAAGATTGAGGGGGTGAGGGGATTTTACATCAGGGAAGGTAGAGTATATTTCACATCTTATGAGTTAAAAATTAACCGGATATCCAGAGTGCATTAGGCCAAAACCAGAAGAAATGACCATTTTTCAACCAAGTTCATTTTAGTTTTACAACAGCTAATCTCCAGGACCAAATATCAAGATTCATTAACCCTAAGCTAATCATTAACAAGTAGAAGCACTGAAAATTCTGGCGATATCCAAATGTACATCATGAGGATGAAGGAGGGGACGAATTGGTCCCTGATTCACCATCCCCATTCTCGTGTTTTACACCTAAGGATAAGGAAATAGATTCCATATCCATATCCTCTGCATCACCTACCCTGGAGTTATTTGGCGATATCATGGACTCAGTATGTGCCGTCACTGCCATTGGGGAACCAGATTGATTTGCAGCTGGAGAATCTTTGGAAGATTCCTCAGAGAAACTGGAAACGGAAACGTTGGGAAAGTTGAGACGCGCACAAGAACCATACATTGCCCTTGCCGCTTCATCATATGCAAGGGCAGCTCCAATGGCAGTGGAAAAAGTACCTAGCCAGAGCCTGTTTCCTCTGTTAGGCTCTCGGATTTCAGCAACCCACTTTCCCCAAGTCCTTTGCCTTACACCTCTGTAGTTACACCGCGAGTTCTCAGGCCCTCCTTTACCTTTCATACATCCCTTCTTCGACCCTTTGGCGGGAACTTTCCGAACCGGCTTATCCGCATCATTGCAGGAATCAAGTTGGGCATTATATTCTTTCCATCTTGCCAGTATCTTAGCCAGGGACTTAGATCCATCCCCTTTATTATGGGCTTTCGCTAACATGTGCGTGCAATTCAACTTGCACTACGTAATGAACAGCAAAAATTCTACAACGTTAATAACATAATATAACACTAACATAAACGCCAGCCACGGAAACAAGCCCTTGTGTTTTTACATATGTAACCAATTCAAAAGGTCGTTCACTATAACCCAATTTGTTAATATTATTTGGTTAATTAATTATCCACCAAAAATATTTCTACTTTCTACTAACGAAACTCTACATTCACCAGTATAAACAGTAACACTAGGAAAAATTTAAAAGCAATAGTAGATAATGAAAATGCAAGCTTGTGATTAGAGTTTGACTAGATATCAATTGGGTCATAATTTCAACCCTCCGTGAGAACATTACAATTGGGAATGATAAAAACATAAATTTATAAAAAGAAAAATTCAAAAGGGTAAACTAAGAGAGAGAGAGAGAGAGAGAATCAATGAAAACAAACCCTTTGTTCGAAATGAAGATGAAATGCAGAGGGAGGGAGAACTAACCTGCGAGGAGGTGTAAAAGTTATGGTTCCCCCAGCGAAGAGGTGAGAGAAATGGGGCAGCGCTTCGCTGAGAGGTTGAAAGTTGAAAGCTTTAATGAGTTTGTGATGTGGGTCGCATCTCTGATTGATATCGGGGAAGAAGACGAAGAAAACAGAGATGAACTCTTCCAAGAAACACCGACAACTAATTAGGGTTCACTAGCCGCCTGCTCTTCATTTTCGAGACTAACACTAACAAACAAACAAACAAAATAATAATAATAATAATTGAACCCAAAAATATAAGAAATAACAATACTCGTTTATCCATTTAGTCTTTTTTTTTCTTATTGTGTTTGTTGTAAAAAAAAAACATAAATAAAATATCACAAAAATATGCAATAGCCGGTTTAGATATCCGCTAAGAAAATTAAAATATAATTGGTGATTTTAGATCGCTCCTAAGTAAAACAATAACTAAATATCACTTGGATGCTTCGATTTATGAGAATTAACAAAGTGCAACTTTGATTGCACTAGGAAAGAAGATTGTCTTGTAAATGAAAAGGAAAAATAATAGTTTAAAAATGTTGAACTAAATAAATTATGCATTTTTTAAATTTTCTGTAAAAATTTTGTTTTATTGGGAACAAAATTAAAAATTTAGATCGTGCTTGCTTTATTTTTTTTATTTTATTTTTCACTTAATTTAATTTTAATTAGAAAATGGTCACCTTTTTTTCCTGTTTTTAAAAATTTATAAGGGAGATAGTATTGTTTTTAAAACAATTATAAGTGTAAGCTTGTATATTAATGAATTGATAATGGAAACAATTCAAATTCCATATTTGTTAGGTGAGTAGTCCAAACCATGCTATTTTTTTAAGAAAAGTGGCCATTACTAAAGTGAGTCCTAAGAGATGTTTAGAGGAGACTTTTACAAAAAATGGGCAAAGAACAAAGGATGCAAAATTGGATAAAATATGTTGGGTGGTTTGAATTTGCATACTTGCTATTTATATCATAGCTACAATATACTAATATATCTTTTTTGTTTTTGGCCATGCATCAACCAAAATATCTTAATGACAGAGGAAGGCAAGTTTAAAGCTGTTGGCCAAATCGACCTATTTACAGCACAAGTTGAAGGGCATGCCATATTAGTTGAGTTGAACGATGATGTTGAATGTGTTACTGTTGAGTTTCTTGCATCAAAGCCCACATATGCAAAATGTCATTGGAAGACAGGCTAATAATAGATCCAATGTTACATGGTTTTCAATTCTATTATGAACATTCCTTAAGATTGTGGGTCATCTTTCCACGTATCATTTGCATGAGTTCGTTAGCCGATTGGGTTGATCAAGGGACCCATTCTGGTCCATGGACCTGTGTACGATCCAGACAATTTGAGTAACCGGACTACCAGGTGAGTTAACACTGTGTGGTGTCTGACCCAAAAAATAACCCAATCTACTCTCAAAATGATTCCGTTAATTATATTTTGCCTTTATATTTATCAGACATATAATTTCATTTTTTATATTTTACCTTTTCAACTTGGCATCAAAATTCACTCTCTTGCAGGCATAACTTGAGGTTATCAATAATTAGTTAGATCTGGGCAGCTAATAATATCAGACTAGTAAATATATTGTGCGTTGTATTTTTATTAATTAATTTAATTTAAAATAATTATAATTTAAATATATAAAATTAATTAATAATTAAATAATTATTTTCAATATGAAATAAAAATTATAAAGTAAAAAATATAAATAAAAATTATTTATAATAATTAAATTTAATTTATTATTATATAAAAATATTAAGTATACAGATAAAATAATTATCATAAAACTTTAATAAAGAATAATATTCATATGTTTTCTAAATATATTATTATGATATTTAATAATATTTAAACAACTTAAATTATTGTAATTAATTATTCTTTGTTTAAATAATTTTAAATTATAATTATTACTGTAATATTTAATAACAACTAAAATATTGCAATAAAAATTTTAAATATAAATTATTATCAATTATATTTTATTTTATTTAAAAATCATATATTTGTCATCATAATTAAAATATTAAATACTTAAAAAAATAATTAAAAATTAGATTAAATCTAAAAGTAATAATTATTTTTATTTATCATAAAAAATGATTTCTAATGTTTTACATTCATACTTTTAAATATTATGTATAATTCTAAATATTCTAAAGTTTAATAATCATAAATTTAATTATAAATACATATAAAAATAAACAAGTATATTCAACACTTATGTAATTTATTATATAGTTAATTTAAATGTATAAATTTAAAAATTAGTAATGTTGTTTACCTTATAATTCAATCGTAATAATGAAAATAAATATTACAATATCGATATTTAAAATCTAAGATGCTTTTATTTTTCAAAAACTAAGATATAATAATTTTATAATGTTACTTTTACTTTATTTTTCGTTAAATAATTTAAATAAAATAAACTTTTCTTAATAATTATATTTTCTAACATTAAAATCACTATTTTTACTATATATTTTGTAATTAAAATGTGTTGTGTTAACCTTGATTAAGTAATTATTATATTTTCATTCAACTCGCGTGCATAACTATTCTACTTATATATTCTTATAAAATAAATAAATTTAAAAAATTATTTGATAAGTTAAACAAAAATTATATAACATTTTTAGTAAAATTTAATAATAAAATATCTATTAAAACATTGTTCTAACAACGACTTCTTTTTAATATTTAAAAACTTAAATACATTATAACAATTATATTATATTTTGGTTTAGTTACTTCGTAACAGTTATGATAAAAAAATTTAAACATAAAAAACATTTTAAACTACAATAAATTTATCTTTATTTTTTTATAGTATGTATTTTTTTTTCTTTAATATATTATTAGATCTATGAGTATATTTTAGAAAAGAAAATAAATAAATAAAAAAATTTAAAATAAATTAATTAGAAGTTAATTAGTATATAATAACATATAAAAGATAATATAATTATACATTTTTTAAATAATACAGATTTAATAAAAAAATTAAAAAAATAATACTTTTTACAAGTGCCAAAAGTAAAATGTTGTTACTCGTAAAAGTCAAACTATTAAGGAAAGTTCGTTGGTTTTAATTGAACAATGTTTTTCATTAAAAAATTACTAAAAAAATATGAATATATTAAACAATCAATTTCAAATATATTTTAATAATATATTGAACAGATTAATAAAATTATTTTAATGAAGATAATTAAAGTAATTAATACTTTTCTTGTTTAAAATATTATGTGTTTATTTTTTATTTTTATATATAGTAAATTTTAATAAAATTTTATTAAATAATATTCTTAACCAAATAATAGTATGTAGAAAATTTTAGTAATTAATCATAAATTTTATTATGAATGGATATTAAGTAGATGCATTTAATTTTAGACACATGTATATACATTATGGACTACATTTTTATTTTGATCATTGAAAATATAGGAAACGTTAAATAGTATAGTTTTTTAAGTTTTAAAAATATCACGTTAGTCTTTATATTTTCTTATCTCTGTCGAGCATTTAACTCTCTTGACATAGACACCGTTAGACAATAATAAAATTTCGTTTGGTCAAGTTAAGATTATTACTCCTTAAGCATTTTAGTCATTGATATTGTCACCGACAGAGATTTTAGTCTATAGTTCTTAAAACTTTTTATCTACTTATTTTTCTTTTTTATCATTATGCATCACTTGAAACTACTTTTATCAACTATCATCTACGTTCCTTGTGAGCAGCAAAGACATTATTTTAGGCGCGGTTTAGATGAATTTTATTCTCATGGTTTTGATGACTCTTTACATGTGTTTCAAGTATACATAAAAAAAACACGTTAATGTATTCCCTTCAATGATTACTTTAAGGGGTAGACACAGCTCTTGAATTTATTTATATCAAGTTGCATTTTTGTTTGCCTCAAATGGTAGTTAATTTGTGGATTGTTAATTAATTTTAGTGTAACTGTTGCATCTATAAGTGTTCTAATTCAAACCATTGAGTGTTGCCCATCATTAGGTTGTGTAAGCTTGAAAATTGTTCTTAAATACTAGTTTGTGAGAGGTTTTGAAATGAACAACAAGACCCAAGTTCAGAACAAAAATAAACTTGGATTGCCAACAAAGAACGTAGATGATGGCTGACGATAATGGTTTTTTGTGATGGAGAATGAAGAAGAAAAAGAAGAATAATAGATAGATGAAATGTTCAAAGAATGAGGGACTAAAGTGCTTATTGATAACAATTTTAGGGACTAAAATATTTGATTATTAATAATTTTAATAACTAAAATGAAATGAAAACATATATTATACTATATAAGACATTATTTTTATCAAATAACTAATTATTCATATTACTTAATATGACATATTAATATTCAATTACTATCTATTAACGGTGTATGGGTCTAAAGACTTAAATACTCAATGGAGATAAAAGTTAAAGACTAACAGATCCAAATTCCCTCCTATTGTAGCGGGAATTGGACATATAGTTTTATTTTTGTTTAATCAATAATCGACTCGCTTAAGCAAAAATGAAAAAAATTACAAAAAATAAAATAACGCAAATTTTGTTTAAGTAAATTTTACGTCATTCTCATCTCAATCTTTTACTCTCCCTCTTCTTCGTACTTAACACTTCCTTCTTACCCTTTATATTGAATTCTCCTCCTTCTATATTCAACTCATTTCTTCTTCCTTCTCATCCTTATACCCAACTCTCCTCTTCCTATCCTTGTACCTACCTTTTTTTTTTTGCATACTTAACTCTTCCACTCTCACCCTTATACCACCAGCTCTCTTTATCCTTACCCATCTTTAGTCCCCTTTTCCTTCCACACCTAACCTTTTTCTCCTAAAATTTTTGTCTTAGAACTATACATACAGTTCTCATCACAACAAGAAGATATTAGAATCCATGTGATATTTTTAAAATTTAAAAGAGTAAAATACTTGACTTTTACTGTTTTAAAAATCAAAATGAGAGTTTAAATTTTCTTCAAAATATATTATGTTTAAATTTCTTTCACAATTGTTTCATATTGTGACTTTTATTTTATTTTCCTATAGTTATCTAACCAAAATCAAAATATTTTAATAAATAATTGTATTTTTTTTTACATTAAAATTATTGTTGTTACCTTATGTTTGGTAATCAAAGTGTTATAACATTAACTTTGCACGTGATCCCTACTATCACCTCTACTAATAAAATAAAATAATTTAAAAAAACTAATTGATAAAATAAATAAAAGTTACAAGATAAATTTTAATAAATTTTTACAGCAAAATATATACTAAAAGATCTTCAGGAATCATACACTTAGAGATATAATAAGAAATTATGTTATTATCATAGCCAATTTCTTTGTAATAATTATAGCATATAATTGTAATATAAAATAAATTTAAAATAATATAATTTTATATTTACTCAACAAATTAAGATAGATTAGTTTAATATAATTTATAAAAAACATCAACATAAATATTATGTATACTTACTTTGATAAATATAGAGAATTGACATAACTACAAAATAAAAAATAAGATGATAGAATAAATTATTGACGAGTTTTAAAAAACAATGTTAAAATTATTTATATAAGTGAAAATAAAAATTTATTTAGTGATATATTGAAAGATGATAATAAAATAAAATAAAATTTTCTTTTTATCTATATTATATTTTGTTTGTTTTTCATCATAAAAATATTTAATAAAATACAATATAAACTAATAATTTTGTAACTGTGTAATTTTTTTTATTTCATGTATATTTTATTTTTTAATACACGTTTTAAATACAAAATATATTAAATTAGTTAATAAAATCATTTTATTCATTATTATTCAAATTTGAATATAATCTGAAGCAATGTTATAATTTTGTTTTTAATAAAACGATAACTTGTACTTAATATTTTTCTTATTTTAACATTTTATGGCGATTGTTTCAATTTTTTTTTATATATAACTACTTTTAATAATTTTTTATTAAATGTAATTCATAATTAATTTGTTACATTTGTTTTTTTATCATAGTATAATCTTCAATATAAAGTTTTTAATATATAGTGAATTCTAATAACGTTTCGTTAAATATCATTTTAGAGGTAATAATTATAAATTAACTATAATTTAAATTTTTAAATAATAAAAATATTATAATAAATTTTAATAGATTATTTTTAAATATAATTCACAATTTATTTGTTGTTTCTGTTTTAAATCTGCACTGACTCATCTAATAATTTGAGTCACAAATTTTACATAATGTTATTTTTTTAGTGTTGCATGTTGATATTATTAAAATCATATATGATTTTAATCATTTTAAATTTTAATAATAATAATTTATTTATAAATATATATAATAATAAATAGATATAATTAATTTTATGTTTAAATATAAATAGACAGATAAATATAGAAATAGATATTAATTAATATTACAGGTGACTTTAATTATTCTAAATTATATTAATTGTAAATTTAATCATAAATACATATAGTAGTAAGCATGTATAGTGAATTTTAGATCTAGATATAGTAATATATTTCATATATGATTGGATACTGTGCAACATAAGTTACAAATCTGCTCCTTTGTTTTATTATCTTATAGCTTATCCTTAGTTAAATCATGTTTTTGGTCAATACTTAATTAAATCATTTGACTCAGAAAAAGTGGCCTGTATATAATTCCAGCCTTGATTTAAGATGGCCCATAATCAACAATTTCACCCATCGTAACATCTAAAATTTTGTACGACCAAAGAGGTTTTCAGTAGCCCACATACGAGAGCCCTTAATATGGTTAAGAGAGTTAATTGGTCTTATTATCGTGGCCACCAACTATATAAATATTCTTTTAAATGTATCAATCAAAAATTTTTTAATATATTTTATCATGGTATTTATATTAATAAAACATTGACTCATTTATCTATATAAATATTTAATATATAAGTTACTAATGTAATGATTTGATTTAACATTATTAATATTTTAAAATAATGCATAAATTTGTAACATACTTATTCTTATTAATGTGAATAAGTTATTTATTAAAAATAGGAAAATATAATGAGTGAGAATTAGCAGCATAGATTTCACGTGTTTGTTGTCAAGTTGGACATACCCTAGCAATTATGAATAAAGCCACCTAAAGGATCCTCAATTTTTGGCACTTTCTTCGGTTGAAAGTCATCGCAAAGGGTATTCTTGCGTTACATTTTTTGTCCGAACTGAATTATTAATTAAGCCCACATTCAACAAACTAACAAAACCTTAATAATTACATTAAATTACCCCTTTAGATTTGGTCCTAAAATTTAAACAATGGGGCCCACAATACAATACCGATTCATCTTGTCAATTATTCGATATTCCCCGTGAACTTGCGGCACCCCAACGCGAGACACTCTCACTAGTAAATAAATAAGATTGAATTGCACGAGAAACAACGAAATAAAAGAATTCACATAATGTTAACAAATATATTACAACGTGAAACATGAAGGACATGTTCGAAGTTCATAAATTCCACCCTTCTCTACCCTAATCCCTAATTCAGTGGTGAGTGTGATGGACACACTCAGCAGGTGTGACAGGGAACCTAGCAGTGTCGGTGCAATAATCATAAACCATATGGTTAGCCTTAACCCACATAAGCTGGTGGCTCTGGTGCAAGGTAAGTTCCGCCATTGTTGGTTCGTCCCACCAATACTTCTTATCCTCAGAGCTGCTACATTTCTTAGTGTTATCTGCTGACGTCACTGGCACCGGGCACTCACATGCATTGATCTCGAAATCCTTGTAGGTCGCAATGAAGGGTCCATGGCTCCAATCTGTCTTCACACGACCACCCTGAGTCGCCCAATCGTCTGCATTCCATATCGAGCTGTACACACCCATCGCTTGGTCTTTTGGGAATGGAATTCCTTTGTGTTCTAAATTTGTATGCACCCTCACTGGCGTATCATCCACTAGGAATCTGAACATTCATACAATTATGCAAATTCAACGTTACTTGTAGGATAAATACCTCTTGCATGTACCATTATTTATCCATTTTTTTCTTTTTTTTAATCAATATTTAGTACATATAAGTTTTTATTATACGTGGGTCTTAGAATAACCGGTTATTTAGACGCATCGGTTACGACAACTGCTACAAACAATGCACCTATTAGAGCACTAGGGTAAATTACCCAAGATTCTTCCTTCTTTTGGCTTTTACCATGGGTCTGGTTTTATGTGACCCAAAGGAGACATAATTATACACCTATGCTATGATGGCACAAGCAAAACTGACAAAAGCATGCAATTTCGTGTTTTCTTTCTTTTGACAGCTTATCATGTTCTTGTAAAAAGAGTCCAGATTCACTAATTTTACTTACTTTATAATGATAATCAAGAAAGGATTATTAATGGTTTACGATTATGCCTAATTAAGTTAACACGGACAATTGGTACTTAATACTTACATAACTTGGCGCTGGTTCCAGAAGATAGAGTAGGTATGGAAATCCTTGGTGGGGGCATACCAGAGGTTGAGTCTCTGCTCCCTGTTACCGACCCCATTCACATACACATTGGTCTGCACTGAGTAAGGTTCGCCGGTGGTGTTGCCCAAAAACTCAAAATCAAATTCGTTGTGATTTGGGCCGTCTGATGACATCTACACCACACAAATATAATATCGTTATCCATAGTCTTAGTCATTTAAGTAGTAACATCAATTATTTGTCTAGACTCTAGGAGTCACATTCACTCATAAAGGTCAATGCATAAAAGAAAATAAAGTGCATCGGATTATTAGGTTGATCAATGTCAAAATTAAGGGATCACATTGTAATTTTGGAAATATTGGCTCGTGTATTGAAGATGGAGACAGACACAATAAATGAGGGAATCAAGTGGACATAAGCAAGGTCACGGGTTCAAATGAATTAGGTAGTTGGCACTAATGACTCTGGTACTCGTCTATTCATGGATTCAAGTTTAGAGCTGTCTACATTTACGAAACCTTCAATGCAATTAGCTAAATATGCAAACTACTTCTATATTCAAATAGAGGCCCCATGGGCATTAAATATCTCTTAGATGTGTAATTAGAGAGTAATAACCACCGTACGAACACAACAAAAGAGTAACATCAGCAAATTAAAAATATTTATGTATAGTTAAATTTTCACTTACATAGAATGCAGTAACGGTTCCAGCAGAGTCACCCTCCACAAGCTTAAGCTGGATGCTCACTTTCCCAAACATATACTTGCTCTTGGATCCAAAACCAGCACCTGCAATGTCCACATGTTTGGCTGTAAATAACACAAAGAAACAATATTTTTGCAATAATAGGAAACCCATATAACATTATTTAACCAACTATTAAGAATCAGATCCAACAAAAACAATGTTAAAATACTGAAAAAAGGGCAAAGGCAACAGCATTACGTAAATGTTATCCATAAAATAGTTAATTACCGGAGTAATTATCAAGTTTCAATTTAAGAAGTTCTCCTTCATGGATGAAATGATCCATAGCCCAACTAGGCTGAAAGAGTTCGTCAAACTTGGCAGAGGCAGCTAACCCCATCAACACAAAACCCACAAACAATCCAAACATCTTAGACATTGGAAACAAGAGTAGCTGAAGAAGACGCAGAGAAAATAACAAAAGAAAAGAAAGAATGTAACGTTCTGAGAAATGAGGAGAGTGAAGTGAAGCTTCTACTCTCAAATGGCTTGTTTGTGAGGGCTCAGAGGAGAAGGGTAAGGGCGTAGGGTATTATTTATAGCCACAATGATTCCACGTAATGAAGTGTGTGCCACGTCAGATGCCACGCTGTGGATTCAAATTCCAAGGAATGGACAAAACATAAATTGATGTGAGATTAAAAAATGTAGCCGTTACTGTGGCCAGTGATAGCTGGCAAAAGCTGTGCACAGGGAGTGGGTACCACTCATTCTAAAAGAATGATGGCAGATCTCATCCACTAGAATTTTGCCACGTGCTCAAATACAGCTGGTGCTCTCGACTCAACAGTTGTCATCGGCTGTATGAGTTTAAAAGTCTCCTACTTTTCCTCTCTCCGCTTCCATTCCCTTATCCTTTCAAACATTCAGGGGTTCTTAACAAATTCAAATCAAAATGTTTATTCTTTTGTAACATTTTTTATGTCATCAAATAATTATATTTTTAATAAAATAATTTAATGTGTATAAAAATTTATTAAATAAGATTAGTAGCTAAATAATTGTTTGTGAAAGGAAATTTTTAGAGAGGAAAGGAAGATATAAATTTATATTTTAAATAAATAAATTTAAAAATAATATTTTTGAAAAATTAAAAATATAAATTAATATATTAACAAAAATTTAATATATTTATGATCATAAATAATATATAATTTTTAAATTAAAATTAAAAATAAGCCTTCTTTTCCCTTTTCTTTCAAGAACTCTCCTCCCAAACATACCCTAAATGTTTGTATGTTTTTTACATGGATCATACTAATTAATAATCTTAGTATATTGATTAAAATATCATTAAATAAATTATATTTACTATAAAACATGCCAGATATATGTTAGAATTTACAAGAAACGTATATTATTATACATTTCGATCAAAATATTTTCTTTATCTTAATTTCTTAACAAAATTTTTACAATTATTTTTTCCCTGCAACTAATAAAATAGTTAGATAATTTTTTCTCACTTCAAAACTATACCCGTCTGTACTCTTCATTTTTAATGACATAAACTCATAAAGTAATCAAATAAATGAAAACTATCTAAAATAACTTATTATAAACATTTCCAACGTTAAAAATTTCTAAATAATTCCTTCGCAACACACGCACTCAAAAGAATAATTTGCTTTTCTTTTAGTTGTTGGATCATGATTAAGTTTGGTAATTAGACATGATAATTTCACGCTTTTCTCCTATTAAAATCATTTAAAATTTTACTACTTCTGTAAGTAATTATTTCAACAAGTATCATTCATCAATTTTAAGAAACTATATTAAAAAAAAAACACAAAATTGCTCTTAAACGTGACTCGTGTAAATAGGAATTTAGAGAAACTTTATAGTTCACCGAAAAATCGTGAATATGATTTAAAGAGGTGAGATATATGAATAATTTTTTAATTATAAAAATTTTAATTCATTTTTATAAATATTTATTGATAGATTTTTCCAAACTAAACGTCGTATCAATAATTAATGAGTCAAATTCCTAAAAATTAAAAAGCAGTTCATCCAATAAATTTGTCAAAAAAATTGGTTAGTAATTTATTTAGAAAAAAAATGCTAGGAACATTCTTTAACAATTTTTTAATATACTTTATTATTAAGTATAATTTGTCTGAGTTTTATTAAATCATCGAGAAACTCATCAAATAAGAACAGTGCTTAATTAAACAATTAAAATTATAAATTTAATACTATTCATACGTTCTATCATTTTTTTAAAAATTAATATTTATCGATTGTTTTACCAAAAATATCTTAAGATATTCTTTAACAGGACGCTGATTACATTTCTCGGTGCGGGAGTGCTTTGGTTTTGGAGTGGGGTATCTGCTTTGTGTCTCGTTTTTGCTTTTGCTGACAGCATTTCCAGCTGTATCGTGCAAAACGCAATTATACAAAGGGACCAATTCATCTTTTTTATATTCATTCATCAATTCCCTCTTCGAGTTATTATGCTACATTTCGATATCTTGAGATCTGTGCGTTGTGTTTATTGGGAATATTCATGGTACATATGATTATTTTTAATCACTAGTGTAAGCATATATCCCTGTGTGAATGTTTTGCAATGGCCAATGGACCACTAAAATCTTTAAGATTTGTAATTTTCCATTTTAAACAAAAATTGAATGAGATCTTAATGAGAATGAGCATGTGGGGTTGAAAGATTCGTGTAGAGATTATACCAAACTCTACCTTTCCATCAATTTATAATGAAAAAACTTGTTCCCTCTCAACCCATATTCAACCCAAACATAGTAGCAATAAATAAATATGGAACCACATTTTTCGTTTTACCATTTCTTCTTTCCATTTTCCATTTATTATCGCCTTATAGCAAAGTTGACAGATATGGTTACGAGTAAATGCAACTACTAGAATTTATTTCTAATTTAAAAATAGAAATTTATTACGAATACTTTAAAACATTACCTGGCTTGGTCTTGGCCGTATTATAAAATAAATTGCTTGTTACAAAATTTTTAAAAATATTTTATACATTTTATTATCAATTACGATTATTTTACATGTAAAAAAGGGATATAGTACTTTCTTCACTTGGTCCCTCTTTACAAGAGGCAGATAAAGACGGAGGGTCACGCAAACCAAGAAAGAATAAGAGTTGCTTACTACTTTTCTCTTAAACAAACACACCTTGTTCACTTAAATTTTTTGCTAGAAAAAACATCTATATCAACATTACATGGTAAACACAAAAAAATACTTATATTTGTTATTTTTAACACACACCCTTTGATTTTTGTTATGATACATAATTCGGATTTATTTCTGATATTTTAAACATAAAATAACATAAACAAATCTCTATTGTATAACTATATAAAAAATTCTAAATTTCTAGATTACGTTATTTTTTAAAAATATCAAACACGTGATAAGTAAATTCTCCTTTACTATATATCACTCCCAAGTTCTGAAGTGGGAAAATGTATGTTCCAAACATACAAAACTTGGATAAAGAATTATCATAGATATATTTTCATCTTCTGCTATGTATTTATAATTTTAATCTAGATTAAAAATTAATATAATAATATTATTTATATTTAAATAATCACATTAAACTTATATATAAGGTTTCAATATTGTAAAATTTTGTATTTTTTAAAAGATTTCCCCTGTTTTATTTTTAAAATTTAGTCTACTAAAAATTATTCTCCGTTTTTATTTGATCATTCTGTTAAAATTTAACAATTTATTATTTATTTATTTCCATAATATCTGAGTTTATTTTATAATTTAACTAAAATATAACTAGATCAAGATATATCATTAACACTATTATCTACTTTTATACATTTAACAAAATTTTAAATTTAATTATTTAAATTAATATTTAAAATATGAAGATAGTAAAAATATAAATATCACATCAATATTTTGCCATATCATAAACATCTGAGAATACTTTTTAAACTAATTATAAGCTTATTCTACTAACTGAAAATATTAAAATATATTTAATAAAACAACCAAATTAGGTAGTTATTATGATTTTTTAAAATATTATTCTAATAAATATTTTAAAATATTAATTTTTAACGACTAGCTGATATTTTTTTTTACTTTTATGGTTGTTATTTCCAAGTTTTTTTTTTTTGCTATATCAAGTATTTTTTTTTTATCCATTCAGTTTTTTCCACTTTAATATCTTTACCATTGTCATGTTCAAAATAAGAAATTAATTTTATAAAGTTATTAAATCTCATTTTTAATTGTATAAATTCATGAGAATAATAATATAACCTATTTTATACAGTCTCATTTATTTAACGAAAACAATAAATTAAAAATTATGACTATTTTAAAACATATAAATAAAAAATCTTAAATCTTAGTTTAATATTTAACAATATTTTTATCTGTTATTTTATATTTACTATCAAATTTAATATTAATTATATTAAATATTTTGAATTCAATTAACAGATTTTTTAAACTTTCAACTTACAAACAACTCTTCAATTTTTACTTAACTTATCTGTTAGTTTTTCAAACACACTTTATACGGGTGACAAATAACAAAAATAATTAATACACCATTAATAAAAAAATCATATAAAAATAAAAAGGATTTTTTAGAGAGTTTATTTAAAAAATAAAATGAAAATGAAAATTTAATCTATTAAAGGCTTGTTTAAACCATAAAATTATTTGATTATGCTGAAAAATAATTAATAAAATGACAACATAAAAGTTATAATACATAACCATTATTACGTGAGATGGGTTACAATGATATGGTCAGAAAGATGAGGGAATGCAGACGCATGCAGGGGGTGAAAAACTCGTGTTATCGTCGTCTATTGCTTCAAAATCCATGGAGAAACCACAGTGAGTGGTACCGTGGCATTTATCGAGTAAGAATGCTACTGCTACGGGTAGAACTGTGGCGAGTGCGGTGCAGCAAATGCACGTCACATTCCTCATTTTATAACAACAGACAACAGTAGTCAGTAGATGGCCATCACGTGTATTATGGATAAGGAAAGCTTCCAACAGCACATAAATATATGCTAAGTAATACCTATTCATCTCCATAGCTGCAACCACGTGATTCTTACGTTTACTTGGATGTCATCACCTCTTCAAGCAATTGCCCAGACACAAATTTGATGAATAAATATATAAATTATTGATCGGCGATTGATTAAATATCTTTGGACCAATTAGAGGGTTACTGGATTTTGGAAAGTTTTAAAGACTAGGCCTACTCGATGCGTGCAATGTATGACACAAAAATCCTGGTCTGTTCTATATGGACTAGAACCTTAAGCCCAATTTCAAGAGTTGTTTCATGTAGAGCCGGTAGTTATAAGAAAATGTTGAATGCTGTAAACTATAAAATAATTTGTGAAAATGCACACAAAAAAAGTCTCTCTTTCAGTAACATTCCTTTTTTTCTTCGTATTGTTTATTCTCTCTCCACTCATATACCTATCTCTCTCTTAAAAAATCATTTGTAACACTTTTCATGAAAAATCTTTTATAACAAGTAACATTGCTGATGAGTAAGTGATTCGACTAACTAGCTTGTTAATTAATGAAGAATGGGAAAAACTATTGCTTGCATGTATGGTATAACACTCATGCTTAAGGAGAAAGGCTGTCTCATTCCATTTAATTTGTCAAAGGGTGCAAAGATCACATTCATCTTTACCCTTAGCAGTAGGTGAAAAGATCAATGTTTGCAAATAGTCATCAACAATGAACGTATTTTGATAATCTCCATGCTGATGAATGAGTTGAGCAGTTCTAGCCATGTTAAATGAAGCTTTCACAACTGATGAAGGCAGAGTAATTGTTTTCCACGCAATTTCGTGGGTGGCATTATACAATGCCGTATTGCAAATCTTCATATATTCAGGCAAATGCTCCATCACATCAAGATCCCAACTTGACAATAACATTAACTTCTCATTTGGTTATTAATTTCATTACTTGAGTTTAATTCCCACAAATTCCAGAAGTAAACCTTTTGATCGCCTTGGTAAAATGTACAAGCTCATCTAACGGGCCGCAAGTGTCAAGACATCCTCCATTACTAGCAAAATTAATGAAGATGGTTTTTGTAAATTGAATGCGGTTATTTGAAAATTGTGGTTCTGGAAAAATCCTCACTGTCCATAGGAAGCACTCTATTGGTCTATCTCTGGCAAAACCAAGTCTTTAGAAAGTTCCAACTCTTTTCCGGTCCAACACTGTGGCTTTGTTCAGATATAGTCAACTCTAAACCTACATATGAAAAATGTCATTTGCCGCAACTCAAAGCATATTTGCTTTACAAATAGTAATTGACTGAAAATGATAGCAAAGTTACGTTGTGATTGGGAAAATCAATTTATCAATAAAATAAAGTTACAATATATATAACTCTTATGCTTATTCATGGTAGTAGTAGGTTACGAAAGTTTAAAAAATTGAAGTTTAATACTTTGAATAATAATTTACATCAAGTTATAATGTTGATTTATTACTTTGTATGGTAAAAATATTATAACCATCGTTTTTAGGAATAACTTTAGTTATTTCTTTTATTTTTATTATATTTTTAAGATACATATATATGATCCATTGATATTAAATGTAAGTTTAAAAGATTTGTATCAGATCTCAATTGTATAAATCAAATAATTTAATAATTAAAAATTTTATTATTTTAGTTTAAACTTATATTGTCAATGGATCCTATCTATATACGTGTGTATGAAAAATTAAAATAATTATATATAATATAAAATTTTAAGTTGTTTAAAGAAATAAAATGGTCTTTTAGTCGTTTGTTATGTTTGACAAGTAGTATTGTTATTCTCCCCACATGTAAAAGATTCAAATGTCTTCCACGAAATGTGAAAAATCAAGCTTTCAAGATACTTTTAAGCACTAGCAACTCCCCAAACTGTGACACATGCCAGAAGATCGACGAATTCGAAGCCATGGAGAATGCACTTTTATCCATTTCACTCAACAAATTGAACACATTTTCTCTAAGTTGCCTGGAGAATATAAGCCAATAGTTGACCAACAAATATCCAACTTACATTTGGCAGTACAAAATTACAAAGATAACACCGATTTGAAATTAGCAGTTGCACTATACCTCAAACTTTATAGCTTCCAAACACTAAAACTGCATGAAATAGAAACAAGAAATAAGAAATACATGTGGTAAAGATTAGCCTTTAGATTATGCAACTTTAGTTTTTTTTTTTTTTTTGTCAGAACAACTTTAGTATGGATAGCCAAATCGGTATTCCAATCCAACTTCAGTTTATCTCCAACCAGAATTGGTTATTTTCATTCTTGGCAGCTTCAAGTGTCGTCTTAAAAACTATTTTAACTACATACTGATAAACAAAAGCTCAATTTAAATAGCTGTGAAATTTAAAAGTATTATGTCTCCACCAAAGACAATTTTACCTACTTGCTTGTAACAATGGCAATAGTGGGTCGTAAAATGGGGAAATAATTAAATCTATGTATGCACCAAAATAAGCAAAACTTCCCCGCTGAAAAGGGTCTCAGACTCACCGTATCCTAAACTGGCTGATATATACCTCAAGATCAATTTTTTTTACTTCATTGCTCAACTTTTATTTTATTTTTTTCCCTTGAAATAAAAGTTTATGGGAAGAGAAGATTATCTCAATCCATATATCAAAGTAATTTATTTCTCCTCTAAATAAATTCATACATTTTATCTCTAAATATTTAATTAAACTAGCACATTTCTCTGCTCTCTAGTTTCAACTACTCCCCCCCCCCCCAAAAAAAAAAAAAAAACAATAATAATAATAAGTTACAAATCCGAGTCATGTAGCCCACAAGTGGTATCACTTTCATATCAATAGCTAGTAGCGGGTGTAAAGAGCAATGTTTGCACATAGTCATCAACTGTAAAAGTGCTTTGATCGTCTCCATGCTGATAAATAACTTGAGCAGTTCTAGCCATGTTAAGAGAAGCCTTCACAATTGATGGAGGCAAAGAAGATGTGGTCATGGCAAGGCCGTTTAACTCTGACCACAAGTTCCCTATAAGCTGCCTTATATGTCTCCTTGCAACATTTTCATCTGAAATATCATTCTCTCTCATGAGACACTGAATGCTACAAGCATTATCCCCTCTTTCTTGTTCCTCCTGAAAATGATACATCACCAATTTCAAATGACAATATCCACTCTCTTGTTCTAATATATCTACAATATAAATAATATTTTTAACTTAACTGCAATAAGGAATTTTAGGAATTATGGTAATTTTGATGACAGGTCAATTAGATGCGAATCGATTACTAGCTAAGAGAAAAGAGATGGATATGTATGTAAATGTACAAATATGTTGAGAGATACCTTTGAGGTTCCTAAGTCATCCCAAAGGCGAAGAATCTCCCCAGAGCAAGAGAATAGCCTGGGATATGGCTTCATCATGGAAATGGTTTCCTTTGAGAGGTCATCACCAATAAGGAAAGTTGCATGCACCAAGGCCATGTATGATCCTGCAGTAATCACCCCATTATCCAAATATTCCCTATAAGCAGGTATGTGTCCGTTGTTGAACCATTTGGCTTCTTCTAGAAATGCTTCAAATATGTCTATCCACTGCACCAATTAAGCATCAATTTCTCATTAACCAATCTCTTAGTTGTGGCTTTAGTTTCATACATGTTTCAATTTGAAAGGGTATTCATATTCCTACCGTTCTTTTCAAGCAAGCAACAACTGTTAGCCCGTGCTCTTTCTGAATTTTGTAAGCAATTTCATGGGTAGTATTATACAATGCCATATAGCATATCTTCATATATTCAGGTAGCTCGTCCATTGCATCAAGATGCCACCTGTAAAATAACAATAATTTTGATTATTAATTTCAAATTAACTTCTCTAGTTGAGTTTAATTCATGCAAATTATAAAAGTAGACCTTTTTATTGCCTTGGTAAAAAGAACAAGTTCATCTAATGAGCCATAAGTGTCAAAGATATCATCCATAACTAGCAAAATGCAAATGGCTTTTGTAAGTTCAATGCGGCAGTTTGAAAAACGTGGTTCTGGAAAAATCCCCACTGTCCATAAGAAGCACTCTGCTGGTCTATCTCTCGCGAAACCAAGTCTTTCAACTAGTTCCAATTCTTTCCACCACCTAAACATACAAGAGAATCTGTCATATGCGGCATTTCTCAAGCACATGCATTTGCTTTAAAAATAGTAACCAGTATTACACCCATTTGATGAACAAAAAGAATATTAAATAAAAATAATATATTAAAAATTTAGTTTAAATATACTATTATGTTCAATTATAAATGTTATATCAACAATAATTATTTATTTTTAATAATTAATATAAAATTTATATGTATCGTATATCATAATCAGGTGACTGACAATATATATACACTAAAATTAACTAAGATACTTTAGATAATTGAATTACTTAAACTCTAAGCTCAAACACCTTACTCATGACTTGGGTCCAAATACTAAAATCTTAATAAAATTTAATATATTAACCATCATCACTTAAACAATAATCAACTGAAAAAAAAAATCAAGGAAGTGATCGTAGAAATCAAAGTAGAAAATTTTAATATAGAAAATCATGGAACATGATTGACAACATATTTGCACATATCTACATCGAAAAGAGATTCCTTGGGTCACATTACTAACCATTAAATATATATTATTATAATATATAAATTTATTAAATAATATTTTTTTTTATAAAACTAGACGGTGTAATCACACACTGAGTCCCTCTTATGTGAAACTAGAAACTTCACACGAAGGGATCATGTTCCTCTATACACCCGTTATTTTATTTCCTCCTATGTCCACCTTAATTCCCATTTTAAATTAATTCACACCAAGTACATCCTTAATTCAATTACTAATTATGGTCATCATGTGGAGCACAATGTTACCTGGAGATCTCTGCTAGTTCTCTTTGGTATAATGACTGAACCATGTCAAAGTCTAATTTTGCCAATTCTAGAAGAGCTGGTATTTGGTTGTTGGCTTGACTATATTCTTCCAGGTAATTTTTGGCTTCTAACCTAGGCATTCTTAGGTATCTTGGAAGCGTTAAGGCTTTGGCGACTTGTCTACCTACTTCAGGACCAAGGTATGGGAGTGACTGATGCAGGTGAGTCCTTGAGAAGTCCATGGCCTGTTGTAATACTTCTTCTCCTTTTGCTCCTAAATATGATGCTTCATACAGACTTAACATACCCCAAATATCTCCTGTCAATGATTCCTTGAAATTTCCGCCCTTATCCAAAAATTTCTTGAATACATCTACACCCAATAAGCAAAACATCAAATTAGTTAGTTTTCTTAACATTTTTGTAATCCAAAAACTTAAGGAGAAGTAATTCACGGGAATAGGCTTGTGAATAAAATTTTGCCATACATCTGTAATAATTTCAACCATATTATCATCTATGGAAGTTAGAAATAAAATAAACAGATTCGAATTCACTTGTGTTTTTAAATAGACACAAACACATTTAATCAATTCTGAAGTAAATAATGGGAAATCATACTCGATTTTTTTGTTTTGTTTTTATCTTACTTTTTTTTCCCTTTTCCCTCGTAATATTTGAAAGAGAAAAAAAGAGACAAACTAAATTCGACATAATGTCAACCAAAATCAAAATGTGTGTACCAGAACAAGTGGGCCAGCCATTATGCCTGAGCAAGCGGAATTGAATGGATGTAGCAAAGAGATCTTGAGCGGTGTCCCAATCCCATACCTTTCCAAGCTGTACGTTGATCTCTTCTTCAACATGGTGCCCAATTCCAAGCCCTTGAATGGTGTCAATCATCTTCAATGTTCTCAGCGGATCATTTGAGTTAAGCAATGCCTCTTGACATGTTCTTTTAACTTGATCCAAACTTTTTCTCCTAGGATCAGTTTTACAAGGTACCTATTAACACCATCATGAGAAAACCAAATAATTGAAAAATGGTGAAAATTATGAAAGTGTGTTCCTGAAACAAATGAAAGCTATATATAACTACGTTCTCCTAATTGGAAATTCATTCTCTGTTTTCACTGCTATGCTTGTTCCTCTTTTGATTGATTTTGTAACCATACAAATAAAAAGGAAGGGGATAAAATGTAATTCTAAGTTGATATCAATGAATAAGCGGTTACGATATAGTAACGAGATGTTTATCCTTAGGTTTGTGAAAAAAAACGAAAAATAAGGAGAAAAATAAGATGAAATATTAGTAGTATAAATATTTTTATACTTTTAACGAATTAAAAATTATGATAAATATAATTTTATAATGTTAGTTGAGAGGAAAATTTTTATATGAAAGTAAAAAAATAAATAAATCTTAACACACAGCTTTATATATATTAAAATGAAATTATTTTGTATGAAAGTGAAAAAAAATTGTATAATCATACTGATCAAAATTTAAAATTTTTAAAAATTACGTGATCTTTTGAAAATGACATTATTTTTTAAAAACTCACATTTGTATATTTTAATCTTAATCATTTAAGATGAAATCTAAATTCTTGCATAAAAAAATACTTTTACTCTGACTTATAAAAGATTTTCTTACTAGATCATGTGTGTAACAAATAATGGCACATAGCTCCTTCTTCGAAAATATTCAAAATTCATTTATTGTTTCAAAGAGAAGAAAAATTGTGAAAGAGTACCTTGTCTCGGAAAGCAATGGATTTGATCGATAATTTCTTATGTATCATCCCTCGTTTTGATGTTTGTAACGATGAGTTGCATGGATGATATGGGAATGACTGTGAATTGTGACAAGCAAGTGAGGTTGTGAGCGATGAAATCGTAAGTTCCGTAACTGCCATAACATTTGTGGACATTGATGAATGACTACTCTTCTGATTGTAAAGTTGCAGCATGATAAGCACAAATATCTAATGCTTATATAGACACACTCAAGTTTTTAAATTGACTTGTATCCTACCGTAACCATGACATTAAGACGTTAACTCTCCTCGATTTGACCTCCGTCGCTTGCTACTTGCTACAAGTTGATGGTTAGCGTACTACACTTCCCTTTTATTTGATTGCACTGTTTTGACAACTTTTACTTTGTATTTTTTTCATATTTATTATTAAGAAAGTTAATCCACTTATAGCTTTCTTTTGAGTCTGATATATAACCTACCTTTCTATATCTGATCATACTATTTAATTTTATATTTTAAAGGTTGCTTGCATTTAAATATTTGTCGTATGCTCGGAGACTTGCTATTATTATGTACCATTTTTAAATGATATTTACTCTGGTAAATCTCGGACTGATACCTTTTATTATGAAAGAATGTGGTATAAAATTTAAATCTTATTTTAAATTATTAAATATAATTAAATTATGTATTCAATTTATTTTTAAAAATAATATTTAATAATATTTTAAACACTTGTTAAAAAATATTTTTTAATAAAATATAATTAATAATTAAAAATATATTGTTAACCCTCCTCGCCAATCTGAATCTATCCATTGGGTGGGGCCGCTATACATAGTCAGCTTCTCTTATTCATTAAAATCAACAACCTTAGTAAAGAAAGCACTGGCAGCAGCCTTCAATAATGCAACTATTAGGGTTGCTGTGTTCTTGCATCTAGATTTGTTAGTTTTAAAAATTATTAAAAAATTATCTATTTAATTACGTTTAAATGTTTGATAATTGTTGTTTAAATAATAGTAGTTTTTCAAAAATTACCCTAGAGTATTTGTTAAGTGCACTAAAATCCTCCGCATAAATGTTACCATGACATGAAATTAAATTTATTTAATATATTTTATTAATAGATAGAAATACGGGTGATAGTTCTTAGTGCTCAAAGATGTTGAATGGTCTCACTAGTATTAAGCTTGACTCGTTAGGCTGCTAAATTAGATGAGCTGAACTTGAAAATTTTGACATGATTTTATTTTGTAAACTATATACCCTAAAAAATCTGTGGTCAACGTATGAGACATATGAGATATAAGTTTTATTTTCGTACTGTTCATTAAGAATGCAATTGCTGAATGCTTCTATCCAATGTATGGGTCTCCACTCAAAACAAGGTGAAATCAGCTAAGATTTTTTTTTTAATGAACACGAGGGGAAAAATATTCTTTAAGAATATAGGTAATTTTTATGGAATGTAATTTTATCAAATTAATTTTTTTTATAGTAAACTAAAATTATCTTTTTATGACTTTTTATACAAAAATTAATTTTGAGATTATTGAAAAATCAAATATGTATTACCTGAATTGATTAATTTTTTATAAACTAAAACAAATATTGAATGACATGGATAAATTTTTGTATTTTTCAAAAAATTGAAATATTTTTTTTAGTAAGATTAATTATTTCTTAAATCCCAACAAACCAAAATAGTTGTAGGAAACAATTTTAGGATAAAAATAAATAATTTCTTAAAACAAGTAAGATGAAAATAATTTTATAATTCTTGAATTATAAATATTACAAAGTATTATGATTTAATAACATATTAATGGAGTCTTATGAGTCAGTAGCTATAAATATTAGTTACTGAATGAATACATGAAAATATCGGTAAAAATCATTACAGAAATTTTAATAATGTGTTTTGATTAAAAAAAATCATTCATAAAAGAGTATCCTAAGGTGCTTGTTTTATTTCTTATTTATAAAATAATATTTAAATATATTGTATATGAATTTTATTATCCTAACAAAGTAATAAAATTGTAGTAAAATAAAACTTGTAATGTTAATGATTGTTTATTACTTATAAACATTTTCTGATTTAAACTCTATTTAATACGTAATAAAGTTTTTTAGTTATTTTTTACTCTTGCTGTATAGAATGAGAATAACGAATAATAAATTGGATTAATAATTCAACAATGTAAAGTGAATTTAATTTGTATTAAGAATAAAGTGAGACTAGAAAAGAAAATGAAATGTTTGAGGCAAGATAACAGTATCATATAATGTATGTAAATGAAAACTAAATCGACATTGCATTTCGAAATATATATAATTCAAGATCATTTTATTGCTTAATAATTATTGCATCGTGTTAAATTAATCAAATCATAGTCTTATTTTGCAGTGTCAACTTCATCTCACTTCATTTTGATTGATAATCTTACCTTCAACATGACAAGTAACTAGAAGTTTGTCCCATTTCTATGACGTGACAACCAGACTCTACAAGTAACTTGCAACTTACTTTCATAGGATCATAATTTTCATTCATATCATACTTATTATTTTAGAAAAATTCTATTCTTATTTATTTAATAATTTAACATAATATTAAATGTTACTTTTTATTAGTAATCTTTCCTTGTGTCTAAATTTTAAATATAAAAAATAAAATACTTCTTATAGTCAAGTAATCCAAAGATAAAAAGAATCTATTCATAAATGATAAAATAAAAATTATCAAATTTTTATGTTTAATTTTGAATTTATATAATTTCTTTATCTCAATAAATATACCATCAATAAGAAAAATAATAGTATCTTACGAATTACAAGTGGTAACTTATCATGTTGTTAGTGAGAAAGAGAAAATCTGAGAAAATGTTTGATGGCCACGAGGAAAGACTTATATATATATATATATATTGGTGCAATTGCATTTGGCCTAGAAGATTGGCATTGGATAGGTACAATGTGCTGACATGTGAGTAGTTGACAACTCTGGAACAGCCCCCACCCTTGAATATTTTGGCGTCAGATGATTCAGAAATCAAAGCGTAAGGTCCTCGTGATATTTTGCAGCAATTAAATGATCGCAATTCTTGAACGATTACATCTAAAAGATGTATGGGTCTCCACTTTTCTTTTCTTTTCTTTTTTAAGAACACGAGGCATCGTGGAACTTGTATAATTGTTGGTTTAACGTTGCTGCAAGTTTTGCTAAGGGAGACATTATTTATTTTAATATATTTAGTCTAATCAGTACAGATATATAAATCAAATTTAAGTTTTATAAAGATTATTTAACCTAATTGAATGAATACTTGATATATTTTAAAATAAAAAGTTTACATGACATTTGTCCCCCTTTACTTACCATTAAAATATATCAATTTCCCTTTAAGTGTCTAATTTTTCAAAGAAAAACTGTTACTCGCAATTCTCATGCCAGTTTTATGGTGTAAATGTTATCCATCAAATCTATCTATATAAAGATATAAATAACGTTGGCAGTAACTTACAAAAACCATGTACCAAATTGTGCACTCGTGAAAGTAAAGTGACTGATGTAGAATCGCTCGCTATATGATGCCCTTAACTTTGTCGTTTCGCCACAAAACAATCCAAAGTTCATCACATCATCATCATTTGCGTGGATCTTTGTACTCAGTCTTATAATGGGGTAGATTGACGTTTTAACGACAGTTAGATATACTTTCAATGATTTTTTAATATTTTTTAAAAATTAATTATTAAAATAAAATAAAATAAATTTTTTTGTTAGAGTCTTTTTGTTACGATATTGTCAGTTTTGTTTATTTAACTGTACCAAAATATCTTAATTAATTTCGTGACATAACAGAAATTTAATTTCACGTACAACACTTCAGCAGCACATGCGTTTTAATTTCATGAGTTGTACTTAATAAAGTATCTTTATGGTTTAAATTCGCGTAAAACTAATACAAGGTGGCAATCGCAGGAAGTCATGTTGCAGGACGCGCATTACTGGAAAGGTTCTTTGATTAAATGGCCGAGAATCTTTTGGGTGGTCCGGTGGCTCGAACCATTCAAAGTTTGACATGTGTTAAATATGTACACATGTCGTATTTTTATTGGATGAGATTATGGTAGTTTGGAAACTCAAAATTTTTTTCGCACTGTTCACAAGACTTTGGCCTCAGTTTCCTAACACTTATAAAATGATTTTTCATATTTTTAAATAAAAATGTTTAAAATAATTTTAAATATAATTTACTTATTTTTTATTTATTTAAACAAATAAAGATTTGACAACGTTTGCAACGTGAGTTATTTGATTGCATGTGCAAGTTACCCATAATACTACAGTGCTACTGGACCCGTGACTAACTCTTAAACAGTTGTTTCTCCCAAAGTGGTGCGCAAGGGTATAGGGGCCGAGGCTTGAGTAGAATGGAAAAGCCTGTGGCTGAAATATTGCACTGCACCGAATGAAGAGGGCAAGTTTCGTCTCTCGAGACTTTGTTTATATCACATAATTATAACTTTTTAATTTTGTTTTATTTTAATAATTAAGTGTTTTAAAAAATATTAAAAAAATCAATAAGCCGTACTTCCAGCTGATATAGTATTTAAATGATTTTAATTCTGGCGCAATCATAACTTAATAATGACCGAATCGGAATTAGGGCATTTCAAAAATAAAAAAAATATACAAATTTAAAGATAACTATAATCAAATCATAAAATTACAGCCAAGTACATAAATTATCAGATAAGAATTGTTTGAATAATTAAAAGTTATAAATTTTTTAAAAAAATTTATAATATATATTCATTTTTAGTCTAAAATAAAAAATTACAAAGTATTTCAAATGCTTTATGTCTGATCTTTTAGTATCAGTTTGTTTTATTTAAATAAAATTAATTTTAAACTAAAAATATAGTTCAGAAGTAAGTTTAAATTAATATTAATTATATATTTTATATTTGAATGTGTGTCATGATAAGCGAAATTCATTTTGATAATAAACCGTAGGGGTCCGTATGCAAAATCTCAAGTCCAAGGTACATAATAATGAATATTTATTTATTTATTTAATGAATAAATACTTTTGTATTGCACTTTTTTAAATAATATTATAATAAATTAGAGATTGTTCACAATTTTTTTTGAGAGGGCTGATAAAAAAAATAGAGAGAGAAAAAGGCGTGAAATAGTTTAAAACTCAAATGTAAATTTTTTCAAAAATGAGTAAATATGTACATGAAAGGTAAAGTCATGCAAGTAAATGTGTTACTTGTAGTTTCGTTGTATAAAACCAAAAAAAAAAAAAAGAGTTATTTGTGACTGTGACATAGCTTAGAAAATAAGCTGGCATTTCAGAGAAAAAACATAATTACCTTCGTATTTGAACTTAATGCAAATCAAAGGTAAAAAAATAAATAAAAATATTTTATTAAATAAAAATACATTAGATTACCTAAAGTTTAAACTGTTGTTGTCATTAACTAAATCACGCTGCTCTAAAATACATGAAATGATAATTTCATGGAATGAGAATAAAATTATTATTGTTTTCAAAATTAAAATTTAATGTAAATAACAATTTTTGTTCATTCTCGCCTTCTCGGTACCTATATTAAAATTTTCGTGACAACCTTGTTTGACCATTTTCCTTTTCGCTTAGTTCCAATTACCGACCGAAGCCCATTGCTCTAGTTTATTATTTAGGAGTTTCGGACAAAACCTAAAATCACAACGTCGATATGTCCGAGTGGTTAAGGAGACAGACTCGAAATCTGTTGGGCTTTGCCTGCGCAGGTTCGAATCCTGCTGTCGACGCTTTATATTTGAAATCTATTTTATTTGATCAAGTCATATCCTATGTATATAAAATCAAGGGAAATATTATACTGTTGTAGGTGTCATGTTAGAGAAGAATTGATTCAAGAAGTTTTGTTGAATCAAATTTTGTTTTAACGTGGACTATTCTTTTGGTTTCTTCCCTGTGATTGCAACAATAGTGAGCTTCATACTAGTCAGTTAGCTATTTAAATCATACATATACATGCCCTTAAATTTATACAAAGTTGCTATCTTCAGATTTTTTTCCTCAAAAGCACTGTCCTTCACAAGTTGTTCTTTGTTTTTTCCCCGATTTAAAGCACGTAATTATTCTCACATCTCTCAATGAGATATCAATAGATCATGATATCAAAAGTGAGTTTATTTAATATTATTTTATTCTCCTGAGTTCAAATTTATTAAAATGCGGTGAAAAATCAAAATTCGACGGAGTCGGGGAAAAAAAACTTGAACTAATTGGAAAAGGGAATTGTTGATACGTCGGTAGACAGAAATATTAACCTACTAGCCATGCAACAGAACAAAAAGAAAACTGAACAATATTATGACAAAACAACAATACAATGGAAAGCTTTATTTATCTGTCCCGTTACGGTGAACTTAACCGTATTTTATTAATAGTTGTAAAATAATTAGCATCAACGCAACAAATCCGACCTTAGCTCAGTTGGTAGAGCGGAGGACTGTAGTGGGACCACCGTCAGTAATCCTTAGGTCGCTGGTTCGAATCCGGCAGGTCGGATTCGTTTTGTCTCTGGACCATGTTGTCCTTTTTCACCTTTCCATCCCCAAATTTGATTGTCCCGAAGAACACAAAACAAAATTCACAAGAAGAGGTCCCATCTGGACCCCTAACTGCAATGGGCTGATCGATTTGCCCACATACTACAATTCATGAGTTATCATTATCACCTTCTACTCCGAAAGATGATTGTTTGGCCCTAGCCTGTGCTTCTTCATATTGAAAGATGACCACTCATAAAATTAAATCACAGTTTTGGCTGGTCTTTCTATATGTATTTGGATACTACCAAGAAATATTATAACTACCTTAAAAATTTAAAATGCGCAACGGTACTTTTAATAACTATTGTATTTCTGTACCCACTTTTTTTATATATAATTTGAATCATTTTTCCCTTTTTATTTTCTCCTATTTAACACTTCAGGATGTGAAACAATCATTTTCCTATTTAAAAACTTCCCATTGAGAAAATATTGTTTGAGTCAATCATTAAACATATGATACCAGGGTACGTTAATGTTAGTCTTACCTTATATGTTTCTGCATATGTTTTAATACAAAGGGGGCTAATCTGAAAAATTTTATTATTATTAGCATTGGGTAATAATAATGAGAGAATTTCATACAACCTCTTATACTCAAAGCTCTGAGCAGATACAAATTAAAGCTGCAGAAAAGAGAAAGCATAGCTAAGAGACAACTTTGACTCATACAAGGACAGCGTACACAAGTTTTTCCTTTTTGCCTATCATGTGATCCAACGTATAGAGCTCCATTACAAAGTTGCCACAAATAATTCTCACAGTAGCAGCCGTTTTCTCTAGTTGTCTTTTGCAGATCAATTGCAGCCCTTTCACACAAAGTGATGAAATTCCTCTGCCCCTCTTTGGACCACTGAATTATGCAAGCACATCCCATGCCATGGTAGGTCCAAACTTGCCTCTCATGAAGCATGTTTACGACATACTTACATCCATACCAACATGATCCCTCATTTCACAAGGGACCCAAGCTGTCGCAAACACACAGCTGTTTCCTTTCCATGTGAGAACTAACATATTTTCTTCCCTCTTCATCCCCCATCCACTGGCATGCTCATCTAGCAAAGCTTTAACTTCCTTAACAGTTTCATCACAAAATGGAACATTGAAGTAACCTACATTTTTCATTCTTTGGGACATTTGCATCCCAGACTCCAACCTCTCTATTCTTTGATGCCCTTCGAAGCTGATGATGTTCTCAATTTTCTGGCCTATGTCACATTCAAACTCTGTCCTCTGACAACTATCTTTAGGCAAAAAGGTCTCAAGGGCATCAAAGGGTATCCACAAATGGTTGAAACATGTGGTAATTCTTGATGTGAGACTAGATGCACTGAGATCACAATCCTCATCAACCAAGAGCACAATTTGGGGGTTAAGTCCTTTAACTAGATTCAGAAAAGCATCCCTTAGGGAAAGATTTTGGCTGCTTCCTTTTCTATCATCAGACAAATAGCGTAGCCAATTTTGGCAATTTATGACCAAAGCTTCATCTTCCCTAAGGTTTAGCATGGTAGGATTCAAGAGGCTTAACATTGATTCAAAATTTAAGCTGCTTGTTTCAATTTCGTTACTGAATTCCGTAGATGTTAAGGGTCCTGTATTTCCTATGACATTAAATTCAAAAGGGACATCCCTAAACTTGGCAAAATTCCCTAAACGTAGGCCAACCTCATGCATTGATATATTGACCAAAGGAGGGACCGGTGGCCTACAAGATGGTACAGTGATTCTAAGTGAAGGGGGTCCTTCAGGCCTTTTAGCTAATGCATCTATAAAAGTAGGCCATTGCATACAATGTGTTATGCTAAAATCTAGAATATGTACCCTTTGGAACCCCATTATAGCTTTGAAAATTTCATTATTGGATGCACAAAATCCAAACCTATGCCAAGGAATTAGATCCACATACCCGGCTAGCTCAGTCACTGTCATCAACCTCCTTTGAATGGTGTTGCTTCCTTTGAAACTCATGGCCGTGGGGCAAATTCTTGAAGCCCTAGAGATTAGTGCCCTTAGAAACCACGAGGTGAGTCTTTGGTTAGTGTCACCCACAGGAGAAGCAACGTTGTTGAGTACCCACATAACTTGTTGAGCCAAGGTGATGTCGTTGCTCTCCAAAGCACTAGCACAGTGAAGCAATAGCTTCTCAATACAAGCTCCATCAAGGCTTCCAAGACACCCTTTAAGTGCTCCCGAAAGAGGACTGTGGGGTGTGTTGAAGAGAGGAGGGTTTTGAAAGGAAATGGACGTGCCCTTTAACTCAGCTTTCATGTGGCTATGTGTGGATGTGACGTGCATGGGACTCTAAAATAGAGCACAATGAGAAATGGTGGAGAAGAAGTGGTTGAAAAGATAGCTAGGGTTTGGTATCTTCTTATTTAAGGTGGTGTAACTAAGAGTTCTGGAATGGAAGCTATTTTTGAGAAGGTTTGATAGCTACTTACTCTGTGTGAATGTTAAAACATATTTATAGAAGAGGAAGGCCCTTGCCTGCTGAAGAGCTACATCAAAGATGTAGCGTATATGGAGCCAAAACTTATTTGTGTCCTATTGAGAACCTTGAATTTTTAGCATATGTAGCTTGGATAGAGTATAGCACCCTGCATAGTGCATAGCTTTTAGCATATGATTTTAAAATCTTTTTGAGGTTAAACTAGCGGCATGATTGGTGAATTATCGGCGACGTCAGTCACAAAAGTCACTTGAGGATGGGAGAGGTAGTCAAACTTTGCCTCAATAGTTATATAGAGATCACACAAGAATTTTCATGTACGTCTCTTCTCTACAATATATATACACATATTTTTACATTAATATATAAGATGGAGAGAAATAAGAAGCGAAAGTAGGTATAAGAAAATAAATGATGCAATAAAAAAATTATTAAAAGATATTTTGAAAATGACATTTCTATTTTATATCTTTGTTTTTTTAGATAAAATATTTGGATTCATAATTTAATTATGTACTAATTCAATAATTTTTATTTTAAGATAATTAATTGATTATAAAATTTATTAAAATATTAAAAAATGTAAAATGTTCTCATAAATTCGCTATTTTTAAATGAGTCATAGGCATTAAAGAAGTAATGCCGCGTATATTAATGAGCTTGGAGTGATAAAAAGATCATATAAACGTAATTTGACGGCTTCTTAATTTTTTTTTAATTAGCTATATTTGTTTTGTAGTAATGATTATGTTGATTATTATAACTAAATTAAAACCCGAGGGTGACAAGTAAGTTAAAACGGGTGTACTAGCCGGCTCACTCTTGTCGAATTCGTTTTCATGGAATAGCCATTTTAAAGAAGATCCCAAATACGTTGTTTACTGCAACAAATCTGAATTTCCCTTTGCCTTCGTTCCCATATTCTTACATAATGCACATATTTAATACACTATATGTGTTAAATATGGTTGAATTGTGCCATGAAATGCCATAACTAAAGACAAACCAGAACTCTTCCTACAAGGACCTATTGTCTGGACCACTTTTATGTGCCCTTCCTTCTCCAGTTTTTTGACCCCTCTTCTTCCCCACTCATTCTACCTCTCTTCCTGTTCGAAGATATCCATTTGAAAATAAGGTAAATTAAGCAACTGATCCCAAAAAAACAAAAAAAATTGGAAGCTAATTTGTACATATAATGATATATATAATTAAAAAACATAAAAATGTAGTCTGAGGGCACTTGGCCCACGATTCAGTACGTGCATACGTTTTTCAGTAAAATAAGCACCTTAAATAAACATGTGCACTATTATTTTAATGATGCATAAAAAAATTATATATAATATTTTTTATTACAAATTATACAATATATCACAATATTTATTATATTAATGATATTAAATATTATTATTTTTAATAAAAATAACATTTATTAATAAGACATATTACCTTCACGTTTATGTGTTCAATCTATTTTATAAAAAGTTACTCTTTGTACTTTGAACACGTCGAGATCTCTGGTCTGAAAAAATAAAGTTTTTGTTTGTTGTCTCTTTTAATTTAAAAATAAAATAAAATTGAAATGTGTATATAAAAGAATAAAAACAAAGTATCATCGTGCTTGGATAAAGTGAACAGAAGTTTTACTTTTTGCCTCACTTTTGTTTTCTTAATTAATTTTGAAAAAATATTTTTGAGATATGTGTAAGGAGATAAAAAAAAATGAATAAATAATAATATGGACGACATAAAATATTTGATATTTGAAAAATGAAATATTATTCTAGACAATAATGTTGAGACAACATTTACTGTCCCTTTGATCTTTATAAATTATAAGACACTTGTAAAAATTTAAAGATAAAAAGAATAATATTATATAAAAATGTTGTTCAAATTTCAATGTTCAGTAATCAAATTTTATCAATATAAAACGGTTAATTTTATTATTAATTAGCAGGGAGACTCTTGCAGTATTGCTGTAAAAAGTCTGTGTTAAAAGATTTTGGATATTTTTTATATTATTTTAATGAATTAAAATATTAAATTAAAAAAGAGTAAATGTAAATATTAAGATTGAAAACAAGAGTTTGCCAATAAATATTATTTTTATGAGAAGTACGAGGTGACTAATAAAGATCAAAGGATAGTCCGTGGGAATGCCTTTTTTTTTTTCCTTTCCTTAAAATAATTAACTGGTAAGCTGTTTTTAAATTTGTAAAATTTCGTGCGAAAATAATTCATACAATATAGCATACCTGCTTTTTTAACTTCATTTATAATCAACTAACTATTTTTTGTTTTTGCACCGCACAAGTATAATTAAATTAAATTAGTCTTTAAAATGAATAATTTAAAACATTTTATACAGAAAATTTGAAATCTTATAAGTTTAAAAATTAAATAATATAATTATTAATAATAAAGTTGTATTATATCAAATAAAATTGAAAAGATTAATCATTTTTTAAATTAATATCGTATTAAAACAAATACACAATGTAAACAAGTTTTCTTGATATGACGAATAGAACTAATTTTTAAAAATGCTTATATTCAATAATACTCCTAATTAAAAGCTCTAATTTAAAAACATTCCAAAAATTCTCTAGATTGAGAATTAATACTCACAAAATATATATAGAGGTTGATGGTAGAGTACCCTTTTCTTTTTCTTTTTGCTTTTGTGTGGATGTAATTAAAGCAACTACATTTTTCAATTTTTATAATTTTATTTCATTTTAAAAAAATTGTTATTCTTTTTATTTGGCTTCTTATTTTAGATAAAATGACTATATTTTTAATTAAAAAAATATAGAAATAACTTTAAAATTTTGGTTATTTTTCAATCTGAATTTAATAAAAAATTTGTTATGAGAAAAATAAAATAAAAATTAAATGTTTTGGGTAGTTTTAAAATGCTTCTAGTTGTTAATCGGTTTTCTGAATGATTGGTTTTTGTTTAAATCAGTTTTACTTTTTGTCAGTAGACATGGGTTCAATTTTTCAATTGCTGCTTTATATTTGTCATGATGATAGGGTTTTTTTTTTCTTGGTCCACGTTAATAGACTTTATTGCATGAAACTGCGAAACTTTGAGCTAACCACAAGGGCCCGAGCCTGTAAAAACCCTTTGGGCTTGGGCTTAGTAATTCCCGCCCATTTAATCGGTCGACATAACTGTACACACTATTTGGATTAGAAATAAAATAGAGAAAAATAATAAGGAGAACAAAATTAAGAAGAAAATAAAAAATAAAAATATGTATTATTTAAATGAATAAAAATAAAATATAACAATAAATATTTTTTTACTTGTTTGAATAAATAAAAAAGAGTAAAAATAAATAAGTACACTATACAAAAATAAAAGGGAAAAATAAAGATTTTTTTTAACATTTATACTAGAATCAATGGATCGGTTATTTGATTTTTTTTTTAAAAAATATTTAGCGAATCTCTTTTAATTTTCATTGTCATCTTATTTATTATCTTTTCTCAAAGTATATTTAAAAAATCTTCCTTTCAAACCCTTTCAAAACATTTTTTTAAAATTTATTACTGAATATATAAATCAACTAATACAATATTATTTTTAATTTCACGAATAATTTAAAGTTTGAATCTTAAAACATACAACTATGTTAACTATTTAGATGAATAAATCAGTCGCTCATTATGTCTCTTTGTGAAAAATACATATAATATGAATATGAATTAAAAAATTATGTAAGTTTCATCTATTTAGTATTTACTGCACTGTAATGTATTTATTATAGTTTCAGTTATGATATGAACTTTATATTTTTCCTTTTTCGTTAGGTCTTTTTATTTTCTCCTAACTTGTTAGACATAATATTTATTAAATAGTTATTTGATTCCTCTCGTAATACTAACTCTTTTCAAAATACTACTGGCATTTTGAAAAAATAAAATTAAAAAAATACCACGGACATTTTATTGAATTATCTTTCATTACTAAATAATTATATTTTTCTATCTTCCAAAACCCAATTGAGATTCTCCCTTATAAATCTATGAAAGTGTGTCTTTTTAATACATTAAGATGTATCAGTTATAGTTTATCTATATTATTATTTTTAAATAATTACAAAAAACTTATTTTGATTATTATTGTTGAGCCATACGTCTTACAAAAAACATATTTAATAATGCTATTGTTACTTTTATATTTTCTTTTTAAGCATCAATATTATTTTTATAAATATATTTATTGTAAATTTTATTATGTAATCGTACATAAGAAAATTATTATGGAATGATGTTTTAACTGTTTAATATGAATTTCAATTTATGCAAAAATGAGAAATTATTAAATCTATTTTATTTTTTATATGACATTTAATTTGTCTATTATTATTACAAGTAAGGAAATGATACGACGAGGGTGACACTTCCATCTTATTGAGTATAGCCTAGCTGACATCTTAATTTTTTTTTTTTAAAATGTTGTTATACAAAATTATATTATAAATAATTTTACCTTATTATAATTATTTATATAGTCTTTATATATCATGGATGTTTTTAGATATGGGAGTTCTTCAAATATTTTTTTAAATGTTACTGAAGAAAATCAAACCCCTTTGTTAATTTGAGAACGGCGAGGATTTTCATATAAATTATTGAGCATTTTTGTGCTCTTATGTTAACAGTGATATTGCAAAACTGCTGGTATAAAAACTGTTTTTATCTTTATTGGTAAAGTAAATTGAAAATAAAAGTTTTCTACAATTAGTAAAAGAAAGAATAAACATATTTATCGAATTTAAACGAATATTGAAAATATCAACTTGTGAATCGGTGGGGATAAAATTTTCCCTCTTTTAAAGGTGGAAATATTTTTCTATTTTGAAATTTATTGAAAATTTTGTTAACAATTATATATATATATATATATATATATTATTCTTAAAGAAGTTAACTAATAACTAAACATACATTTTATAAAATTTATATAAATATATTCCTAAAAAAAATTACCAAATTAGGGATTTAAGTTGGAAAGAAAAAATCCTTTTATCAAATATTTAAAATTTGAATTTCCAATATTCAATAATAAATATTATTATCTTTTTCTCTTTTTAAAATTTCATGCAATAAAAATACAGTGGAGAAATACATGGTAAAGGGATAACGATTAGTCCTAACTGCAAGGGAGGTTTGTTTACTTCATTTCATGACTCAGGATAAAACCGTTCAGTCCTAACTCCTAATAATTTCCTATAAATAGAGTTCCATAGTTAACAAAACTATTGGATTGCTCACTCAAACAACCTAATCAACGATCCAAATTTTCGAGGAACACATGAAGAAGTGTTTTCCCTCACTACGATCTTGTGTAAGAACCTGCGTCACTCTGTCTTCGGCGCCGTCCGATGACGACAACCACCGTCCAACGCTTCATTCCTCCGCCAATTCCCAGCCCCTTAGGCGCAGCAAATCACAGTGGAGACCCACGCTTTCGATCATCATGGAGGAACATGTAACCGTAGCTGAGGACCACGACAACAACGTTGATGGTAAACCCGACAAGAAATGCTTCGTTACAAGGTTCTCTTCCCTCCCCTACGTACCTGAAGTGCGTTATTATGAGTTTTCAAATAATAACATTTCAGCTTGGTAACGTTTAAATTGACGTTTCAATTGAAATCTACGAACAATATTTTTTAAACACACGAGTTATTTATATAAATTTTATTTTCAATTTATATTTATTTTCAAATGCATTTTCAAACATATATACATGTTTTTAAAGGTTCCATATTTTGAATACCATTAAATTTGATTTTAAGTGATTATGTACTATGCCACTGATTTAGTTTTTTAGACATTCAACTAATATTAAAATTTTAATTTAAATATATTATTAATACACATTTTTTATACTATCATTTAATTAATCATATTAAAACTAATTAGTTATTTCAATAATAGTTAATATTTATTATATATTATAATTAGTTGACCTTTTAAAAATATTTACTGCGATAAAATTTAATATTAATACTTGTTTGATATTTTTTTTATATCACATAGATTATTATATCTTTTTTTATTTTTATCTCACTTTATTATGTAACTTATACATCCTAATTTAATCTAGTCATTGATATTCACTTGACACATTGAGAAGATGAAATGTTTTTAAAATTCTTTTTAGGAAAATTTTCTGAATGATCAAAATTAAATATATTTTTTGTTAATCAAACGTAAACAATTGTAGTTAAAACTACTACTATTAAATTAATTATTTTCTTTATACTTTTCAGGAAGAAGGGAAAGTGCAAGTCGATCGTAATATTGTTCCCGTTCTCTGTGTTTTGAGTTTTACTTTGTCATAGTTTCCTCTCTGTACATATATGTGAATTTATTGTACCTCTTCAAATTTTTGCTATTATATGCATTTGATTTAGATCAATAGACAATGGCAGCAAAGGAGTGGTTTCATCGATTTGTTTATTTGGTTTGATAGGGGAAATTATATTTTAAATTAGTATTCGGAAGGATCTTCCGTTATTCCGATAATTAATTGAATCCATCATTTAGTAATAAGTAAATATTATTTTAATAAAAAAAGAATATATTCTGCAAAATCAAAATATTAAACTATTCCTCACCAATGATCTTCTTTTAAGTAAACAACTTAATCAACATTAATTATTTTGATTCCATTAGTGCAATCAATTCTTGATCAGATACATGTTTTTTTTTCATAAACAAACATAAATTTGATTCTGTTTCTTACTACTCGTTTAACAAAATACAAAATAAAAAGCCAAAATAATTTAAAAGATATAAACAATAAACCATTTTAAAAGACTTCGTAATAACAACAATAAGTTGAAACGTGCTGTCTAAGCAAATAAAATTTTTTATTTAACTATTCTAAAGTAATCATCATACGAAATTTTAAGTTTGAATAAAATTATAAATTTTAAAATAATATAATACATTTTTAATAGTTTAACAAGACAATTTATTTTCCACGATTTTTTTTTACATTAAGAAACAAATAAAAACCTTTTACACCTTTCTTAACATTTGGCCTCATAAATATTTTTTACAGAAAAATTAAAATAAAATGAATTTTATTTTATTAAAATTGAAATTAAGATATACATTTTAATATGTCTACATTTTGGTTTTGTTTTGTTTTTATATCATTTATGGTGAAAAAATAAGTTTTTATTTACAATAACTGCTTGATTCTTTTTGTTTTCTTACATTTATACCTATTAAACTATTTAACGTCTTGGCTTGTTAGCTAACATAAAGGCTTATGCTTGTAGTACTTATGAATATGATTGTTAACTTAATGATAATAATAAAAGCTTAATACAAAGTAGTTATTTAACAAGTTGTCATGTTATATTTTAAAGTGGCCAACTTAGACTATAAAAAGCCATATGTTAAATACAATACTTAATCTTTGAATTAGTGACAAATACTAGACTCGTCAATAGCTATATTAATCTTGTCTAAACTGTGGCCAAATATCAGTGTTTTGTGTATTTTGTTTTCTTACGTCTCCTTCCATTTGTTTTTCTTCTTTTTTTCTCACATTGTAATTGGTATATATTTGTTTTGTCCTTTTATCATGCAAAGCAAATACCTCCTAGTTTAACATAGAATTAGACTCCAATGATGAAAAAAATTCGTACTCACGAATAAAATGTGTTTAGCGTACTGTTACTTGTCATGTGTTTGATTTGATGTTTTTATACTTTAGACCTGAATATTTTTAAAGTTATACAGTCTAATTTGCAACAACATATATATATATATATATATATATATATATATATATATATATATATATATATGTCTACAGAGAGAGTGAGAATAAAAAGTTTATATTTTTTTCAGATTGAGTTAATCCCTTTTAATATTAGTAAGCTATATAATTATTTTTACTTTACGTGTATTTATAATGCATATATGGTCTATATATGTACGAAACGTAGTTTTTTTTCTTCGTAACTTATTGAGCATTTAAAAAACTTTATAATAAAAATTATGAAAATAATCTATAGTTTTTATAAATTTGTTTAACTTATTTTCATAAATTTTATAATATTTTTGCAGTATAAATCATCATAAATATATTAAATACTTAAATAAATTACGTACTAATACACATCTGCATATCAACATATATAGATGAGGTTAAAATTTGTACTTAAAAGGAGCTAAAACAAAAATATGATTTATAAATAAAAAAAAATTAATATATATATATATATATATATATATATAAAGGGATAGAATCATGTTACATTAATGTAAGTTTAAAAACTCTTATATTTAATATAAATTTTTATTTAATTTAAATCTAATAAATTATAATTTATTATTTTACTGACTTAAACATAATTAAATGAAAAGCTTAAATTGAATTTAAGAACTTTTATACTTACATTAGTATAATTTTTTTTCATATATAATTAATTTGAGTAAAATTTATTAAAGCAAAAAATAAAAGATAAAATAGATAAAAATTTGTCTATAACTTAAAATTAAGTTATAGATGTCAAGTCTTAAAAGATTAAATATAACAACTTCAAAAAAATTAAGGTTCAAAACTAATTTGAATTATTTTCACACAATAATATTAAAAAAATTTGAAAAATCTAGAAATAACAATGACAGCAGTGAGTCACCATTATCTTCGCCACTAATACATGCATTTGTTAAATAAGTTAGCATTTTTGTTAATCTCGATTTAAATTTAAATATTAAATCCTGATTCATAACCTTGGAGGATAAGAATTGATAATGGGCCAAAACAATCTTGAATAAATTATTGGCCCAGGCCCATTTCTGCTGATTTTGTCCCACCCAAATGCATAGTGGCTTCCCCGCCCACAGGGGTAATTACGTACTTTACCGAGCAAGAAGAGAAAAAAAAAAAAAAAAACAATAAAAATAACACGAAGGTTTCGTCTTTCATCCAGACCAACAAGAAGAAGAACACAACGCAAGGAAGAGAACATATAATAGCAGAGAGAGGAAGCGCCAAGAAGGAAGACACTGTGACTAATTACCCTTTTCCACACACAATTCCTCTCACCACCAATCACACTTCTCGATCTTCGCTTCTTTTCACGCTTCAAATTCGCAACGCCACCTACGCTTTTCTCTCCGATCTGTTGTCTTCTTTCTTTGCTTTTCACGGTAATTTTCTATTTATCTCCTTCTCCTTCTTCTTCTTTTTCGTTTTTAATTTTCATTCTATATTTCAATGGACTCGCTTCATAGGGTTCAAATCATGAACAATATTGTTTTTTCCTACGTAAGGTTTCTCGTTCGCTCGCACGTGCCGGTGTGAGAATTATATACATTTGCTTCGGTTTTAACCTATGTCTTCATTTTCTGTGGGATTTAGGGTTTTCAATTGGAGCAAGGATTAAAGAGAGGTGAAGCATCTGCAGCATGAGCATCGATAGCCCCGGGCAAGGGGACAGTTAGGGTTTCGAGCTTCTGAACTCGAGGGTGAGATTTCCATGGGCGATGGAGGCGTCGCACGCATGCCTTTGCAGTATATTATGGAGAGGTTGCCGAATGCCGAGAAGACGCTTTGCGGAGCCAAGAGTGGGAATGGCTACAATTCTAAGTTGCTCAAGTTTTCTGACAGCGAGAGGAGGAAGATGAAGGCAAGGAAGAGTGAATTGGGTTTGGACAGAGTGAGCAAGAGAAGTAACGATGTTGAGAACGGTGAAGTGTTTGTGGAGAAGGAGGAAGTGGAAGAGGGTGAATTGGGCACTCTGAAGTGGCCCAGAAGTGACCTGGAAAATGGAGAGTTTGTGCCGGAGATGCCGTCCAGGAGAAGCGAGATTGAGAATGGAGAGATTGTGAGTGAGAAGTGGAAACCAAGGGAGGTGGTGAAGGGCGAGATTCACTCTGGCAAATGGAGAAAAGAGGATGTGGAAAGAGGGGAGATTGTTCCTGACAAGTGTAGGAAAGTAGAAGCTGAGAAAGGTGAGTACGGGTCATGGAGAGGTGTAAAGGATGAAATTGAGAAGGGAGAATTCATTCCAGATAGATGGTATAAGGGAGAAATGGGCAAAGATGACTATGATAACGCTAGAATCCGCAGGTACCATTCAGGTAGGGACAAAGGGTGGAAAACTGAACGTGAGCATGAACGGACACCCTCTTCTGGAAGATATACAGGTGATGACTTTTTTAGAAAGAAAGAATTGAATAGAAGTGGGGGTCAGCATGCTAAAAGTTCTCCCCGGTGGGAGGGTGGTCAACAGCGGAATATAAGGATCAGTTCAAAGATTGTAGACGATGAAAAGAACGTACACAGCAATGGTAAGGATCATACACGAGATTACACTTCTGGAAGTCGCTTGAAGAGGCTTGGTAATGATTCTGACAGCAGTGAGCGGAAGCATTCTGCTGATTACGCCAGTTTGAAAAGTCGAAGGCTTTCTGATGATAGCTGTCGCCATGTTTATTCAGAGAACTATTCTCGTCGCTCTGTGGAGCGGTCTTACAGAAACAATACTTATACAAAATTATCAGCAGACAAGTATTCTTCTAGAAATCATGAAACTTCTTTGTCCAGCAGACCAACTTATGACAGGCATGGGCGCAGCCCTGGTCATTCTGAGCGGTCCCCACGAGATAGAGGCAGGTATTATGATCATAGAGATCGCACCCCAGTGCGTCGATCTCCCTGTGGTCGTGACAGATCTCCATATAACCGGGAGAAATCCCCCTATGGTCGGGATAGGTCCCCTTATATGAGGAACTGGGATAGGAATCGACAGCATGATCAGAAATTGAGAAGTCCAGCCCGTGCTGAGCAGTCACCACCAGATAGAAGTCGGCGTCATGATCGCAGGGATTCTACCCCAAATTTGGTAGAATCATCTCCCCTTGATCGAACTAGGAAAGATGGTAATCGGGAAACAAGTCGTAAAACCTTGTCAAGCGAAAAGCATAACTCCCAAAATAGTTTTAAGGATCATGAAGATAAGCACGTACAAAGGGAGTCAAATTGTTCAAGTACAGAATCTAAAGGTGAAAGAAATGTGCAAGATACCAGTGAGTCCATGGAGAAAGACATCTGCAATCAGCCTCTAAAGGAACAGCAGAGCTGCAGCCCAACTGTTAGCTACAAAGAATCCCCTCACTTTGAGCCACCTCCTGAGGAGCTACCTTCAATGGAAGAAGATATGGACATTTGTGACACCCCTCCGCATGTCCCTGTGGTAACAGATTTGTCATCAGGGAAATGGTATTACCTTGATTATGGTGGTGTTGAAAATGGACCTGCTAAATTGTGTGACATCAAGGTCCTTGTGGATGAAGGTGTGATGATGTCAGATCACTTTATCAAGCACTTAGACAGTGACAGGTGGTTAACAGTTGAAAATGCGGCGTCACCGTTGGCATCTCAGAGCTTTCCATCAATTGTGGCGGATACCATAACTCAACTGGTAAATCCTCCGGAAGCTCCTGGTAATATTTTGTCAGACACTGCAGATAATCTTCAATCTGGTCCCGAGAATCATCAGGAAATGCTAGCCTCCTCACAGCCACCACTGGTATGCCCTAATGACAGTGTGCTTACATCTGAACTTTTGGAGGACCTCCACATTGATGAAAGAGTTAGAAATCTGTTAGAGGGACATGATGTCACTCCCGGGATGGAACTTGAGGCAATAAAAGGTATTTTGTCCTGTCAATGGTATTCTTGAGAATTTCTTTAAAAAGTGAGAAAATGAATCTCAGAATTTGTTGTCAATCTAAGGTGCCGTTTTGGTTGGGAAAATTGTTTTCTGATTTTATTTTCTGTTTATATCTTTTATTACAAAAATGACACCTTATTTTCATTTTGTTTCTTATTTATTAAAATTGTGTATAGAAAACGATAGAAAAGTTGTTTTTGACATTCTCTATACAAATTATTTAAAAATGGAAAATAAAATAAAACAAGGTGGTATTTTTGTTATTTAGAGTATTTTTTTTTTTCTCAAACCAAACGGTTTCTTATTTTCTTCGCCCTATTTACTGAGATTACCTTATCTTTTCCTACTTGGTTATTATTATTTATTCTTTCAGAGGCATTGCAAATGAATTTTGAAAATGCAAAAGGAGAGGGATTGGGAGACTATGAAGGTACATACTTGCTCTGTGGTTCTTGTCCATTTTCATTATTTTAAATCGATACATTCTAATTCATGATTTTTTTTGTGTTTGGTATTTCTTTTAAAGGTGCCATATTCTGGCAAGTTTGATCTTTTTTTTTTCTTTGAAGCATTTTGTATTGTACTATATTAAAATTGGTAGTCCTGTTTTGGGAAATTTTCAATTTGTTTGGTTTTCTGGTACCTGACAATTTTCACTTTTTTATTATTGAAATTCTCCATAACCAGTGTTTTGGCTTGGTATGCCAAAAGCAGCTTCTTGTTTTAGTTTCTGATATTTTATTGCTTGTGTGTTGACAAGTGGACTCTTCTCTTGATGTTGGTATTGGTAACACATGGTTAAGAGCTGATAATTGTTTGAAACTTGTATATAAAGAATTGGAGAGGTGTGGATTGTAATTTGGAAACAGTTATTGTTTCAACTTTTAAGCTAATGTATTGGAATGTCTGTCTAGAATCTATATGGTTTTTTAATGGATTTAACTCCCCTAAAGTGAACAGATGTATAAAGTGAAGGTTTGTTCACCGTTGATTTGAATTTAAATATTTTGTAAATATAACCTAATTTAGATTAATGGTGAATAAGTACTCATTTTTTTTGCTTTTGCACATTTTCTCAATTTAGAGTGGCCAAATCCTTTTTAAATGATAAAATATTAGGTATTTTGCATTTCATTTAGGCTTTGCCCCATTGCCCTTTTGTTATGCTTGCCTTATTTTTTCAATTTTTCTTAGTTGAATATAAAGTTTGCATTAATTCCAATTGGTTGTGTAGGGTGATAGGGGTGTACAAGACCCAATATGTATGACCAACATGTCCTGATCTGATGTTGATTTAATAGATACGAGTTTTCAATATTAGATATGGTGTATTTCGATGAAGGGTTTGGGATATAGTTTGGGTTGTCTCAATCCGGTCCAATGTCCTGTTTCTTTTAAAATTTATATATTTTTAAAACTAATTATGCATTAGTAATAAGATTTCAAGATTTAATAGATAATATTTTGCATATTATGAATTTATGATATTGTCTTTATATTAATATCATTCGCTTTAAAATGTATACTATAAAATATACTTTGATTTTATTCTTTATTACTTTTATGATTTAACCATACACAATGTTAATATTGATATATTTTGTTTATAAATTGGGTTGATTTCTGTTCCAATATTATTGGCTCAGGTTTGGATTCAGAAAAATGACCTATCAAAATTTTGGGGTGGACTGGGTAAAGACAGAAATCTGTCCCATGTACACCCTTATATGGTGGTTTAGTATGTCATTGTATCTTTGCAATCAATTTAGTGGGTTGGTCATAATATAAAAATTCAAATTTATTTATACATTGGGGCAGATTAATTGAATAAAATCATGCTTACTGGCTTTTATTAAAAACTGAAAATGCAAAATGTTTCAGGTGGTAATTTTACATCATATATGGAACTTAATTGCAATTTGATTTATCTTGTTATGCTTATGCACCCAAAACTAATTTGTGGATATTATGTTTATTCTTCATCTGGATAAGTTCAAATGTAAGTGGATATACACTTAAACAGTTATGTGTTGCATGACAATGGTATCTTTGCCTTTGTTCAGGTTTTCCTTGGAATGTTTCCTGGGCAAGGGAAGATTATGATTCAGGTACTGATTTGGCATCAGGAGATTCTGAGTCTCAATTAAGTATGTCCTGTGATAAGGATAATGGATTTGCCTTTGGCATTTCTGGTGACTGGTTTTCCTCCCGTTGGTCATGCAAAGGTGGTGACTGGAAGAGGAATGATGATGCCCAAGATAGATATTCTAGGAAGAAACTTGTCCTGAATAATGGTTTTCCTTTATGTCAAATGCCAAAGTCTGGATGTGAAGATCCTCGTTGGCCTCAAAAGGACGACTTGTACTTTCCTTCTCAAAGCAGGAGGCTTGATCTCCCTCTGTGGGCTTTCTGTGCTGATGAGAGCAGATCAGTTCAATGTAAGCCTGCTTCTATTAGAGGAGTGAAAGGCAATGTTCTTTCGGTGGTCAGGATTAATGCATGTGTAGTTAAGGACCAGGGATCATTGGTTTCTGAGCCACGCCATAAGACCCGGGGCAAGGATAGACATCATTCAAGGTCAACTCGGCCTTTCTCTTCAAACAGTGATAGCAAGAGATCCTCAACTGAACAAGATTCTCAGTCAAAATCTGTTAGCGATCAAGGTTCTTGTCGTAGCATGGAATTCATTAACATTCCTAAAGACCATCTCTGTACTATCCATGAATTGCAGTTACATTTGGGTGATTGGTATTATCTTGATGGTTCTGGGCGTGAAAGAGGGCCCTCATCATTTTCAGAGCTACAGTATTTAGTTGATCAAGGAATCATAAAAAAGCATAGCAGTGTGTTCAGGAAAAGTGATAGACTCTGGGTTCCTGTTATTTCTGCAGCAGAAACTTCTGATGGCAATCTCACGAGCCACCAAGAAAGCAGTTCAATATCTGGTGCACGCTCTGGATTTCCATCAAAGCAAACTGAAGGCATTTCATGTGGGGAACCTTACACATATTCAAGTTTGTTTAACAGCTTACACCCTCAGTTTGTTGGTTATACTCGTGGGAAGTTACATGAACTGGTGATGAAATCATACAAGAGCCGGGAGCTTGCTGCCGTTATAAATGAGGTGTTGGACCCTTGGATCAATGCAAGACAACCAAAGAAAGAAATCGAGAAACAAATATATTGGAAATCAGGTAATGATCAATTCTTTTTTGAATATGTCCTCAACCCTTCCTTCACTTAATTTGTAAATTTTTATCTTGTTTTTGGTTCAAATTTCCATTTTTTTCCCCAAAAAATTAGTGATTAGGGAACGATTTGCTTCCTTTTAGCCTAATGTATTTGGTTGACCTGTATAAGTTGAGCTCATTTACTAGCGAATTTGCCCTTCTGACCAATATTTGTGGCCTTTTGATGCACTCCTTTGGGGGTAGTGTGCATTATATCAGTCTATCGCAGGATATTTTATTCAAGTAGTTTCCTTATTAGTTTTATTAATTTATTTTCTTGTTTTGTGTGCTTGTTGGGGCATATAAATTTTAGAAGGTGATGCACGTGCTGCCAAAAGAGCTCGGATGCTGGTTGATGATAGCGAAGAAGATAGTGATTTTGACGATGAAGATGTTACTGTCGATAAGGATGAATCCACTTTTGATGATCTATGCGGTGACGCTACTTTCCCTGAAGTTGATATTACTGATGACGTGGGAAGCTGGGGCCTATTGGATGGTTGTCTGCTAGCACGGATCTTCCATTTTCTGAGATCTGATTTGAAGTCCCTTGTTTTTGCATCAATTACTTGCAAACATTGGAGAGCTGCTGTAACTTTTTATAAAGAAGTGTCAATGCAGGTCAATCTGTCATCCTTAGGTCATTCCTGCACCGATACCTTGTTGTGGAACATTTTGGTAGGTTTATATATATTTGGCAATTCTCATTTTCAGGAATGCTTTTTATTCTTCATCTTCACCTTATGTGATTATTTGTTTGCAGAATGCTTATGAGAAAGAGAAGATCAATTCTATAATCTTAAGGGGTTGTATCAATATTACGGCTGACATGCTTGAGAAAGTTCTTCTCTCATTTCCTGGTTTATTTACAGTGGACATTAGAGGGTGCAACCAGTTTAGTGAGCTGATTCTTAAATTTGCCAATGTGAAATGGATCAAGAGCCGATGTTCACACTTGACTAAAATTGCAGAGGAGCCTCATAAAATTAGAAGCCTTAAACATATTACGGAGCAAACTTCATCTGTTTCCAAATCTAGCAGTTTAGGTATAGATGATTTTGGTCAGTTGAAGGATTATTTTGATAGTGTGGATAAGAGAGACACCAAACAATTGTTCCGCCAAAACTTATACAAGCGGTCAAAATTATATGATGCTAGAAGGTCCTCTTCCATTCTATCTAGGGATGCTCGTACAAGACGTTGGTCAATTAAGAAATCTGAAAGTAGTTATAAGAGAATGGAGGAATTCCTTGCTTCAAGACTGAGGGAAATTATGAAAACAAACTCTTGTGAATTTTTTGTGCCCAAGGTACTCTGCTGAATACTTTTAAAATTACTATCATGGAGATGTGCTCTGTTACTCATGATTTCGTTTCTCTTATGCTTTCTCTGTTAATAGGTCGCAGAAATTGAAGCTAAAATGAGAACTGGTTATTACAGTAGACGGGGGTTGAATTCTGTCAAAGAGGACATAAGTAGAATGTGCCGTGATGCTATAAAGTAAGTTATCTTTTTTTGTTTTGCCATTTTCATTTGGGGGTGATGATTATTCTCACTTTTTTCTGATGCGAGGGTTATAGATGATAGGATTTATTAGTTTATGTTGACAATAATACAATGACTTTAGTTTGTTCCTTTTTGATTACTCATCCTCTTGTCATGGAGGTTGTTTTGTTTGATTCTCAGCTGTATCCATAACCTCTACTGCTTTGCAGTTGTAGTTATCTTTCATCCATGCTAATTTTAGTGGTTTTACATACATCTTAGCTGCTGCTTGCTGATATTATGTTCAAGATTTACATATTATATGTTGCAGTTGCCTCTGTTGAGTCTGTTTATGTATTTGTTGATTAGCATGCTTTTCTTGTGTCATCTAAAATGTGTGTTTCATCCGACAACCCACATTTTTCTTGTTTTCCCACCTAATATATATGTTATGTTTTTAATTTGTTCATATGCTTAATGATTACAGAGTGAAGAATCGGAGTGATGCTAGTGAAATGAATCATATTATCACATTGTTTATTCAGCTTGCTACACGGCTGGAAGAGAGTTCTAAATTTGTTCACGACAGAAATGCACTACTGAAATCATGTGAAAATGACTCGCCTGCTGTCTCCTGCTCTACTTTCTCAAAGTATAAGAAGAATAGATTTGTGAATGAAAGGAAGTATCGAAGTAATGGAACACACAGTGGTCTGGATAATGCAGAATATACATCTGATGATGATCTTGATAAGTCTTGTGAAGATGGCAAGAGTGACAGTGATACTACAACCTCTGACTCTGAAAGTGGTCAGTCAGAGAGTCTAATTAGGGAGTCAAGAGGCGATGGGTACTTTACATCAGAGGAAGAGTTGGATTTTATAACTGATGATCGAGAGTGGGGTGCTCGCATGACAAAAGCAAGCCTGGTTCCTCCAGTTACCAGGAAATATGAAGTCATCGATCAATATTGTATTGTAGCTGATGAGGAGGATGTGAGAAGGAAAATGCGGGTTTCATTACCAGATGACTATGCTGAGAAGCTGAGTGCACAAAAGAATGGAACTGAGGAGTCAGATATGGAACTTCCTGAAGTAAAAGAATACAAACCTAGAAAGCAGCTAGGCAATGAGGTTATTGAGCAAGAAGTTTATGGAATTGATCCTTATACACATAATCTTTTGCTTGATTCTATGCCAGAGGAGTTAGATTGGTCTCTTCAGGAGAAACATTTGTTTATAGAAGACATGCTCCTTCGAACATTGAATAAGCAAGTTAGGAATTTTACTGGAACTGGAAGCACACCAATGAGCTACCCTTTGCGGCCTGTCATTGAAGATATTAAAAGATGTGCTGAGGAGGACTGTGATGCAAGAATGATTAAAATGTGTCAAGGTATTCTGAAGGCCATAGACAGTCGTCCAGATGACAAATATGTAGCTTATAGGAAGGTATATACATTTTTTGTTATTTAATTTAACTATAATTTAACACTTATTTTCCACTAGATTGAGTGCATTGGTTTCTCTGTTTGTTTGTTGCCTTTGAGCTGTTAATTTTTGTTGTTTTAATACTATCTTTGGGATGGATGATATAGGGGCTTGGTGTTGTTTGCAACAAGGAAGAAGGCTTTGCTGAAGATGATTTTATTGTCGAGTTTCTGGGAGAGGTATGGCTTCATACATTTTCACAGCATTTTACCCATGCATCTTCTTTCTTTGGTTATATAATTTGCTGCAAACTGTGTTTCTTTGTGCTTGCTCTTACTTTGAACTAATTGTTGGTTTCCAGTTTAATGTTAAATATTTATGCAATAATCCATCTACAAGAGAGAATAGAAAACTGTATGCACACATGATTTATTTTGTGTTCTATAACATGCTTAAACTAGTCATGATCTATTCTCTACAAATCTATATTTTTCTCTACTTCATACATTCAACTTAATGTCAAGTATCTAAGCTATATAGTCCATGCCCTAGAGTATAGAAAATCATGCACGCAGTGACATGCACACAATTTGTTTTGTTTTCTCTATTGTGATTAAACTAGTTACTATCTATTCTCACAAATCGACATTGCTGTGTTTTTTGTATGCAGCATATTAAGTAGGCAACAATTTACTCTTCTGATTTGTGCCTACAAATAATTGTGACCTATTAGATCCTCAGATTTTCTAATAGACTCAGGGTTTTGAGCTATTTATGGCATTGCTAGCTAAGGCTTTGTATAGAATGATCTTGTACAATACATGTTTGTTCTTTTGAATTGATATGCTCTTGTGGTTCATTGCATCTTCCACATGAGGTTTTCAGTTTGAAATTTAGTCTGCAGCACCATATGGTTTATATGATTTTGTAACAACGAGGCATTTAAATTTCTTTTATATTGAAATTGTTTTCATAGGTTTATCCTGTGTGGAAGTGGTTTGAGAAACAAGATGGGATTCGATCTCTGCAGAAAGATAGTAAAGATCCTGCACCAGAATTCTATAACATCTACCTTGAAAGGCCAAAGGTGCCAATTACTTCAAATAACAAGTTTATGATGTTTAACTTGATTTGGTTCATCTATCTTCCATTCCTTACTTATCCAATCTAATTTTCATGACAGGGTGATGCTGATGGGTATGATTTAGTTGTCGTTGATGCCATGCACAAGGCTAATTATGCTAGTCGAATATGTCATTCTTGCCGACCTAATTGTGAAGCTAAGTAAGTTTGTCATTCATGTTATGTGATCTATAAAGCAGACTCTAATATGGATTCCAAGACACCAGAAGCATACACACAAATAAAAACTCAATGAAATCAAATTAAATATGTGCAACATAACAAATTATCTGCATTGATAATAAAGTTTGCATATACTTGTATATTCGTGTTTCTCCTATGATCATTGTCATTCATTGTGGATGCCTTTAAGTCAGCATTACTCCCAGACTCCAGTTTAAGTCAGCATGCAAAGTTGTTGCTTCATGTTCTGTTGTCTTCTTTATTCCTCAATCTCCTTTCATTCTTCTTTGTTCTACGATGTGTATGTTATGGATGGCTTTAAATGCTTTTGTCAATGCTGTCTTAGAATTATCAAATTCTACATTTTCTATTCTGGCGGTCAAAATTATTTAGTAGAATAGCAACACAATTGGCTTAAGATGTTTTAACATTGAAATGGCGGACCTAAAACATCTTATCAAAGGAATAAACTGCTTGTGTATGTTCATTTATGGTAATGGTGCTAGTGGATTTTCAGTTGTAAAGGACATCACTAATGACTTTTAATTTGAAATTACTCAGTTTCTACTGTGGAAGTAAAAGTTTCTAGGTTGCTTTAGACGAGAAATATCAACTAGCTAGTTGATTGATCTTCCAATTCATTTTGTCCCTTGGCTTGGCTGTGGCAGGAAAGGTGCAGATGGACCAAATCTACATAATACAAAATTTTCATATTTAGACATGAGTTTGGGGATATATATATTTTATCTCAATTTTGGCCCTATAATGCATTTTGATTATTTATTGGTTTACCGAGTATTGTATTACTAGTCACATTCCTTTTGCTCAAAATTTTTAATTGTAATATCATTTCTGATAATTATCTATTGTCATTTTCACTATTTTTCCAGAGTTACCGCTGTTGATGGTCAATATCAAATTGGTATCTATAATGTTCGGAAAATTCAACATGGTGAAGAGATTACTTTCGATTACAATTCTGTTACAGAGGTATGTCCTGTTACCTGCTGACTTTTATCTATTCTATGAGATAAATGTATCTGAAGTATACCTTTTCTAAATGAGAACCTTTTCGTCACACTGTAGAGCAAGGAGGAGTATGAAGCATCAGTTTGTTTGTGTGGAAGCCAAGTATGCCGGGGGAGCTATCTGAATCTGACTGGTGAAGGGGCTTTTCAAAAGGTTTGGACTTGTAGGAAATTTTCAACTTATAGGTGCTAAGAAAGATAAGAGAAAAGGATAACTATTCTCAAGTCTTCAGTGGATTTACTGAACATGCTTGCATATTGGTAGTTTTCTTCACATGAAACCTTGGCTTGGGTTGCATGAGAAAATGGAATAATATGGATTCTATTGTATTTAAATCGTTTGATAACTTGTTGAATGGAATATGTTGTCCCTCCTCTCAGGTTCTGAAGGACTCACATGGAGTTCTTGATCGGCATTATTTGATGCTAGAAGCCTGTGAATTAAACTCCGTGTCTGAAGAGGACTATAATGACCTGGGAAGAGCTGGTTTAGGCAGTTGCTTGCTTGGAGGCCTGCCAGATTGGCTTGTTGCATATGCAGCCCGCCTTGTATGTGCCTTACTTGTGTTGTCACAATATTTTTCTGTTTTTGCTGTTGTTTTGTGTATCAATTTTCCCTAACTTATATGCAATGGTGAAGGTGAGATTCATCAATTTTGAGAGAACTAAACTACCTGAAGAAATTCTAAAGCATAATCTGGAAGAGAAGAGAAAATATTTTTCGGATATATGTCTTGAAGTTGAAAGGAGTGATGCTGAGGTTCAGGTGTGCTCTCTGTCTGTTGGTCTATTTTCATGTAATATTATAATTTGAATAACATTGTAATATTTTTATTCTTATTTTTCATGTAAAGATTTATTTTACTATATCCTATCTTTTGTATTGCTCAGGCTGAGGGTGTGTACAACCAAAGGCTTCAGAATCTTGCTGTCACTCTTGATAAGGTGATTCTGCCTCTCCAATATCTATATTTTCCTTTTCATTGATCTAGTTTATAATGTTGAAAAGAAGAAAACCACTGCATTTAAAATGTGATCATAAAGGAGAAATTGTTAAGACATTAGTTTTTGGTATAGGAATCTGTATAGTATGAAAGTTTCTAGATGGTCAATAATTTTAGATCTCACGATGCATGTCAAGCATTTTGCTACGCAACTCTGCATCTTGATGTTCAGAAATGTCGATTCACTTTGCAGTGTTATCTCATTGTAAATCAGTAGTTTTCCAATTAATGTTGCTTTCTGTAGTTTGAAGATGATGTTAATCTTTGATGAGTTATTACAGGTAAGGTATGTTATGAGATGTATTTTTGGTGATCCACGTAAAGCACCCCCTCCCCTTGAGAAGCTCAGTCCCGAAGAAACTGTTTCCTTCATCTGGAAAGGAGAGGGTTCATTCGTTGGTGAGCTTCTTCAGTGCATAGCACCTCATGTTGAAGAAGACATCTTGAATGATCTCGAGTCCAAAATTCATGCTCATGATCCCTCAAGTTCTGGAGATATTCAAAAGGAGCTTCGGAAATCTCTGTTATGGTAAGTAGTTTGTGCTTCTAGTTGGTCTTGTGTATTTTCAGCTAGTTGAACTTGCATTCTTTACAGTATACTTTTCTCCCACTTTTAAAGGTTGAGGGACGAGGTCCAAAATCTCGCTTGTACATATAAATGTCGTCATGATGCTGCTGCTGACTTAATCCATATTTATGCTTATACCAAGTACTTCTTTAGAATACAGGTATGCTTTCCTACTGTGAATACTTACTGACATGGTGCAGTTAAATTTTTCTTATGTCATTTTAAAATTTGAATTTGCAAACTAAAAACAGTTGTATTTCTCCTGCAGAATTATCAAACCATTACTTCACCACCTGTCTATATCAGTCCACTTGACTTAGGTCCCAAGTACACTAACAAGTTGGGAGCAGAATTTCAGGAGTATCGGAAGATGTATGGTGAAAATTATTGTTTAGGGCAGCTGATATTTTGGCATAATCAGAGTAATGCAGATCCAGATCGTAGCCTGGCTAGAGCCAGCAGGGGTTGCTTGTCTTTACCAGATATCAGTTCCTTTTATGCCAAGGTTCAGAAGCCATCACGGCATTGTGTTTATGGTCCAAGGACTGTCAGATCTATGTTGGCTAGAATGGTTAGTTTTAATGTATTAAGTTCTGATGTTTTCGTTTTAGGTAGGCAATGTTTTCAGGAAATAACAAATAGGTATCGATAGGATTTAGTTTATCCAAAAATGGTTCCATCATTAATAACAACTAAGCTTTCTCCAAGTAGGTGAAATAATGCTAAAGTGATCGATAACAACCTAGGCTAGCCTTATCCTGTTATTGTTATTGTAGAGAAATGTTAGAAATAGACTCCTTATTATTGGGTAAAATTCACATGGGTTTCTTCAGATTATCCAAGAGAGCAAACCCGGGGGACTGAGAAATCTAGCTGAGGAAAGGGTTTCTTTGATGCGGGTTATGAAACCTCATGCACCGTCTCATTTTGTTCATAGAGGAATACCTCCCCGCAACTGCCTTGATACCCCTTTGATATATATTAACACATTTCCTATCTCCCCATAGCTTAGATTTGCCCATATGAGCGTCAATCAGATCAAGATCATGTATTTAAATTACTTTTTGGACACTGTTTACAATGACGTGCTAAGGCTAAACCGGATATGTTCTTTGTGATTTCCTATCTTTTGACATTGGTGATTAATCATCTTACTTACTTATCCAGGAGAAGCAGCCGCAGAGATCTTGGCCCAAAGACCGGATATGGTCATTCAAAAGTTCTCCAAAATTCTTTGGTAGCCCGATGTTAGATGCTGTAATAAATAACTCTCCACTGGACAGGGAGATGGTTCATTGGTTGAAGCACAGACCTGCCACAATCCAGGCCATATGGGACCGTTAAATTTTTGCTTGGTTTGGGAGGGAAGCGGAATGAACATACACGGCAAAACACCTCTTAGACATGGAGTGGTTCATCGTTCAGAGCTGCCTGCCTGTTTTAGCGTGGGGGGTCTGTAATTATCAATCCAAAGCTTCATTCCTTGTACCACCTTTCAGTCATTCTTGTGTACAGTTTTCTTGGCCATTGATTTGTAATTCATTTGATTGTAGGGTATTGTTTTACTCTTATGTAATATGAAATGAAAGTTAGGAAGAAAAAAGAAAGGTTAATTCGAGTCATTGGCGTCTTCTCGTCTTTAACTAAGGCAAGCTTTCTTTATTATGCTAAAACGTGGTGTAATTTTCCCTATGAGTGGTCCCAGAGTGATGACTACGGATATTCGAATTTGAGATGATGTGAGTTCGATTTCGAAACTTGCAAGTGCGTGAATGGATTCTACTGTAGTTTAATAATGAACGCTGAAGGGGGGATGTTGTGCGCACGCTGCTGCTGGCATCGTTGTACAGACAGACTAGCACCTGTGACTCCCATTACCCGATTAAGAAAAGGTGGGCTGAAACAGTTTGTTTCTCGCCTAGTGATACTCTATTAAGCAGCGTTGTTGGGGCAGGAAAACGATATCACTGACGCTAACTCGTTCGCCCTTTTTTGTCTGTTTTGTGTGGCACTTCTGCTGCGACGGCTCCTTCAGAAATGAGGCCGGTTAGTGTCCGTGCTAAACGCAATAATTCCATCTACAGTTCTTTATAATTACAAAATAGAAAATAATTGGTTTGGTTTGGTCTAATCTTAGACCAAATTAATCCAAGTTGGAATAGGGTTCAATACGTTTTTTGTTTGTCATTTCTAAACTGCATAGAATGATTATGACACGAAAAATACTACAAAAAATCTTGAAAACAAACTCATTTCAGTAATGAGATTGCACTCCAAAGTCTAAAATTAGAACATAGACATATCACACAGGTCATCCATAATCGTTTTCCAAAATGCATGGCAAATAGTTGGCATCTAACAACACAAAAATACCGAATTGAAGTCCACACATTTAGCATCCATGGTATAGGCACGATGTATTATGCCTGATGAGAACGTTAAACTAGAGAAAACACAAGAATAAGAGCCTTGTAGTCTCAGTCAGAGCAAGATAAAAAAATCAAGCAATTCGGAGGGATTAGCATTCAGAGAATACAGATGGGGGCCAGAGGAAGCAAACCTCCAGTAAAAGTAGACTCTGGTTGATGGTAGTTGTGTTGTCCTAGATTAGAGCGAAATGTCAAAGTGCCTATAGCATACAGAGATGCTTTATTCCTTTCGTTTACTGCGATCTCGTCCTCAATTGATAGTTGCAACTTGCAAATTTCTCCCCGTAGGGCTCGCCTCTGCGGGAGTAGATGGAGATTGGATTGAAGTCACCAAACCACTCCGAAATGAGTCCTCAACCAGACCAACGCAACAATTTTTAAGGTTTATTAAGTTTATTTGCGTTGATATTACGATTACCTTTTCATCTTCAGCTTAACCTGTTTGGACCATCTGACCTTTAGGTGTCGGAGTTTGTCTGGAGAGTGTTGTGCATGGATGGACGGATTGCTTCACTTTACAGCAACAAATGAGGTAGAATTAAAGGATTGCATAGCTTAAATTATTAGTAATTCTAATTTTACGTAGCTTTCGATTTGGTTTTATTTGTTTTGTGACAGAGGGGAATGGTGAATGGATAGGAGCACTTATTGTCTAACACTATATTCATCACGTGTTAAGCCGTGCTAGCATTTGCATCCTCTCTCACACACCCACCTCTCTATTCCCGCCAAAAATCCGCAATAACCCTCTTCTCCCAACAATAATTCTGTCTCAGAAAATGTGTTGATACATGATAACGTTGAAGTGGGACGTAAAATTAGTGGAGAAATTGAGAAATAAGAAGTAAAAAATATCATAACTAATATGATAAAGAAAAAATAGAATTGATAATAAATATATAATATAGATGTAAAAGTATAAATACTCTTGCTTCTCGCTGCTCATATCATTATACCATACTGTCAAAATCAATTTCAACAACACAGAGAGTAATAGTGAATTTTCGTAGTGGAGAAATGTGCCCATTCTAAGGATGTACCAAACATGGGCGAAGTGGAGAAATGTGCATGTAACCTTTTGCAGAATGGCGCATCCCAGGCATGCAACGGTTCTCCCTTCCAAAAACCTATAAAAGAAAAAGAAAAGTTGGGATTTGGGAAGAAACGAAACGAATGATGACAAAAAAGGACAAAAGGGTGCGCAGCAGAGACGGTTTAGTAACAGTAACAGTAACAGAGCAGACACAACAAACCGTCACACCTCACTATCATCACCCATTCTCTTCTCTCCACCTGTTCCTCTCCCAACGCTTCTAATTATTTTCTTATTATTCCTATTTTTAAATTATTATTTCTCTCTTTATATAACTTACGAGACTCTTTTTTTCCTTCTCATGATGGTTCAACGTTGATGGACCCCAATCTCCAAACCATGTTTTCCGCCGACGCTCACTCCTTCGACCCCATGTTTTCCGGCGTCAGCCTCCAGTCACTTCTCTCTCTCAACCCATCTCTCTTTGCCGACGGCTTCCCCACCCTGGCCTCCCTAACCGACCACCCCAACCTCGACGACAAGAAGAAGCTCCTCATCCCCAAAACCGAGCCCCAACCCTTCAGCTTCTTCCCCAAATACCACCGTCTCCCCCAACTCCATTCTCCCGACCACAAACGCCACCGCCTCGACCCCTCCTCCGAAACTTCCCCGGCGATCGGGGGAAAAGCTCCGTCGATGATTCCTCAGAGCAACCTGGCACGGCAACGAAGGCAAAAGCTGAGCGAGAAGACACGGTGCTTGCAGAAACTAATGCCTTGGGACAAGAAAATGGACCAAGCTACCCTTCTAGAAGAAGCTTATAAATACGTGAAGTTTTTGCAGGCACAGTTCTGCGTCCTCCAATCCATGCCCTCTCAATCTCACTCTTCACCCTTCCTCAACAATGGTGCTGTTTTCGGTGACTTAGAGAGCCTTAACCGTTCCCAAGTTCTTCAGGTTCTCGTTAACTCACCCGTTGCTCAAACCATGCTTTATTCTCAAGGCTTTTGCGTTTTCTCCGTTGAACAGTTGGCGTTGCTTAGGAAACTATCAGACACCAGACAACTACAACATCGTGCTTCCTCCAAAACTTTCTTTAACTAATCTCCGTACGTACGTACGTATACGGAACTAAGCTACGGTTGTTGTCTACGTACGTGTTTTGGTTTGCTGCTTACTGCTCTCTGTTTCAACTGACTTTTATTTTAGGTATTAGTATGTTCTTGTAATTAATGTGTTACAAGATATGGTACCACTATTATAAATGTTTTCTGCCTTTATAATTTTATTTTAGTTTACGGTTACCAAGTTCAGATGATATGGTTCTCTATATTTGTAGGTGAGTCACCGTCTATTTTCATTAAATCTTGTGCCTCTGTTTTCTGAGTTTGAACTTGTGCGTTTCAGAATCGGGTGAACAAGTGCATTTTAGAACCGTTTTCAAATTTTTATTTTCTCTTCTTCTACAGTGGTATTACTATTGAACAAGTAATCCTATTTTCAATTTATTTTCTCTATTTTTATTGTCATTTTTCTGTTCATCCCATCCTCCCCCTTTCGACACATATCATGTATTTATTTGTCTTTTTGCTTGTGACTTGTCAAGAAATGCTAAAAACATATTTTCTACTGCAAGAGATGTGTTATAATTCATTAATAAACACGAACAAAATGTGAATTCGACTCTTGATTTAAAGATTCATCCTCTTAATCTAACGATTGATGATCACTTATATTTTTATAATTTTTAATAAGTTTTAATTAATAATTAAGAGTGTATTTTTTTCGATAAGAATGTGTACAAAAGTGTGTTAAGAGTACATTTCATTGCCGGTGTTTTTTTTGGGTCTCGCATTACTTCCTTTGACAAGGTATGATGGGCTTTTAATGGAGGTAGAATGCAAAGTGAACATTGTACGATATGATGGGCTTTGAGTAGGCCGAATGTGTATTTTGTTGCGAATAAAACAATGAGCCATTCCATGAGGCGAAACCTCATTTTAGAATAAAAAACTATTTATTACCGCAAGCTGGACAAAGGGAGGATGTATTTGAAAATAAAATTATCATGTGATAACTTTTTTTAATGAATTTTAGAGTAAAAAACTATTTAACTTCTAATTAGAATAAATGTTTTCTTTTAATTATTTTTTCCCGCCAGAGTTCAGTGTCATTTACGATATTAGGAACACCTCACTAAATATTCTTGGCTTTATCGGTGATGCCATGCCATGGCTCATGTGCTCACGTGATGCCATTTCATTGGTTACTTATTTGTAGGGAAACCAAAACAGAGAAAGAACAAAAAAATGAAAAAAAGAAAACTTTAATTGCTTAATTCATATATTTGTTGAAATCAACTATTCATATAATAGTTCAAGAACGCCAAATTCACTTCCTTGTATGATTCCCACTTTGAAAAATATAATTGTTGTATAAAACAGAAATCTGATTTTTTATTTTGAAAAGATGTGTAAGAAGTGAAAACTTTACTCCTTTAATACATTAAATCATGGGATAATACGTGCTTGTAGAGATATTACTTTCGTGAGATGATGTGTGCAAAACATTGATTTTGTAATTAACGTGTTTGCAGAAAACAAATTATTTGTATCTCCATATATTAAAAACTGAATCAATCAGGAAATTTACTCACCTTACCTATTCACAAACATTTGGCCCACTAGGTAGATTCTACATTCACGTTATTCTATGAGCTGGTTTATGCCCTGCTTTCCTTGCACCCTATCAAACGAATCGAACACCGGAGAAAAAAAAAGGAGAACTAAAAGAAGATACAAAAGTGTATTAAAGTTTGATTTGCATAGTTTCTATTAAAGAAAAACTTTTCCCACTTAACCCACCTCCTACCAATCTAATTCTATATACTTTTTCTACCCTTCATATATGGATATTTCCCCACTCTTTCTTAACTAGCACTAGGCAACAACCAAACTAGAAGCAAAGAGTTTCCCTCATAAATGGATAGAGGTGCCGCCATTTTTCTGTGTCTCTTAATTGTGGTCATGGATATCACAGCTGGGATTCTTGGCATCGAGGCTGAAATTGCCCAAAACAAGGTATGCTTAAAGCTATTTTTGTTTCTATATACGTGCAACTTTAATGCAATGAGCTATATTTTAAGATACAACAGTTGTTTTAAATAAACAGGTTAAGCACTTGAGATTGTGGATATTTGAGTGTAGAGACCCGAGTCACAAGGCTTTCATGTTGGGGTTGGGTGCAGCAGTGCTTTTAGCATTAGCCCATGTTATAGTAAATTTGGTGGGTGGTTGCAATTGCCTTTGTTCTCAACAAGAGCTTCAAAAGGCTTCTCCCAACAGACAACTCTCAATGGCATGTCTCATTTTAACATGGTAATCATTCACTTATTATAGTAAATTTTATTTATTTTATCATTTTAATTACATGTAGTGTTGTTGATCAGGATTGTGTTGGCTGTTGGATTGAGCATGTTGGTGATAGGGACATCGTCAAACAACAAGTCAAGGGGTTCTTGTGGTTTCACTCACCATCACTTCCTGTCCATTGGTGGGATTTTGTGTTTTGTTCATGGCCTATTCAGTGTGGCTTATTACGTTTCTGCCACTGCCTCTGTTGATTAGCGATTAAGATAACTGCACTTCTGCTTGCTTTTAGTGCTTTAGGGGTTTGCCTTTTCTAAAGCTTTACCAAATGTGTGTACTAACGATTAAAAAAAATTGCAACCATTATCATTGACCTCCAATTTATCCTCTCCACTCATCCACTGACATATATCTTCTATTACTATCACAATCCTACTTTAAGCTTTATTTCATTTCGTTCCTTCATAGCCATTGGATTTGCAGTTATAGTGCCCGAGGAAAATTTTTCGTAACCATATATGGTATGTTGAAATCGGCTCTGTAATAATTAATTTTCGTTTATTATTATTATTAGATTGCATTGTAATGTTTTCTTGTATCAATATATTTCATTTATGATATTTGCCAGATTTGTAAATTGAGGTAGATAGATGAAGAATTTTATCATGGAAAAATTATTATAAACACTTTTTAATATGGTTTTCACGTAATTTTGTGATAAAATTAAATTTTTTATTGTGTTATCTAATAATAAAGTGTCCTACTAAAAAGAATTATTAATTTTTACAATAATTAATAATTTAATTTTTAATACAATATCAATATAAATTTTACATCAATAACCAATTGTAAATAGTGCAGATATGACTTTAAAAATAATAATTATAAAAATTAATAATTTTTAATTACATGATAATTTATAATTAAATGCTAAAAGAAATATTAAGACATACGAGTGTATTTTTAAGTGAACTTTTTTGTACAATAAGGTTGTGTAACTTTTTTATAATTATAAAAAAAGTATGATAAAATATGTAATACGATTAAAAATAAAAAATATGAAATAATTTATTTTAAAATTAATAAATTCCATTTTAATGACAGCATTCTGAGCACAGAAATTTTCTGTGTGAGATTTATGCATTTTACACGTAAAGTCGATTGTCCACATGGTGATTTTAAGTGACATATTGTTAAGCGTAGCGTCCTTTATTGGAAATTACTTTATAGTTGCTAGTTCTAACGATTAAGATTATTTGGAAACTATGCTATCTTAGTTTACTTTGGATTTGCTATGAAAAATTCCAGTTAAATCTATTCCATCCTCTTTAGGTAACGCAAAATTAAGATACAGAAGAAAGACTTAGGAGGGCAAGGAAAATAATCTAGACATTTATTAAAATCAATAGCCAATAGTACAATTGTGTCATATCAGAAAACAAAAATTCTGAAAATATTTAGTACTTTAGAGAGTGTAAATTCAACATGTCCACTGTTCACTCTTGTATTTCACCGTGAGAATGATCCACGCAACTGAAAAAAAGAAACAAAAAAGATAAAGTTAAAAAATAGCATTGCATAATTCAAAAGTAAAGTTCATATAAACTTTTTAGCTTTTCTCTAAGAAATTCATTATATTTTTAACTAGACAACCGACCCAAAAAAAAGCGGATTTTACTGTGATTTTTTTTTTGGGGTCTAAAACTGTGAGATTTTTTTCCACGTAAAAATTTTCAATAGTTTTGGATCTTTTAATTTATGCTTTGCTTTTATTCTTTGTCAAATGCGCAGTTCTATTGTTGACAATTTAATTTGAAATATAGTTTGCTCCCTTAAGAAAAAGTTAATATTGTTACTACCCTGCATCAACAAAACAAATGGGGATGTAGCTCAGATGGTAGAGCGCTCGCTTAGCATGCGAGAGGTACGGGGATCGATACCCCGCATCTCCATTGTCTCGTAAGTTTTTTTAATATAGCGGATTACGACTTGGTGTCAAATTAGCAAGTGATGTCAGCTCAGAAGCTTTTCAAATTACTACAGAAAGATTTATTTATTTTTTACTTGCCATCTACTTTGTGATTTCATCTTGAACTTTTATTTTAATTTTTGTCATTTAGCATTTTCTTTGTAGTATAATTATAATAAAATAGCATTATTAACGTCAATATTTGGTACAATTTGGTAAGGTGTATTATATAGGCTTGTAAATACAAAAGAACGTGCAAAGTCAACGGAGCAAAATATCTGAAGCCATTTCGTAGCGCCACATGGTGAATGGCAGTGTACCAGGCTTTTAATAAACTGTAGCTTCCTTTTCACATCTTGCTTCTCCTTCTGGTGGTTTCCTTTTTTTAGTTTACCTTTAGTAGCTTGAATATACGTAATATAATAGCTACCATATAATCAAGAAAACCAGTAACATCACTAAGGCCCATGTCTGTTTGTTTATACCATTGATAAAGCGCCACTGGTCTGGTAGCTTCAAGAAGAACCTCGAGTGGAATCCTTGGCCCTGAACGCTCCATAGGAAACGTGAAATGGTAGTACTTCTCTGGGTCTGGACAGTAATCCTGTAAATTTTTGCTTTGGTTACTTCAGACACCACAAAATATCTTTTAATCTTTAATTAAATGCAGTTACACTCCTTACCAAATCAGCATGCATCTTTCTTACAAAGGCTTTGAATATATCAAAATTGTGTTGCTCCAGTAACCGATCTGACAAACGGAGGTATGTCACTCCATACATCTTTATTTTTGGAGGACCCTTTTTGTTAACACCATTAGGTCTTGCGTTTAGAAGGATTTGGTTGTATGCTGCTCGGTCATACCTTGAAAGTGCATTTTCCCCTGCAACTTCAAGGTTCTCCGCCCACCCTCCATTAAGGACCTAGGATACACGCATGGAATAAAACTATGCATTTACTAACAGACACTTATGTACACAAATGAATTTAAAACAAATTATACAGTGGACAGGACAATTTGTTTCACAATATATATATACATACATGTCATGGAGTTGGAATATACATCAATGAAAAATTCTGTTGGAATTATATTGTAACTCATGTTAAAATAAATTACCTGTTGAACAAGCTCTTCGGCTCCACTTTGGGCTTCGGCTTTTTGCTCATAATTTCTCATTTCAAGACATGTAAAATTTAAAATAGCATTGTGTCGGGAGAGCATCCTTGCTATAGGTCGGTATCCATCTCTACCGTATATATTGTAATATCCCGAAGTAAGCTCTGCAGCATGGCTTTCTGCCTTGTACCACCAGTGAATTCCAGCAACCTGTTTCATAATAAAATGTCAACTGATTGATGCAAAAAGCAAGGGCTCACTAATACTCTATATGTATTTAAGAGTGTACTTTTGCTGCTAGCTTCACTTTACAGTCCAGGAATACTTTGTTGGCTTCATCCAGGATGTCATCACCATGGATCAGCAACTTGTTGGAATACCATGTCAGGAAAAATTTCCCTTTCTCTGTCTTGAAAGTGCCGTTTGATCTGAAAAATTCTGTAGACTCAGGTGTGTCGTTGTATTCCCCAGCATTTTCTGGCAGCTCCCATTCAGGATGGCCAGCCCTTGCTGCAGTTTCTTTGAAATCAGCTTTGAGATATTTGTCATAGCACTGCGACAGTTCAAATGAATGTAAAGAAGTTTGAAGGCTTATTCTTATTGATATGAATAATGATTATGTACCTTCAAGCTACAACCTTATTTATTTGCAGTGATATATCCAATATTTGAAGGAACTATGCACAAATGGTCCAAACTCACCTGAAATTCTCCAATACCAGGAAATACCCATCCCTGAGCTTCGATGTAAGAGGGATATCTGAGTTCTCCCGCTGGTCCAAGTCCAATTTCAATGTCTATCAAGAGCTCAGATTCTAAAAAATCTGCCATATTCTCCCTGAAACTCTTCATATAGTCGCTATACATCTGTATCAAACAAAAGACAATCGATTTTAACATCAAGAAGCAAACATCTTATCAATCACTGCCTTATAAACGGATGGAATAAGTATAGTTGATTGCTTGAATTGGTAGTCATAAACCAATTTGCAAGAAGCTGTAACACGTAGAGCTCATGATAAAGCAATTTTCTAGAACGACAAAGCAATTTGTAATAGGCTTCTTTCAGTTCACGATGAAGTGTTCAAAATTGGACGTGCATGTGGTTAGAAATATAGGATTAGTGATAAGACTTAATAAACTAGAGTCCAGAAGTGAAGCTAACCTCAATGGGAGTTCGTCCATAAAACAAAGGTTTATTGTCCACTCCGAGGGATAGACATTCCTTGTCCCTGATACCTTTGCGGTTGGTGTAAAAGATATCAGGGTTTGATTTTCCAACCTGAAGTACCCATGTTGGGAGCGAGATGTTAACAGAATCTCCCACGTTGCCTCCGCATTGGTGGAATGACATTATGGCTTGTAACTTCAATTTGCAATCTTGAACAAGTTGAAACAAGGACCTGTAAGCAGACCAATCATACTGCTGAGGTCCCTTGGATTCTACTATACCCCACCAGACATCAACCATAACCCCATCAACACCTGCTGCGTGTAACTCTCTGAGTTGATACTCCAGTTTCAGTTTGTCTTGCAAGACATTGCCATTTGAAACAACTCCCAGCTGCCAACAACAACCATCACATTTTCAAAATTAAACTAACACTTAGAGATTTTTGCATAAGTATAGATGTAAGCAGAAATTTAAAGTTTATGACGTACGGGGAGCATCACATAAACTGGTACATAATTTGCAAGCATTGTATCTCCGTGAGTTGTATGAATTTGGACCTGCATTTTATGAGAGCAGAATTTCTCGGTTACCATGAGAGGTGGATGAAATTAGAGATTCTATTAAAAAACCATCCGATCATTATACAGTGTTTCTGCGTTATCTTGGCACAAGGAACAGTATGCATGCATTCCCTGCTCTCTTTAGAGGGTAAAATTTTTTTATTTACATGGTGTAAAAAAAAGGGACAAATCTTAGCCACCAAGCTTTATGTGCTACGCAGTTAGTTATTTGAGTGAGTGTTTGGTACTCTGGTGAAAAACGGGATAAAAACTAGTCCAGAGATAAATTGAAGTGAATGAAATTTTCTGTTATTCAGTGTCAATGCGCAATGCATAGTGACTTTCGTGTAACAAACTGGTCATTATGCAACTAGAAATCGCTTAATGCAGTTCAGGAATAATTGTTATATGATCTAAAGACACAATTCATAAAAAAAAAAAATTATCTATTGAAATGAATTAAAAAAAATTCTCTTAAACTATTTTAATATTATTTCAAACTTTTGGTAATGTTAGCACGCATTCAATGATTAATAGTCCCTCAACCTGCAACTTTCCCCGCTTATTCCCACGTTATTATGATAACCAAATTGACACATTCTCCAACCTCCCCTTAATCAGTTACTAATTCCCCATTGTAAGCCTGTGTACTCTTTCTCTCTTTACACTCTTCAGCCGTTCTTGCAAAGCGCTTCTGGAGATTTTGATTTTTTCGCTCACTCTAACATATTTTTACATTTATTTTCATTTTTTCACTGTATCATTTATTATCTCCATTTGTTTATTTCTTATTTTCTTTCACCTATTCCACATCCCCCGTACTGTGAAAAAATGTATTAGCTAACAATTAACATAAACAGCTGAAAGCGTGGACCACACAAATAATCTCCTGGGTGGTCTCTTTCACCCTATCACTACTGACTCACCATCCATGAATCAGACACCGTACAATAGTCAATCCGATTTATGTTATAAGCTTATATAAAATTTCGATCGGTCACGAGGAAATGCGAATCTAATCCAATCTAAAACTATATGTGGACACAGAAATAAATAATTTAAGAAAATGAAAACAAGAAAGAGCTAACGCACCCAAGGATGATGAACCATACAAAAGAAGTCTAACGTCTGGCCATAACTTGACGATACAGTAAACTATTACTATGGTTACTTGCAATAAGGAGAATGATGGTTACCTCTGATTCAGCAGTTGAAGCTTTCAAAGGCAAACCTCGTTGCTTGTTGAGATGACTACAATCCAATTTGAAGCCATGCTCCATTGATGGCTTCCTTGCTCTCTCTACACGTATAACTCCACTCGTCCGTGACATTCCATGATGGAGATACCTTTCTCGAAACTCAAGCGTAATTCCCACCATTCCACGAATGGATGTGTTCACCACGTTTTCCATATTTGGCGGTGTTCAACGTTGCTTCGTGACACTAATTGCATGTAGTTACACGAAACTCTACTGCATGGAATGAACAAGGAATCTATCGGAAAAGAACTGATGAAGTAGAAGAATGAATAATTCACCTTTAGATCTGAGACACTATGTATACTCTTAATGTGTTGAAAAAGTAAAATCAATTTTGTAGCCTAAAATAAGTAAAAAAAATAAATAAAAGAAAATAAATAAAAAATGAATAATTTCTTGTTCAAATTTGCATTCCGTATAAATAGAACGAGAACAAGAATACTCAGTAATTTCAGTAGCACAGGTTAAAGTTGGAATTTTTATTACAAACACGTATGTCTGTCGTTACATTTTGTTGAGAACAGCAATATTTTTTAAAGTTGGAATTTTTATTACAAACACAGATGTCTGTCGTTACATTTTGTTGAAAACAGCAATATTTTTTTACTGTTTCTTATTTTATTTCTGCTACTACTTCTGGCCGCGTTCTAATCTTTGGTTTGAATGTGGTAGTTATGAACTCAGAAACCAAATTCGTTCTTATGTAGAACCAGTGTATCGTCAATCATCTTTCTTTCACTTGTCTATCACTTTATCACTTGCATTGTGCGGTGGATTCCGTTGGTTTGGACATTGGGCTTTATAGGCTGGTACATATGAGAAGCTTTAATTGGGCCGAACCCAGTATCACTAATTCTATTTGTAATATTCTATTTGTAATATCAGACAGTCAAAGGAACCTATTTGACATGACAGACCAGGCTCGGTTATATGTGATAATTGACATTGATCCTGTAACTTTCCCCCTGTCTAGTTGCGAGAATGTTTAATTGTAGGTTTAATTATATTTTTATTTTTTATAAATATAAATTTTCTTATGATTAATTTTTACAAATATTTTTGTTATATATTGATTCTTTTAAAATTAATAATTTAAAAATTAATTTTTATTATTAACTTTTTTTTTATTTAGTGTTAAATTAACTGATGAAAAACTAATTCAACAATCTACATAGCACTGTATAACCACCTTAAAATTTAATAATAATTTATGTGACATATCATATCTCCACTCTCACACCTCACCCCCCATCTCTTCCCACTACGAAACTTGGTAGTACTTTATGTTGTTGCCATGAATTATAAAATACCCTTGTAAGTTGTAAAGGGAGATTTATAATTACCATGGAAGCAATGGCTTGAAGACTTGTGTACTCAACATCCTAGCTGAATTCAGTCATGGCCCAAGTGGTCCCACCAAAGTCATAAGCTTTGTACAAAAAATAGTTCAAATATTCTTCCTTTTCGGTGGCCCTATAAAGCCAAATTGCTGCCCAAAGTAACTCAGATGTCTTTGGTATCAAATATTTTCAAAGCTCGGTATTTTCCAATAGGTTATTTTATCAATGCTAAGTTGAGATTTTGTCCGAGTTACATGCCTTTTTTTTAAGGGTTGAGATTCAGCATTGTCTCTTTTTTAAGGTTACTACAGAGGTCCTCAAACTAATCCAGCACAACATGCCCCTGCTCATTTCCAGAAAGTTCATGAAAGAAAAATGCAACTGTTCATGCAACCAGCACATGATTCGTCTAAAGAAAGAGGGTGTTCTAATCCACTCAAGACATCTGAAGGTACGGAGGAGAATAGAATAAGTATCGGAAAGGGGTGGGAGAGGGGGGAGTGGGGTTGGAGGAGGGGGAGAGTGAAGGTTGGGGTTGGAGTTGGGATGAGAAAGGTAGAGTGGGAGAAGAGGAATAAAAAGGAGTGTGAGGGTGAAGGGGAGTAGTGAGGGTGCAAGGAGGAAGAAAGAGAGATAGTGGTTGTGTAAGAAGGAGTGACCATGGGAAAAAGGAGTAGGGGTAGGAGTGATGAAAAGGTAGTGGGTTGTAAAAGAAAAAAAGATTTTTATGTAATTATATAAAATAGGTTTAGAAATTTATTTGTAAAATTTTAATTTTAAATAATAAATAATGTGATATGTCACATAAAATGTGATTAAACCTCAAGATAGTTAATGTAGAGTGTTGAGCTGCATTATAGAAAGGAGGTTAATAATAAGGATCAATTTTTATATTATTTTGTTTTAAAAAAATTATTTCTTAATAAAATTTTTTATAAAAACTAATTATAAAATAACTTATATTTATAAGGACTAAAAATATAAATAAGTCTTAATTTAAATGAGTCTTTAATTGCTATTCAATAAGTGAAAAGAATGTCTAGTAAAAAAATAAAAAATAAGATAAAATCATTGTTAAACCAAGTTAGAATAGATTAATTGCATTTGTAAAGTATGTCTTGTAATGTCACTCTAAGATTTGAGTCAAGTATAATTAATTTATATATAATATTTATTATTTTATTAAAACTTGTTTTCTTATGCAACAATTTGTTTTCAAACACATTTAATATATAAGTTATGTCTAAAGTTTTTTACACTTTTTGTGGTTGCAATATAGTTAAATATGCTATCAAATTTAGTTTAGAATAGGCTATGTTTAATTACAAACATGATCTTGTCAGATAAATTTAAAGTAATATTTTACCGTCAATAAAGAACGAATGATATCATATAACTTTTAAAAGTTGTTATCCCAGATTTGATGAAACGAAGATATTTTGTTTTTGTTATTGCTTTGTAGTCCATATAAGAAGTTTGGGCCGAGCCCAACTGAGAACAGCTACTTGGATTGGGAAACAAGCATAATTTAGTAACATGAGAGAGACAAGCCTGATAGGAACATTGACGTGGCAGACATGCATGTCTGTCAGACTCGGTTCTCTATAATAATTGATTGACTATTGCCTTTTTAACGGTTGAATTTTACTTGTGATCCGTCCTTGTTTACAGTAGATTCCTTCATGTGAAAATTGACCCAGTAATTTTTCTCTGCTTGCTATAATGTTCAATTGTATACGTATCTTTTTTGTTATTTTCTAGTGTAACCAGTGAAAAAGAACGTTATATAGAAAATGAAAAAATAAAATAAAACTTAAATATCCAATGCCTACTTTATTCAGCAAACATTTCTTTAAGTAAAAGAATATTTTTCTGGGGGTAGAGTGACTTATGCTGATGGCCAAACAAGAGTTTAACATCAATAATGCTTCTAGCAGACTGTCATTTATATGTTACGTTAGTATGTTATAAAAGCTCTTAGCAGTTAGCAGCAGCCAGTGTGCAGTAAAGTGGAAAGTGACCTTGACCATGGTCCTTATTAGGCATTGCCATTTAACCTTTTTTTAACACTTGATTACCCTTCACGTGCTCACATAAACACACACCACTCCCTAACCTTATTTATATAAGGCAATCAGAGCTACCACATAGCCTTGACATGCACCATCTCACACTCACACTCTCTCTCCGCCTCCTCCCCCAAAAAACGCCATGAGAAAAAGACGAAAAAGAACCAACAAGACACACACCCATCTCTGCTAAACAAAACCAGGAGAAGCATCAGTACTAGAATTACAAGGACAGACAGACAAAGCCCCCACCATCAACTCCAAATTTCAGAGAAAGAAGAAATGTGTTACGTGGGTAAAGCAACAAAGATCTTCATTTTCATAGTCACCGTCCTCGTTGTTCTGGGTCTAGTCCTAGGATTGGGGTTCCTACGCCGCCATCATCACAACAACCTCAACAGATGTTCCGATGGCTCTTGCGATTCCTCTCCAATTACATTTCCAACCCCCAATTTTAATTCACCAACCCCACCTTCCCCTACTCAAAACCCCATCCCTCCTTCTCCTCCGGCCACTACCACCCCTTCTCCTCCTGATTCTATCCCATCTTCACCGCCGCCACCAGTGCTGCAGTCACCGCCTCCGCCGCCGGCAGCTACCACTCCAAATCCTCCTAGTGTGGCGGCACCACCTACGAGTACACCTACACCGGGCTCGGCGCTGGTGACCCCAGGTCCTGTGCATTCTATTTCATAGCTGGCTAACTGCATTTTCGCAACGCATGATCGGTGACGGCAATTAAGGGTTCTAGAATTTTCTTGACAGCATCTCGATTTCTTAAATTCTCGATCGCTGTAATAATGGGAGGAAAAAAGAAAAAGGAAAGTTGGTGGTGGATCTGTGTGTGTTCTTTTTTTAATTATTATTTTCACATTTTTAGTGAGGTGATGAGGTTGTTTTTTAATGTATTAATAAGTATGGAGATAATTTGAGGGTGGGCTTGTAAATTTACAGAGGCGTCCCTGGCATCTATATTGATTTTCAATGATGACACTGCAGTTAACTTTTTCCCTTTCTTGTCTGCATATTCCTTTTGATTCTATTTATGTATTGACTGTTAAAATTACTGTGCTGTTGCAAGCTGTGAAGTTTTGTTGCCAACGGTAACGGAATCTAATCAGTACGGCCACGCTTCATCTTTATCTTATCTTCCATTTCTTTTACCTTTTTCTGTTAAATACATCATTTTGGGCTCTCCTCCTTAATCAGTAAACACTTGCATCCTCTTTATTTTATTCCAAATTTTGCATGCCCATAAAAAATAGATACTCAATACTTAGTTTGATCAAACAAATCGTTTTTTTTTCAATTTCTTACACCAGTATATTGTTTCACTTTGTTGTAGTTTTGTTGTGTCCAAAGGGTGCAATTAGTCTTATACTTGTCATGTTATTTCAAATAGCTTTTCTTATTAACATTGGAAGTTAATGGTATCGAGTATTTTTCATCTGGTTTTGAAATTAAAAGTGATTTTTTAATTAAAAATTATAAAAAGAGAAATTTAATAGTATTTCATAATAAATTTTGTTTCCTTTGATTCATGGTTAATCTTTCTTTTCGTACAATCATCCTTATACAAAATTACAATCCGACACTGACGCTTCATTTGTAGTGAACATGAACTGAAGTCAGGGTATATCGAAATACAATTGGAATGGATTTTCATTTGGATCTGTTGAAAATAGTAACTGAAATCTAATAATATTCAGTGAGACCCAACATTTCAATTTCCTTCTCGTCTTGCTGTGAAATACCGCATGAACAAGCACACGCACACTCTCCCTCAATGTAAGCCGAAAACAACAAAACAAGGGATAGAGAACAGCATATATATTGATGGTGGGTGCCAAAATTTTGTTTCCGCTTTGACTTTTTCAAAATAATCAAAACAAAAGGAAAGACAAACACATCACATTAAATAATTTTCAATTTATATTATTAAACCATAATTATTTAAAAAAATATTTTTTAATGTTAATTAACTGCTATGTGAAAATGGGCACAATATAAAAGAATCTGCTCCTGCACATTGTACGCGTAACCTGGGTATGTATGGCAGTAACATTTCGGGACTTTAAACTCAAATTTTAAAGTTCAAATTTTGCATTTTATCGCACGGCTTAGAACCGCTCCACTTTGCCAACTCTACTATGCTTAGTCCAGTTGTCTTCGGCCACTGTATTATTTAATATTATTAATATATTAAAATTCATGATCTTTTATACAAATTATTACATATAACTTTTTATTCTTTATTTTTATTAAACATATTACAAAAATTGATAATTAAACGTATACTTCTGCCAATTTTAATCTAAAAATTTGAGGGGACAGCCACGTCCTTCCCCGCCCAAATTGGAACAAATATGATAGAAGAAAGAGTTGTCTTTGGCATTGCACACATGAACTTTGTGTAACCGTGATTGTAATGTTTAAGATTAATTTGAATGGTTTAGTATAATTCATTATCGTCAGCAATGATGAAACGGTTTTAACAGTGATATAACAGACATGTTTTTCTTTTATTCCTAACTGGAACAGTGATGTCAGATTCTCGAATCTGTGGGAGTTGTTCATGTCAATGTTTTTTTTAAAGATAGAATGGGTGTATATTTAACTTAGCTGTTAAAAATGATTGTTTTAATAATTAATTATAAAAAAAGTTCTATATTTCTGCATGTTATGTAATTTTAAAAGAATTTATTTAATTTAAATTGTTTTTTCAAATATTTTTAATAGTAAAATTACAAACATGGTATAGAATTATTCATATTAATTATTTTTTATTTAAAAAAAAAATTCTGAGATAGGATAAATATATTTTTATTTTCATAGAAAAATTGTATTTTTTTTATTTAGCAAGCATACCATTTTTTTAAAATCTCCTTAAAGCTTTTTTCCTATACCAAAATAATCTTATCTAATCCTAGTTTTAACATGTATCAATTGGTTTCCTTCATTCTACCGCGCATGGCTATTCTCTTTTTTAGACAAAGAATACTAAGGTGAGTATCTCTTCCAACAAATTCAAATATACCTTTAATTAACCTGTAAATAAATTATGCTCTATATTAAAATTTATTTGATTTAACATTAACTTAACCATAAATTGAATTATTTTATTAATAATTTAAATTTTAAATACCCTAACTGTAATAACCCTTATTTAACATTATTTATTTATTTTTCCCATTAGATTACATCAATCCCTATCCTTTCTTATTTTCTTTTATCTCTTTAAATATCGACATCTTATCAAGTGTTATCAACCATTCTCCTAATTATTAAACTAGAAGTATAATAGAAGGTAGTTTTGGTTCAATCTGTGATATAATTCCTAAACCATTTGTTAATAGACATCACATCAATTGACGGCATGTATCAAGCCATCTCAAAAGGGCTAGTTGGATTTTATTATGCATCCAAAGAGCACATAATGAGAGCATTAATCAAACAATAAGGTAAATTTTCAAAATATGCGGTAGTTCGTTTTTAAAAAAAATGTTTTTTTAAATAAAATGTTTTACAGTTTTAAACATTTTTTTAATACCATGATGAAAAACTTTTGGTTTCATCGGAGAGTCCTGTTTTTTGGGCCAAACAAAACTATTTTTTTTCATATTAAACTTAATAAACTCATCTGTTTTTTTTCAAACAGTATCATATTAAATTTAAGATGACTAGGTAAAACACAAATATTCTTTTCGTCTCTTCATTTAAGTAGACATCACTAGGTAATAATAATTTGTTCGTTTATCCATTAAACAAATAATTGAATTACTATTATGCAGAATATTTTGACGTTAGCAACTAAAGTTAAAATTCTTTTGCCACTAAATGATTTAATGTTTTTGTGTGTGTAAAATAATAATGTGGCTGACAGGTCAACTATGCTTTGCATGTGAAATGGCATCAAGCAAGGAGGGATGGCGTTTACTTGGGTCCTAAACACTGTAACAACGTAATGCAATGTAATGCCAATTGGCAATGGAGCACTGTTGTAGCATGACACAATCTTCTGCTTCCGTCACAATCTCATAATCACAATCACTTTCTCTTTACCCTTACAACGCAAGATAAGGAACAAATCAAATAAAAGGAACAAACAAATGAATAATGTTTTATGTTACATTACATAGTATTATATTCTCACGCTGTTCACTACTCACTTGATTCGCCTCAGTTGATACACACTCTTCTTCTCCCTTCTTGCTAGCAACATGGAGACGAATTCTTCAGGTTGGCTTTATGATTATGGCTTTGATATCTGTGTTGCCGCTGCTGACTTCATGGCTGCTGACTCTGGTGGTTTCAGCTGGGTGCCTCAGACTCAGAGTCACACCTTCAAGGGTCTTTCCAATATGAGGTCCCTTTGTAGTTTCTATTCTTCTTCCACTTTCTCATACCACGGAGTGTTGTTGAGTATGAGAATTGTAGTGAATATTTTGTTTCTTATTGTTTCCTATAAGTGGAGTTGTCTCATGATGGTTATTTTACAATTGCAGCTTGGAAATGGAATACTCACTGGATTCAACCGTCCTTGAAAATGGCCCTTCAAAGCGGTAATATCCCTTCTGTGGCTCTGTAAAGAATATATAAGTTGTACCTTCACTAATGTTTAAATATTATTCAATGGGTTCAAAGTTCTATGACTTGGAATTTTGACCAAGGAGAAGGGATAAATGAGTCAAAACAAGGAAAAATTAGAAATTTGTACAATTTGAAGCCTGTCCTATGGCATGCTTTATGAATTATGAGATTCTACTAGAATAGAGGACCCAATCATCCAAAGTCTGTCGACTAGAACTTTACATACTGTTTGAGTGTTTTCTCCATGTGTGAATAACTGAATATAGAAGAAGAAATTATTGCTATGTATTGAAGTGAATGTGGGTTTGAGTGAAAAAATATTATTGTTAACTGAATTTTGAAATTATTCTTTTAATTGTCTCTGCTAACTAATCATTATTAGTCATAATAAAGAATATGAACATTACTAGTGTTTCTGATATGTTAATTGATATTCTTCATAAATTTGAAGATTGGAAGTGCGGAATGCCCATTATGTTCCTTTGTTACTCGGTTAACAGTGATTATATTCAAACTTAGTCAACTGATGGCATGCAGGGTTAAGTATACTTCTCTGCTATGCTTATTTTTACTTTAGTATATCATTATCACCTACAGGCTAAGCTCAATCAAGTGACTGTAAATCTGACATGATTCTGATATTGTCATTAAATTTTCATGCAGAAAGAGGGAGGCTATTAATCTCAAAATTTGTGATTAGTTTGCTTTGCTGTGTCTCATTTTACATGTGTCAACTTTCTCTCTTTTTTATTATTTTCCCTAAAACATTTGCAACCGTTACTTCAGGTTAAGGTCTGAATCATATGCATCTGGCTCCAAGGCATGCCGTGAGAAAGTGCGAAGGGATAAACTGAATGAGAGGCATGATATTATTTTGCATCTTGTCTGATTGAGTTTAGTCTTCTAAATCTCATGTCCTCAATTTGACATGATTTTAAGGTTTGTGGAACTGAGTTCCATCTTGGAGCCTGGTAGGCTGCCCAAAACAGACAAAGTTGCAATACTAAGCGACTCGGTTAGAGTGGTAACCCAATTAAGAAATGAAGCCCAGAGACTGAAAGAAATGAATGATGAATTAAAGGCAAAAATCAAAGAATTGAAGGTGATTTGGATTCCTAAAGGTTATTTTGATGTAATATGGTTATTTCTTTCAAGTAGTAATGAACTTTTGTTCCTTGAAGGCTGAAAAGAATGAGCTTCGTGACGAGAAGAATAGGCTGAAGGTAGAAAAAGAAAATTTGGAGCAGCAGGTCAAATTGACTAATGCACAGCCAAACTTTCTCCCTCAAGCCCCAGCTGCTAAAGGACAAGTAGCTAGCCACAAGATGATACCTTTCATTGGTTACCCTGGAATTGCCATGTGGCAATTTATGTCCCCTGCGGCAGTTGATACATCAAAGGATCATCTGCTTCGACCTCCAGTTGCATAAAGTGGTCAGCATCCACTTTCTTTGTTATATATTTGTACAAGTTATCCATCATGTCTGTTGTGTGTTTTCTATAGTCACGGGTGGAAAGTGTGCTGGGAAACTCGTTAATAAGATAAATTTGTCCTGCTACTGCTATTGTCTAAACTATAATAAGAATATGCTTTATGTCATGGTTATCAAGTGTGTGACATGATTGAAAATAAAAGTGAGTTTAACTGATTCTTTGCTGCTATGTTTTTTTTCTAGCTCCAAGTTCTAGAAAGGCAAAGTTTCTCAACCAAAAGCCAATAACTTATTTGTCTATTTTATCACCTATATTTCTTTCATTTTCAATATGAGAAAGAGCCTGCTTGTTTCAATATACTCAACTATGTCAGATAATATAAGATTCAAGATTTTCACCAAGAAAATCACCACATAGCTACTGAGCCAAAGCTCTGCGGAGAGTTAATGGTTCAGAGAGAGAAGCTTTTATAGGAAGAGTGAGTGTAGAGAATGATTACAAGGAGATTGGGTCATACCACCTCGTACTTACACACTGGACTTGAGAGGCAAATTAATTTCTGTGGTGTATTAATGTATGGGAATTCCTTTTCACCTGTCTTGAAGTTGCTATGGGAAATTCCCTTGAGAGTGATTTTTGTAAGCAGAGTTTCGAGGACTTGCAGTCGCTAAGTGCAAGCTTATACTTGGTAGGATGATCCAAAAAACAGTTTCACCAATAGTATATAAAATCAAATATCATCATTGACAAGAGATATTTTTATCGACTAATAAAACATACTCTTAGTATAATAAGCAATAACCACACCAAAGTGACAAAGAGAAACACCAAAACAAATTTTCACACGAAATAAACTAAGAAGCAATGGTTGAATAAGATATTTCCCGTCTTAGTAGGCCATAAACATAATTAGAAAGGTAAACACTGCAGCAACTGAGGCTTGTATATTTCCTTTCCTGGTTGATGAATCTGACAAGTCTTGTGAATGTTGTTGCGCAAGAGGTGAATCAGCAGCTGGAAATTCAGTGGAAGGAATAATTGGAGAGAATGTAGGACTTTCAATATGTGTTTCAAACAATGGAGTTGGTGCTGTGGGAATATCTTCAGGAGGTTCTGCAGGTGAAGTAGGAGAGTCTTCTGGAGCTGTAGAGGGAATAAATGGAATAACTGGTGAGCCTGCAGGTGAAGGAGATGCTGCTGGTGTGGCAGAAGATGTTGCACTGGCAAGAGTGTCTATTTCAAGCTTCATTCCTTGGCTGCAATGTCCTATTGTCCCACAGATGAAGTATCTTTTTCCAGGTGAAGTGAGGGGGATGGTTGTGGTGCCATCATTGTAAGACTGAATTGGATTAGTTGGCTTGCAGGAGTCGTAGTCTGCCTTTGAAACTTCAACCACATTATGGTTTGGCGGGTACTGGAAAGCTGCATACATCAATGCCAATGTCATCAACTTACAAATAAGATCATGCATTATATTTCATGGATGCATGCTAGTGACTTACTGAGACTGTCTCCAACTGAAAATTTTTGGGATGATGCCCATGATTGAAGGTTTGAGTTTGTGTCCCACCCACCATTTGGTCCTCCAACATTGTAATTTGTAGCCAAGGCCAATTTGATGAGTATAGCCACAAAAGATACCCTGATAATGATTTCAGGTGCACCCATGTTTGCTAATTGTGGTGTGTGAGAGACAGAAAAGAGTCACAAGAGATGAGAATTGACCAAAGTTAATTGCATGGATGTGATTGACATTAGTTTAGAAGTCTATATATAGAGAGGCATAAAGAAATTTGGAGCACACTTTTTAGAATGGTAATGATGATGATAATGTATGCAATGCTGGAGTTGTTGTAGTCATGCAAATAAGAGGGATTATTTTAGATGGAAAGGAAGTACTCTTTCCTGGCTGTCTTGACTCTTCCATCTGATTCCTTAACACTAATTTTTCTGTCTATGAGGAAGGGTTGGAGGCGTTTGGGTGGTTGGTACCTGGCGGATTCACAGGTGTAGAATTTTCAGATGATAGTTGTTAGATTCACAACAACTCCAGTTTGGCCTTTTCCACATCTATAATTTGAAATACTAACTATTTTATCAATTCCACTATCTGAAATTTGTGACTTAGTTCACTTGCACGCACATTATTCGACCAAAAAATTTCACTAGGAAGTTTTCTCGAGTCTAATCTAACCAATCAAAATCTGGCAGCACAAGAGAGGTGGAAATAAAAATTTCCTATGATTTGTGGAATTAATGCAAGAAATGTACAGGGCAATCACTTTGAGGCTTTGCCTGTTCCCTAGTGGTGCACCTAATCCAAGTACCCAACCAACCCATCGTGCCAGAGTATTAAAGTATTTTCTTATATGTTGTCAAGTAGGAATTAACAAGGAACATCATAAAAATGCAGAGGAAAGTGGTATTTACTAGGATTGATAGCATTACATTTCATATATTTACGTAAGCGCAACAACATTAACTGACAACGGTGAAATTCCATGTTTCGCAGCTACGAGCATTTGTTTCGAGAAGGCATCAATTTAATGCATCTATTAATCAGGGCTAGCTTTCAGTTCAAACTTGTTAGCAGCTTATATTTATGCTTCTGTTTTTTTTTTCCCTCCTTAGTACTCTTTGATTTATAATACCCATAAATAAAGCATTACAAACCACTCGATTAATTTAGTGCGGTTGAAAGGGTGCTATTATTAGTACAGTCAAATGAAGAGTACCAATACTTATTGATTTGCACAAATTATATATAATTAAAAAAATGAAAAATATTGCAAAAAGTACAAGCACTGTGTTACTACAACTATACTGAATTCAGATCTCTCAGGATCCCAATCTAAAAGTTCAAAGAAAATGATTGTTAAGCTATAAAAATGACGAGTAAAATATTTTTTTATAAAAAATGTTATTTGAATTATTAAAAATTGATCTTGTATGTGATATCATATATTATTATTATTATTTGGTTTATCTTTTTGTATATATGTATTTTTAAAAAATAGACATCAAATATAAAAAGAGACATCCAAAAATATCCTCTTTAATAGTACAATAAACATTACTCTTTTCGAAAACACATTCATTTTTAATACCACCTACATAATTTTATTGATATATGAGAATTTGTATGACAAAACGTGTTTACCTAAGAGTTTCTTGAAAGGGTTACTTCCACTTCCACATGATCATTTAACTAGCAATTGAAACAAGTGGTTTAAGTTAAGTTAGTAGCATAAGGGCTAGAATGAGTGTAATTTTGGAGATTAAAACTGATTTGAGAGTAGTGGTTTGCCAGTAGAGTCCAATTGGAGGGACGCACTTAAATTACGCAAGTGGAAAACACGTACAAACATAAGTACAAATATCCAAGGGCAGTGCTTTTCTTTAACGACTCTTTCAAGATATTAGCAAATTCAAGGATTTACATACGCAAGAAAAAAGGAGATGGTTTAAAGTATAATCATAGGCCACTTTTAAGACATGAAGTGGTCATCTTATTAGATAATAATAATAACGCAGGAGAAAAATTCAACAGCCAAGCATGAATCTAATATTAGAGCTTGATCATCTCACGTTCTTCTAAATTAATGAAGCTCAACCAGAACAAGTAACCTGTCATACACAACTTTCTACATACATATATTGACACGATTTCTTCTATATACACTTAATAGTTGTTTAAACTCGAGATTAACATTTTTTTTAATTAAAAAGCATAACGAGGGCTATCTTTATTGCCAACAAGGAGGTCAACCGATCAAGCTCAGTCCATAGGGTTGGGTTATTTAATCTTTGACAAAGGGGTATATCTCATATCGGAAGTTGCAACTTCCATCCAAAACTCTGCCTCCTTGTTTCCCATCACAACAATTTGGAAGGTCGTTAATTGCATCATCAAGACACTTCTTGCAATCAATGCTAGAAAGGTCTCTAGTGCACTGAGTCAACCCATAAAGGGCATCAGAATTCATAAACTTTTGCTCACCAGTTGCGTAAAATTTAGGATTCATAGAAGCTTTTTGGGCCAGCTGGCTCAAAAATTCTCTAGTTTTGGAGTTAAACGATGTAGGGTCAGTCGCGTTTTTCCAATTCCACATATAGAGCTTAACAGTGTTGTCAATGTTGCCAATGAAATTAGTGTCTAAGTATTTGAACAAGCAATTATCGTACCATATGATGGCACCTTTGTTGTATGGGCATCGATTGCGGATTTCTTTGGTCGCATCAGAGACACAAGTTTTGCATTCTGAGGTTGACACGTCACCACGGCAAAGAGCAAGCCCATATACTTTTCGGCTTTGGGATTGGCCCATTGAAACAACCCCAAAACCTGTTGAAGGGGTATTATAGATGAGTAAGGTCATGACAGTTTTCAAATTTAATTCATAAGGGCTTTGGGTTGTGAAGTTTTCAGAAGATGAACAATAATGGGCCAGAGGGTCAGCTCCAAAGGATGATTGGGGAAGGAGAGCTAAGATCAGAGAGAAGAGGAAAATGTTTAAGAGCTTTGAGGAAGGCATTGAGCTTTTATGTTTAATATATATTGTTTGTCTTCTTTGTTTGATTATGTTGCCGATGGGATTGTAGGGTGTGAGGCTATTTATAGAGAAAATCATTTGCTTCATCTAAGATATTTACATGTTCTTTGGACCCTTTTTGCTAGCCTGTTAGGCAGTAGTGCTGTGTGATCATTGGGCTAAGCCTACATTTTGGAATCATTTCATTATTGAAATCTAAAATTGATATCATATGTGTTGAATATAATTATTTTTTTATTTTTTAAATATTTTTATGGACATACGCTTTTAAAAAATGTCTCAAAACAAAAAAAATACAACACTTTTATCATCCTGATTTTAGGTTCACATTTTCTTTTTTGTAATTTAATTGGTTTGCAATTACCCAATAGTTACAAATTCAAACATGGGACTATTTCATTCTATTTATTCTTCAAAATATATGGTTTATTGGTTTTGGTCAAGTCATTGTTTCATTTGACATAAATGTCAAACATTTTACAAAATATTTGTTAAAATAATGTTTATAAAAAGTGATCTACTGAATCTTTTATTATACATAGAAGAAAAAATTAAAGTGGGTCAATTTAATTGAAAAACTGTTGCATTAGTCACGTTACCAATGCAAACAAAAAAAAAAAAATCAAATTGGTTAAATTAAAATTAATAAAAATTAGCTGAAGAAAATTAGTTTCGATTGATTTTTAAATTTTTTAACTTTTCATTAAAAATTAGAAAAATATAAATCATATAAGGTTCACGTATACATTATTATTAATTAATATTTTATTGTTTATTTTTTAATCTTATAAAATATGTTATATGTTCATAGGTGTAGCGGTAGTTATACCAATAAAATGGTGGTGATAGAAACAGATCAGTGAAAAACGAGGGTAAAACACGAAAAAGTTATTTTATCTTATTTCTGTCTTTTTAAGATAATATTTTTATCTATTAAATAAGTTAAATTATCTTATTAACTATCAAACAATAAATTAGAACAAAATAATTCGTCAAAAAAATATTTAGAATAGAATAATTTATTTTTTTTATTTTAATCTTAATCACTATGTGAATCGTAAAAGTTGATTAAGAATATCCTAAAATACGTGATTGTAAGAGTTAACACAGTAAAGCCATCAATAACACAGTAAATCACGTAATAATATCTTCAGTGTATCACAATTATTGTCTTAGACAGATTTTTTTTTTTCCAAGTGCCTAATGACATTTGTCTTTGGTGGATCACTACATTTGTTTTATACACATCATTTTTCCTAGTGCTTAATCACTAATGTCTTCGGTATAAACTATTTGAATATAATATTAGAAAAGAAAAAGAATATAAGAACAAATTATTTTTATCGCTTCTATTAATATTACTAATTAAAATTGATTTTAAGCATCTAAAAATAATTTTTTATTAAAAATATTGATTTTAACTTTATATTTTTATACAATAGATACTTATTTTCTTAATAAAGCTTTATCATTTTTAAGTTTGTAAAATTAATTCTAAGAATAGATGCTAATTTTTTATTTTTAAACAATTTGAAAATTTTAAGCTGGACAACTACTTTTGTAAAAGTAGATGAACTAGAATTCTAAACACAGAGCATTTCTTTTTGCATAAACACTAATCTTAAGCTTGAGAAATGCATGAGAAAATTAATTATTCAATTATTAACTATTGATTATTTATATTTTTAATGATACATTTCCTAATTTTATAATGAAAAATATGTTGAGAGGGCATGTCTTTACAAATATTGCGGTACCACCATAAAAATGATATTCCACAACAACAAATTAAATTAGTGAAATGTTATTATGAGCTTTGGCATTATTGCCCACTAAGACTATGAGCATTTCTAAAGTTAAAATTCTAGACTATGCCTTTAAGCATGACTACAGCAGAGAGATTCTCTTCCAAAATTTTAATCTTATCTAACTTCAAAATTGGAAAGGCATGAATCTACGGTAACTTGGGATTGGCAGAAGCTCTGCTACAAAAACATATTATTCGGTCTAAATTGAGAGTTATTTGTATTTTATTTTTCAAAAGTTATAGGTGTATGATTATATGATTAAGAATAATATAATGGTGATTATACATTGAACAACTTTAATACAACACACATGATTGTACATATATGCTACAGCCTACAGATACAACTCATACAAGGAGGCAAATGGGTAAAGCTCATATATGCTACAAATAAATATAAATAATGCATATGACAACACATATATGCCACAAATGCAAGGAGGTTAATTATGTAACGCCCATTCGAATATGTCACATTTATCAGTCTTTCACACGTTGTCTAAAATTCTTATTCAACCACGTCGTCCTCAACCAAGTAATTGTTCTACTCTTTCACAAATGGATATATCTCATATCGAACGTTGCAGCTTCCACCTACAACTCTGCCTCCTTGTTTTCCATCACAACAACTTGGAAGCTCGTTAATTGCATCTTCAAGACACTTCTTACAATCGCCACTAGAAAGGTCTCTAGTGCACTGAGTTAACCCATAAATTTTCTGTGATTCTCCACCAACCTTTAGATCTCCTGTTGAATACATTTTAGTGCTCACAGAAGCTTTATGGGCAAGAAGGCTCAACAATTCCTTGGTCATGTAGTTAAACATTAAAGGGTCACTCACGTTTTGCACGTTCAACATAGAGAAGTTGTTTGTGTTGTCAATGTTGCCAAAGAAATCAGTGTCTAAGTACTTGAACATGCAATAATCGTACCATATGATTCCACCTTTGTTGTATGGGCAACTAGTGAGAATTTCTTTGGTTGCCTCAGAGACACAAGTTTTGCATTCTGAGGCTGACACGTCACCACGGCAAAGAGCAAGCCCATAGGCTTTTTGGTTTTGGTATTGGCCCACTGAGCCTACCCCAAAACCTGTTGAAGGTGTCTTGTAGATAAGCGAGTTAATGAGAGTTTTCAAATTTGCTTCATAGGGACTAGAGGGTGTGAAGTTTTGAGAGTTTGAACATAAATGGAGGAGAGGAGCATAGGCTCCGAGACATGTTTGGAGAAGGAAAGCCGAAGTGAATGAGAAGAGAATAAAGGAAATGTGCTTTGAGGAAGACATTTTGGAAGTAGTGTTCTATTTGATGGTTTTGGCTTTGAGGGTGCTGTGGTACGTAGAGGTTAATTGCCCTCAATTTATAGAGAAAAGGGAATAAAAGGTTGACCTTTTCTTTTGGCTAGGCCACAAATTGAGGGGACAATGTCTTCAGATGTTGTCTAATGTTTCTTAGTATTTTGTAGGGTAATTGTACATTTGGGGCACATGAACTGCTTTTGACTTTTCAAGTTCAGAGCCTGCAAACTTGCTTGAACGCCCATATACGTGGAAGTTTTCAACATCTCTGAAAATTGCTTCATCATTTGCTCCATTGTTTCACAAAAGATAGTACCTAAGAATATATCGTAATTTATATAGATTTTGGCGTCAGGCATGCCCAGTCCAAAATGACTTCCGTGGATATTATTTATTTAAAGAATCTCTTCACCATTCAAATTATTGGAAGTTTCTAACCATGTAGACACAGCAAAATTTAATCCACAACGCATTGGAATTTTGATTTTGTCATTTTTTTTCAATGACTTTTTAATTTCTGTGTTTATACGCAGAATAAAAATAAATACTTGTTATAATACCTGTAAACTTGAAAAAGTATTTTATATTTCTTTAGATTAACGGTTGTAGTTTCTCTAATACTTTAAAAATAAAAATGTATTAATGTATTTTTAAATCACCATTAATTTTACTGTTTATTAATATAAAATTAATAGTAAAAATAATTTCATATATTAATAAATAATAGAATATACTCTCAAGTTTATAAGAATCATAACAAGTATTAAAAAATTAATAAATAATAAATTATTAATATTATTATTAGTATTTTTAAGTGTAAATTATTTTTTATTATAGTTTTATCTAAATTTTTAAATACTCTTCACACTTATTATAAATAATACAAAAATAATACTAGAGAATATTATATTCAAATGTTAATAAAAATTTTGATATAAATTAAAAAATTAATTGTATTCCTTAATTTTTCTTCTCATCATTGATAATAAATTTAAATTAAATCAAATTTTAACACATTATATAAATATATTTTTAATTTATATAAATATAACTAAAATTATTTTTTTTCTATTTTACATCTTTATAAAATTTTAATTCTTTTAAAATGATATCTATTATGATTTATTAACAATGTAATATGTACCTAGACATATCATTGCAGCTTTTAAATTCTTAAAAAAAAATAAATCAGTGCCCAAGTATATTGTCTATTATAATAAAATGAAGTGTTTTCATTTTATATAATCTTTCTATAGAAAAATATATTCACAGGTATTTATTACTAATGTCTTTTGAATGTTAAGCAATATTATTTTAAAAAATAATATTGCTTAAAATTAAACAAAATTAAAATAAAATGATAAGAAAATAATACAAAAAAAATTTATATAGTATATTTATATGGATGAAAGTTTAAGATTTTGGTTTTATCTTCTTTTATTATTATTATTATAGGAGGCTAAACAGCCTAATAACAACAAAACTAAAATGAGCTTCTCAAAAATTTGATGTCAATAGCATTAAGATGAAGCAAAGGAAGCAAAAGGGAAGGAATTACCTCAAAATGATGCATATACAAGGATTTAACAATACTAAACTTAACTAACCTATCAGCACATTGATTAACCTATCTACACACATTTATAATTCTAATGAATTGAATACAACTTAGCAGATTTTTAATCTCCTTGAGCATATCAAAAAGAGTATGGTAATGAGACTGAACATTCAAAATTAACCTAATAGTCTCCTTGCAGTCACTTAATCAAGAGAAATTGATATCCCTTATCTATCACAGGTGGACTCCATGATAAATGCTCCAAAGCTCAGCTTCAAGGGAGCTATAGAACTGAATTATGCTACAAAATCTAGTGAGAAAGTGGCCCATATGATCACGAACTAGGCCACCACAAGCAGCTGCACCATGATAGCTGAAAACTGCACCATTTACATTCAATTTAACTTAACTAGGAGGAGTTGGGGCCCATCTGATTGTAGGCTTGTCATCCACCATGTCACGATCTTTTTTTTTATAAGGAACCGAAAACATTATTTCTATATCATTTACTTATTTAAGATAAATAAACAGTGAAGAATATGTAATGCCCCAAATTTTGTAACAATAATATATTGATTTATTCATGTGAATGTATGTGAATTGCTACATGTGTGTGTGTGTTTGAGTTATGTAATAATGATGTATATTGGATGATGGTGTTAATACATGTGTGAGTATATGTGTATAAATATGTGAATATTGATTTTTGGGCTGAGATTGGACATGTTTCATTCGTAGTTGGTTTGGATTAGAATTGGATTGAAAATAGGCTAAGTGTGAACTGTAGAGGCGTTTTCACTGTAGCAAGAAGATTTTCACTAGACACGTAGAAAAATAGGAAATCTGATATCCGATAGATTATGGCTTCCTCACTATCAACAAGCCAATCTCAGCTCTCACAGACGATGAACTGCTTTCGACTCTTCTTCATTCGATTTGTAGCTATATCGTATATACCTTTTATTTAATGGGAGTAGCTAGATTCAGCATTCCAGCGAAACGATCCTTTGACAATGCTTACCCATTAGTATAGTATTCAATTGCTCTTTCTTACTAGAACCAACCCGGCAAAGGGCAAGAGGCAGTCGAAAGGATAGCTGGAAAGGCCTCCAACAGAACAAGCTACATCGGTCTTCTTTCTTTGCCAAAACTTGAAGTTAAGTATTGGTATGAAGATGCTCGCTTGACCGAAACCAGTGCTTTTTATTAACCCCGATGGGGTAGCCCTCGATTTATTGTAGTGTGTTGGTGGTGACATAAAAACTCTAGCTACCTGCTCTCGAGATTCTGCAGAAATCAGGTACAGTTTCCTCTGAGATTTTTACTATAACGAGAGGGAGTATCACCACCAGAAGGTTATTTGAGGAGTTTAGGGTTTGAAAAACTCATTTTCTCATCCCTCTCTTCAAACTCTCTTCGATTCTCTTGACTCCCAACCCTATTTCACCGTTTAAACTGCCTTCAAAGTCGTTCGTGAATAGGATTGAAGATTGAAATTATGTTTGGGACGCTTGGAGGTAAGTTCTAAGAGTTAGAGTTCCAGTTTTTCATTCTTCTCCCTTGTTCTTTTGATTTCTCATAGAGTTTTTCATGTATTTAGGATGAAACTTGTGTGGGGAGCACATTCTTTGTTAATTTTGTGTTTGGGTCTTCAATTTGAGGTAAGGGAGAACTCTACTCTATCTCCTTGTGTCTTTAATTTGTTCATATTGATAAATACTGTAACGCAGTTGAGATAGAATGTAGGGATAAGCATGTTTTGATAGAAGATTCTTGATTGAGCATAATGAAATGAATATTGGACATGTGTGTGATGGAATGGATTGACTATGGTAGGGTTTCCATGAAAATTGGATGTTGAGTGTGATGTAATTGAATGTGTGCCTATGTGTCATGTGTGGAAGTGAATATTGGATGTGATTATGATGATGTTTGAATATATTGGAAACTATGAATGATTTAGCGATACACTAGAGGTGTGGACGATGAGGGCGGTAGAAATACCTTGAGAAAGAGAGAGTAGTAATGACACCAACAGTGAGCGTGGGTGCACCACAAGTCACACACTCTCCTTCTGACTCGGCCTCTGACTAACACCTTTGCTTGGGGCTCAGTACCACACACGTTGTATCCGTAGAACAGGAGCTATCCGACAATCATTCATGGTGTGAAACTGAGTAAGTCTCTACGGTTGAGGGCATCAAGAATCTATGATCACAGTGCCGCAGTGAGTGTAGCTAACGTGCATGGATTGTTTGATAGTGCAGTGAAAGCACCTGTATGTGAATGAGAATAAGATATTTAAATTATTGTTTGGTGTTATTGATGCATGATTTAAAATATATTAGAAAATGTGTAGAATGGACAAGGTGAGACTCTGTGCTTGTTTATGTGTGTGAGTGTAAAATATTCACCCTTACATTTATTTTTTAGGTAACCAAGACGATTAGCACCAGACTCAGTGAAGGGATGGATGAAACTACTATAGGGCTTAGAAAGTTATTTTCTCTGAAAACTTTGACGTAATTGAACTAGTCTTATAGCAATGACTTGATATAAATTGTAATTAATCCTTATTTTGAAACACTTTACTGAACTGTATATTGGGAACTGTTTAAATGAAAAATTTTATTATTCCTAATTTTTGCAAAATTTATTTATATTTTGAAATTAAATTAAGGTGTTCCAGAATATAAGTATAAAATTCAATTTTCATTCAAAATAAACAATTTTTCTTACAATAGATATCCAACAGAATAACATATTACATTTAATTCATAATATTCAAAATACACAAAAATTATACTACATAACTCACTTTATATGAAGTCTCAAAAATATAAAGAAAAAGACTTTGATGCAAAATTATTTGATTCCAGCTTGCTAACACTTCTCCACTGGCCCCTCAGCCTGTGAAGTAGATCTAACACCTGTTATATCTGCTCACATACCACTGTACAATCATCGTAGTATACACAACAGCATAGACATAAATACAAGGGTGAGCTTACAAAAAAAAATTATATATATATATATATATATATATATATATATGTAGCAAAATATTACTTACAGCAACAACCACATGGATTTCCAGCACATCTAATGCACAACATAAAAATAGTTTCAATTAGTATCACAACCCAAAAAGAACCAAGTTGGTCTGGGAGCGACCTAGTCAGGTATCTAGATCTAGACAGTACAACGCACCATAGCTCAACATGCTCTATCATTACACGTCTACCCACCTAAACGTGAAACTCGACTCAATAGTAATGCAAGACATATATTTCGGTATGATGCAGCACATAAAAATTATATTCTCAACAGCTCAGCTAAAATAATTCATAATATTTCAGCCAAATATTAGTATTTTAAATCAATTAAAAGCAGTTATAACATAGAAGATAACTTTTATCCAAGAGATCTGACAAAATCATCTCAA